AAACGAGAGGCCGTAGTTCGCCATGTGATTAAGCCGTCTTATCGGCACTCCTCTCCCTAGGAATAAATATGTGAATCCTATCTTAACCCCTGAACTGTAGGCTACTGTCGGAAACCTAGGGTGCAGGAATCCCTCGGTTTAAAACGACAGGTCTATAGTATCGATGGGTATAAGACAGTGTATACGGGGACAGTAATAGTGCATAAAATCTCGCATAACCTTAAAACCATCAAATCGTTCGTATATTCTCAGAACACAAGTTTTGAATATGTGAAGTCAAAATTAAGTTTTCGAGCTGTGCTTTATATTAGAATAAAGTTTTCCCATTTCAAATTATTATTTCAACACTTCAAATTGATGTGAGTAATGTTAGCAGCGAACGAAATTATCAATTATGAGTACACAAAAGTCAATTGACGCCTCAATATGCGATTTACCCATACATCTTTCATCTGATTATTCCAATTCATCGAATGACAATTTAAATCATCACCGTAGTAATTCACATCGGCGCCGACAATGCTTTAGCGGAGCACCAGGTTTGCCAAAAAAAAAATCGATGAACAAGTGACGAATCACCACGTGGTTGTGCAATACACTCTAAACCGGCTGGCGAAATACAGCGATCCTACGACTCCGAAAAATTAAAGTAATTGCTCTCTACCAACTTTACGTATACACCGAAAATTATTAATATTTTCACTCTAACACTAACAACAACAACAATCGTGACTAATCTTGCCAACGATTTCTTCACTCGTATACGTGTATGTGTCGTGACTGTGTGCTTTGGTTCAGATGTAATAAAACCCGATGCATCGCTGATTCAGTACTTACGTGGTGCTAAAGAGGGATGTAAAGAGAGGGCACATTTTCCACTTTTCGGCAGTCACTCGGCTCTGTATCTTATCTCCCCGAAAAGTTAGTTGCTGCTTAGATATTCGGTCACGAGCATGATAAGAACTGACCCTGTCGTACGATTATAGCTTGTGCAAGTCAACTCCAAAAAAAAAAAAAATTCAAGCGGATTGTTATATATATTCCTAAATTTCACTAGTAGCCCGTGGCTACCACGAGTTTACACAGGGCTGTAATCGAATTTGGATAAAATAATTCCCTGAGCTCATATATTCCGCCTTGTTTGTATTTTGAAATTATTTAGGGCAGAACGTTTATGTTAGCCCATATATATATATATATTATAAAATTTCAGATTTAGACGCTAAAAGTTATATTGGATTGAAATTATCAAGGCGACAAGATACTTGAACATTTCGACGTCGAAAGGTGATTAATGGAATCGCATATTTGCCCCCCCTCCCTCCCAGTAACAGAATGATCAATTAAACGAGAATATCGGTCGGAGACCGAAGACTTATCGATCGAAACTGCGGTTTCGATTCATGACTGTATAGTGACACCGTGTGTCTCATCACTAATTAATTAATCACTCGCTAATTATACGACATAATTCATCCAAAAGCAATAGGTCTTCTGGTCCGAGTTATGATGATGCACATGCAAATACTACACATACTATTCGAACTGAGAATAGTCTTTTTTTCTGATCTCGAAGTCGGGATTGATGTTTGTCACAATAACGGAATTTTATTGTTGTATCTATAAACGTCAAGACGAAACTATATGGGAATGACGTTCTGTGATCGGTAAAAGGGGAATGAATCATCTTGTGCAGACATGACCAAGCCGATGAGATGAGCTTGAGTCAAGTAACTCCTCATTTGAAGAGACGTTTAGTGCCTTTTTAGTCAAAATATTCCTCTATTTTCAAGCGTTGGTCATGTGACAGCAGTGACAAACCGCATAGCGGACTTTATATAAATTCCCTGAATAAATGATTAGAACGATAAACTCTCCTTCTTGAATATATATTTAAAATGAGTAAACTCGCGACGTTTTGATCACTTTTGGGTGTTCCCCGACTGCGGCCCGCGAGACCTCCTCAACAGTTTTTGCGGCCCTTCAACCTCGGACCACCTTTAACTAAGTATTACTATAATCGAACAGGATTGGTTGCCGGACGAGACATAGTTTGCCCTATGATTAAGCTGTCTTGTCCACAACGTTCCCTCCATGTTGCGCAGCTGCGCCGCCGCGCGGCTGGCCAAGAATTCCAGCGAAGTACTTCCGTTCTGCTGCGCATTGCACAAGTATGTGTTCGTTTAAAATGTTGTGATATTTTCTAATTTTCCGCGCAGACCTTTTTTTTTTGAACTCACATGGCCTTCTATTCCGCGCAACTATGCGAGCTCTCAGAGGGAACGTTGTTGCCCACTACACTCGTTCTTATCAGAGTCGTTCAAAAGGGACTAAATTAGAACAGATTGCGGCCACTTTTATAGGTAGAATATGTACATTAGTGTTTGAAACAGTGGTCGGCAAACTTCATGTACTTGCGGGCCAAATATACACATTTCCAGCAGCGTGCGGGCCACATTGATTTCCGCCGATTCCCGATTTCCAGATTATTGCGCAGTCGCCCCTTCTATTGCTGTGTTTAAAGCCTGCCACAATGAGACGTGTATGCGACGTTTATGGACACGTAGTGGACATAGCGATCGTTTCAATATTATGTTGTTGTTCTTGTTCTTTGACACGTTTTTAAAAAGTCGCTTTTCTCTTTGATTACTGGACTAATTGCTATGAAATTTTCAGTGGTTAAAGATAAAAATTCAGAAGGCTATTACTTTTTTTTGTTGCTATGACGTATCAAAATTATTGCCATTAGTTGGCGCTACGTGTCCATATATTTGAGCATAGCTTTCTTGTTCAATATATTATCAAACAATACATTGCTCATATTTACTTTTTATCAATGTGATGTTGTTTCTGTGTCATGACCAAAGCGTTAAAGTCAATTGGAAATTCGTTGCCACGCAGTACTTCGTTCAAATGACGATCTGACAAGCGAGTACGAAATTTATTCATAGTGCAATGCACTTTATATGAAGCTGCTCACAGCAATGTGTGCTTCTTCTGAACGTGCACATTGAACGTTTTGTCTCACAGATTAGCAATGGTGCAGCCCCGGGTTTTCAGAACAAGAACAATTGCTCTGAAATTTTCAGTGGTTACAGATAAAAATTTTCTCCGGAAGGTTACTACTTTTATTTATTCCAAATGTTTCTGTTAGCTCTGTGAGATTTGTTTTCGTTTGCTATGACGTAATCGAACGTTCTGCGGCCACCGGACGCCATTGTGTGTCCGACTGTGCTGCTTCGCTTGGTGTGAATATATTTGTAGACTGTGATCTAACGGTACGGACGTACGGTAAACCCAAAGTGACTATATAGTATGGATTTGTAGTCACTTTGGGTAAACCGTACTGTACTGCGAACAGACGTGTCCATATATTTGGGCGTAGCTCTCTTGTAATAAGTGCGATGCTGACTTGGCATATCAAGAAAACTGGCTTTGAAATGCGCAAGAATGAAAAATATTTTTCTGTCCAAGCACTTTGGAATGTTCGACTTTCGTCGCAAACTCTCCTCCGCTCCCCAGACATTTTTATATTTTAAAAATCAACATACATTTAACCTATAATTACAACCAACGATGTTCATTAAGTTAACTATGGAGAACGGACGCTACTAACTACAAAATAAGCGTGTACAGCAGCACTTGTTACCACATAAATCCATGTGGAGAGAATAATAAATTTAGAATTAATTATTGTTTTATGCATTAAAGGTCGGGTCGTTAGAGGGCCGCAAAAATTAGTTCGCGGGCCGCAGTTTGCCGACTGCTGGTTCAGAACCACCAGACTGAAGTGTGTCGATCAGCCTAAGCGCCTTGAATAACTAACTGTGAGGAGACATCACAACATGAAATGCGATAAACCCATTTTAAAAAGATACTGATTGGAATTGTGTGTTTTCGGCTTCCTTGCACTATATAGGCATTATACATGATACGATTTCCAGTTAGTTTTATTTTGTATGCTCGTATGTTATTTTGTAACTATGTCAGGGGCTATGTTCTATTTTCTAGAGAGCCTAAGAGCATCTAATTACCATTTTCAATGATAACCAGCAAATTAAAGTGTATTTGTGTCGGCTAAGCGCATTGGATATCTATCACTAAAATCGATTACCACATGTTATATCACTGAAATCGATTACCGAATACCTAGTGGCAATAAATCCGATTTTCTCATTCTTATCCCTAAATCTTTAGCCTATTTATGTCCGCCCCAATTCTATAAAATTGGGTTAAACTCTGCAAGACATCGATTATTTGGCAATGCAGAGATAGGAAATATTGCACGTGTGAAATGTAAAATTAGTGTGCCTATTTTCAATTCAATTGATAATGACTTCTGCAATATCACATATTCACCTCAAACATTAAACTGTGTCTAATTTAGTTGGATACCTCAAAAGTTGAGGTTCTTCAATCAAATACAAAGTTGTCTATGCATTTATTGGACACGTAGTGGACATAACGATCGTTTCAATATTATGTTGTTGTTGTTCTTGTTCTTGTTGTCCTTGTTGTTGTTCTTTGACACGTTTTTAAAAAGTCGCTTTTCTCTTCGAATACTGGACCAATTGCTTTGAAATTTTCAGTGGTTGAAGATAAAATTTTTCTCCAGAAGGCTATTACTTTTTTTTTCGCTATGACGTCATCAAAATTATTGCCATTGGGTGGCGCTACGTGTCCATATATTTGAGCATAGCTCTCTTGTATTAGATGAAATGGACATGCAAAAGGCTCACTTAGCCAATCAAGATCGTTTAGTGCCAGTCGCAAAATGATACCCCTACATTTGTGATGGTAAATTCGTCATGAAAACCATTTCACGACTCTAGCTGTATAATCTGTCTGAATATTTTATCATATTTTGCCATAAAAACGTACGCGTACTTTTATGTTGTTAAGTTTGTCCTAATTTATGCTCGTCTCTCAGGTATCTCTGCATTTTTTTGTTTTGATTATGCCAGAGCGACCAAAATAAAATCAATTGATGGAAATAGTTAGTTAGCAAGCATACTTTTCGTATAATTTAATGCGTTACAAAATTCAAAAAAAAAAAATGCAACGAACAACAGTGAATCGAAATTGCTATTAGCGGTGTTACATCTTCTGCTTGTGAAATAAACTTATACTCCGCTATAAAATATATGAAACATCGTATATATGTACTATTAATAAATGGTAAAAAAAGGTATAAAAAATTGGTATATGTACAAAGCGGTCAGTTCAGATTGACTCCCTTCTAATAAATGAGTTTGCCTTTTCAAGCATTACTCCAATATAATACGCTGTTTGTTAACCTATTACGGATTATAGTGTAAGAACAATAGTTCGCGAATCATGTGAAATTATCAGGCAAATTAGCTTTATTTACCAGATAATGACGTCACATTGTGCTTGGAATACTAGCCAATAATTCACAGTATTATCGATAAATCACCTGTTTGGTTGAAAATTGAGGAGTCGATGAATTTAAAAGAATTTGATTATCAAATCATTTCGAAAACTTGGAAGATATTCGACTTCCCTTGCTCTACTAGAAAAATATCTCTCAAACTATCCATATGATAGCAAATTGATTTCGTAGCAGCCATCAATATCAAAACGTCCCACAGGAGAATCATTTGTAATTGCACCAGCTTCTGATGATTTTTCAGATAATCCCCATAACTGATGAAGGCGTTTTGATAATTCATCTGGATCCGGTAATCCAGCAATTCTTGCTTGTTCTTTGGGGATTGGTTCATTCTCATCCATTCCAATTCTTAGACTGTCGCCAGCAAGCAACCACCTCAAAATATAGGATTTTCATATTTATGGCGCCTTTCATCCGATTACCAGTTCATGTCAGTTATGAAAATAGTTAACTAGTTATTTAATTAAGATGCATCGACTTGGAGGAAGTTGTAACAGTCTAGCGATTATGTAAAACACTCGACAACGAAGAGTCCACAAAATTCTCCCCAAAGGATCCTAGCCTGTGAACCTGTGGGGTTAATCAGGTGGTGGTGGCAAGCATGTTGCTAATACTTAGGTAACCTATGTGCCAACCTACAGGCCAATTAATTAATTCCAAAATACAGATCACAGAACAATGATAAGTTAAGATAAATATGGAGATATTTCATCAACCAGAAACAAAAGCTTTGCAACAATAGTTGCCAATAGTTAACTTGATCAACCACACTTGATTTACAGTACAAGTCTCGTGCAGATTCCCTAATAATCAATCGAGCTGTCTCCTCTACGGTAAGGCCATTCGAATGAGACCATCAACAATTCCTACACCCACGGTAACTTAATATAGTGTGTGAACTGACAAGAAAAAAAGAATAGCGTACGACATTATGTTACCTTGGTATTGCAGTAGAGAGTTCTTGTACTGCAGGTGGAGGAAATAATTTAATTTCATCCAATCCAAAACTTTTCCAACATGGAGAAGGTTGCCTCATTAAGATTCGTAACACAGCTACATATTCCAAAGGGAATCGAAATCTGCTCGAAGCTATAGAAAAGAAACTCTGAAACCCAAGAATAACAGAAATATTAAAGAAATCATCACATCCTAGATGAGGTGTGAGGTTTTAACCCTTTTCCAATGCCGACATAGTTCAGCTAACTACTGGGCACCCACAACTTGTCCAAAAAGAATATCATGGCCTCTGAAAATGAAGAAGATCTTTAGATAAATTTTGAATTAGGTTTACGTTTTATCAAACAATGATCCTTTGGAATTAGATACCGGTAAATCATATTATCATGATACCTTTTTGAAAATCTGCTTATCAAAGTACCTGAAAAATTTAAAAGTATCGAAATATTAGAACAAGGAATCTTCAGAAAATTTATTTTCCACTTACCTGGCTGCAATTTTCAGAGTGTGGATTCGGCATTAGCTTCATCTTTTTCATTGCTCTCTTCCATATTGTTGTTGTTTCACCGCCTTTTATTGTCTTTTTTATCTTCAAAAAGAAGATTTGGTTACAAAGTTTGAAACCAAATTGGGGAAATATAGTTTGTTTGTGCAAAGAGGGCATGAACTCACAACTGCATGAAGAATCCTTTGGTGAGTCCAACTAAATATCTTCCTGCTCATAACCATTACATATTTTAAATCCTAATGGATGCCAGACCAAAACAATAATAATTTACTTATCCTACTACATTATGAAAGATTTATTTTGAATCTGAAATAATGTATACATTCAAGATGGTATTCACAGTGAAAGAGGGCATTGTTGGGATGAGCCTAAAACTTATCAGCAATTAGCGAGACTTTATGACCTAATCAGCCATACTATCAAGAGTAGAATTAATATGAACAAATTCGATGTACATTGAACATACTTAGTCAAACCCACACCATCATACCTTGCACATGATAGAGACATAAGCTGTGTAGTTGTTGCGAAAAGTTACCGATCCAATATCCACAACACCCATGTTGGGAAATGTTACATCAATCACCGAACATCCGGAATTGATGTCCGAACCGCCAATGTTGATAACTTGAGGTGATTTAAATGTGCAAATAATAGGTTTTGTTGACATCTTGTTTTTAGAATTTATACAGTGGATAGAAATAATAAATTAGTTTCTCAAACTCCTTCAGTGGTCACAAAACGGTTTGAAACTGGTGGGCGTGATGAATTTACAGACTCAAGACGCCGAGGCGAATGTCGGATGGATGGATATTCTGATGGTGGGTATTGAAAACGTCCTCCTGCTCTTGGGTCTGGGCTGGAGTATCCAGGAGTTCGTGATGAAGGCCTGGTTATTGAGTATGGACCTAAAGGACTGGAACCAGAGTAAGGATATGATTCCCCACTTCTGGTTGGTATTGGTCCTGAGGGGTAGGGATAATTAGGATACGGTGAGTTTGGATCAGGAGGATACGGATACTGTTGCTGTCCTTGTGTTGTTGCTTCCCCGTCTCGACAGCTTATTGTGCAGCAAAGACAGTGAATTTCACTGCACTCTGGTTTCTCACACTGTATCGCAGGACAATCACAACATCCACAGGATATACCAGAACAGGAGCTACCGGTATCTGCACAGCAAGACTGTAAAAGTTGATAGAACAATGAACAAAGTAGTGAACGATCATTTTCATCCTGATCTTCCAATTGTTACTGGATTATTTTTGATTGTGACATTCAATGTAAATATACAGAGGATCTACGAAATGTATTTTTATAGATTGAACCAAATTGAGATGATACAGTTTAAACTGTTCTCCTGCTTTCATACTGGTGATCAGTCATTAGTGGTTAACTTTTTTGAATTTATAGGCCATATTTTCAGATTAGCGTACTACTTCATTTGAATGCCAAAAAGATAAAAAACAGTTTCCATAAAAATCACTTCTAATACAAGTCAAACAGTGTTATTTAATATTCTAAAATATTTGAAATAGAGATCAAATAAAACGAATCTTTATATTAAAATAAATGTAGAAGCAATAATTTGTACTAAAACTCATGAAAATTTATTAAATATCTAATTGAAGCATGGATCACTACAATAAAAGAAGGCATCATAGAACCGCTAATGCATTCATGATACAAAAGCATGTTAAATAAATGAGAGAGAAGAAGGTCATTCGTGTATATATGAAATATGTTTATAAAATTTATTTTAACTTGAATGACTAATGGCTGCTACAAAGTCATGATCTATGTGAAATATTAAAGTGTAAAATAAAACATACATTACAGATTCTCAAATTTTATTCCCTGGTTTATCCTATGGCAAATTCCGAAAGTGAAATATATCTATAAACTATATAGATTTCGGTGTATTGCAAGTGAACTATTATAAACATCAATCGTGCTATAATAAACATCTATTCTATAATAGAGTACTTTGCAACAGTCTATCTTGTCAAGAGACACATGCAAATTCTTGCTTGCAAAATTCACTCCGGCTGAAAAACCCTGGCATACATCATAGTTTTGCTGCACAATGAACTATGGTACTTTACGAAATAAAAATATTCCAGATTATGTAAATAGAAATATTTCCATGAAGGCTGAGCTCGTAATAAATAGTGAGAAATGTAAAGTAAGAAGTGAAAATTTTCAATAACAGGAGTGACTGATAAGATTCACAGTGCAGAATAAGAATGATAAAAGTTACAATTGTAATTAGGAAGATATCGGTGATCGTGAACAAGATAAAACAAAGTGCTTTCCAGCATTCTTAAACACAGAGCACACCACACCTTTGAGGTGAAGGTTTCAATTTGTAATTGAAGCTTCTTTGTTAAAATAAGCATATGAATTCAAATAGTCAATACTGCTATTATCATTTTGGAAATGAATCTGGACTAACATTTGGCATCATATATCACAGTATCGAAAATTAGTCAAATTTGATTTCTATATGATCAAACTATCGTTATGAATATCCCTACAACATACTGCTATTACCTTTGCGCTATTTTTATTTTGACATCTTTGACACATGGGGTAAATTTCACAAAACATAAATTACCATGATCTGACTTCTTCGGAAAATAACAATACACGAAAACACCTTTACTTTTCAATACAGTACCAGAAATGTTTCAGCTGCCATCAGTACTAAAATGGCATTCTATATGTCCCACAAGATTCAGTAAACATTTATTTGTTCCATAATGCACTGGTGTATATAAATGTATTGACCAAACTGGATTGACTTTGTTGGTCATATATACTAAAACAAACAATTACCTACATTTTCCAATAATGATAATTCTGAAGCTAATGATTTGTTAAGCTGTAACATGCATGATTATTACTCACAAAATTTAGTAGAATCGACATTCAAATTTCATGTACTGAGCGCTGATTCACTAGCCCAATAAACTGAAACACCATATTTTAACTGAGAATGTTGGAAAACACTACATTAATTGCTATGCCAACACATTCCCAGCAAAGGCAGATCATGTAAATTTTAGCATATTAGACACTAAAATATCACAACTGAACTCCTATTTAGAATTGTAAAAATAGCAAAAAAAACAGAAACAGCCCCATGATCGTCCTAGGAAATCATATTTGTTCAGAACAAGACCTCTGAATAAGCAGTAACTGACATGTAGGTGGGTGTGAAACTTTACTGGTAACGTCTCAACTCCTAGATATAGTCTACCCAATTTATCACATCCTTTGGGTGATATGGCGAATTGGGTTTGAACCGAAGATTTCCAGTCTTTGTACTTACCATACTTTTTCTCCATTAATATTAAAAATTTATTAATAATTATTTTTAAATCTATCAAACTTAAACTCTAGAGAAAAGAATAATCTAAGATTACTTAATTGACAAAATCAACTACGCTAGTTAGCTACATTAATCTAATATTAATGAAAACACACCAAGCAAATATTATTTGCCATATGCCAATGCTAATATTCTAATGTTGAAAGCACTGATTGTTAAATATAGCAATAAAAAGACAAATATAAAAAAATGTTCAGCATAATAGAAATGTTTTGAGCTGACATGCTGTTAGTAATCAACCCACGGCACTGCAAACACTACATTCATACCAGAGGTTGTTATCACCAGATGTAGTTATCGAAGTTGAACCTCAAAGCAGAGGCAGTTTACACGATCGCAGTCAGGGCTTTGACAGGCACAGGCACACTCAATGCAGCTGCAGACCTGCGGCTGTGTGTCAATGATAGTATAGACATGCATATAATAGAAACAAACGCCATTTTGCTTCAAATCTGTTTATTTTATTATGGCAAGAATAATAGTCTGTCTTTGAAGAGAGAATGTTGTTTATATCATGCTTCAAACATGGTTATTGGATAAATGATACAGGTATATTTAAAAATTAAAAAACAAAATTGGGAAAAAAAAGTTTGACTTCAATTAGGGATGCCACTTTTGGATTTACGAATCGGATCGATTCGAATCGCATCTTTTCCGGATCGATTCGAATCAGATTTACGCGATTCGGAAAAAGAGAGCGATTTAGCGAAAAAAAAAAACATTGAACGTTTGTTAAATCGCCGTTTTCGGCGGCTTTAAATCTGCCAGAGTGTGTTTATGCGGCACTCCAAATAACGCCAAATTACGGGACCGAAAAAAAAACATTGAACGTGTGTTAATCGTTGTTTTCGGCGGTGTTAAAACTACCGAATGCGTTTATGCAGCACTCCAAATAACACCAAATTACGGGACCGAAAGAAAAACATTGAGCATTTGTTAATCGTTGTTTTCGGTGGCGTTAAAACTGCCGAATGCGTTTATGCGGCACTCCAAATAGCAACAAATTACGGGACGTAAATAAATGAAAATGAATTTTTCGTGATTGACTTTTTTACTTGTCTGCCCTCATTTGTTTCAAGTTCGACACAACACACTCTTTTACGCATCACTCGAGATGATGTGTGGCGTAATTACCAGCAAACTGCGAGTTCAGTTTTCCACTAAATAGCCGAAGTTTCCATTACGCGCGAATTTAAATGGATCGTATACCTGAAAATTCGTGACAATTTTGATGAAAATTTTCAACAGCACACCTGCGCTGCGACTAAGTTATTGTACGCCCTGGCATGATTGGATAAAGAATCGGCCACCGACGTCTAGATAATGTTTAATTTTGATTGAAATTTAATTTAAACTTTGTTCTGAGAGCAATATTTTGCGTACATTTGAAGAGAACTATTACTGAATGAGTTCATCGGCCGGCAATGTTAATTGACAATCATGTTTCTCATCCTAAAATATATTTTTATTTTGTTTGCGTTTGTCAGGCGTCCACTCGAGTGGCGGTAAACGAAATCAGGGGGACATAAAGTAATAGTACATACACGTCTTTTTTCAGCTGTTACAAAAAAAAGTAGTATTTACTTTTAATTTTGTTAGCGCGATACAAGCGAATAAAACATTTCGGATTATTTCGAGCAAATGTCATAACGGACAGGTGGGAGTAAATAATACTTGAGGAATGGCAACTTGTGCACTGTTTTACATCAACACGTGGCAGATTTCATACCAGACCGAGCATACTGTGCGAATGTCGTCTTACTTTAGCCCCAGCGACCATGTCCGATCGAGATAAAGCGTCAATCAATTATCGCTCGTCAGCGCGGCGTCCATTATGCACATTTGGACTTTCTGAACTACGAAATTAAACGTAGTCCACATTAATAATGAAGCCCGAGTTAGCCAATAACGCTGTTAGCCACAAATAATACTTTCTCTAATATTTATGGAAATTTTTGTTCGCAATCGTAGTCGGATGAACGATTGTTTTTATCGAATTTAATTTAATCGTGGTTAATTTTATCGTCTTCAATCATATTCTTGGAAGCATTTCCCATTTATAGTAATTCAGATGCAATTAGAATGTTTTTGTCGTATTACTCTATGCTGCTAGCATAAATATAAAATATTGTACTAAGATTTTGAAGATAAAGAATCGGTAATAAGGCCGGCCTCAATTCAATATAACAAGAAGGGAAATACCACGGTCACATATACTGGTGTGGGACAAGGAAAAGCAGTGCTGTTACTGTGTTTACGACATAACAGTACAACTGTTCCCTGCTTATTTTCTCATATGAATTCCATCAAATTGCCTCAGCCCTGATACAAGTATAACACAATAACTCAGTATTGTAAGACTCACAGATAAGTTGCAACAGCAAGTTTTTCATCAATGCATTTATTAGTGATATCTATGACCTACATCTTTTTTATCATGATGAAAATAGGTGTGGCTTATTCACTGAAAAACCCTTATCATCCTTGCTATATAGCCTATTCCATTTTCAAATTTTTTTCTTCTAGATTTGAGCTTTTTTGTGACTTTGGCAAACATACGCATGTAATGAAAAAAAAGCTTAATGGAATCAGATTCGGAAAGATTCGATTCGAAAAGTTTTGATTCGAGATTCGATTCGAAAAAAAATGTATCCAGAAGTGGCAACCCTAACTTCAATATCTATGTTAACAGATTTCTTATCTTATTATCTTCTTTATTATCTTATGTAAATATATGTACCGTAAATAATATGAAAGTTTCCAGCTGTGATTATATTCCAATTATATCCAACTTGAATAGTCACAAGCAAAATTTAAACGGTTTCGCATGCCTAACTATATCATGATTTATTAATAAAAAAAATTCTGGCGTGGTAATCCTTTACCAGTGGTAATGTTAACCAATAAGCGATGACGGGCATAATATATAAATTTTCACAATGAAGGCCTTGTAACTTTTCTCCTTTTCATTATAAGGCTCAGAAAATAGAAATATGTCACAGAAGTACATAAATTCATACATTTATCATTTTTGCAATGATAAAAAATATGAAATATATGCAAACAAGAATAAGACACTTTTAAAAAAAAGGTAATTTGAAAAATAGCAATATGCTTACATTATCACTCTGCTCACAAAGTCCACACGTCAGACAATCTCCAATGTCGCAATGCTAAACAATTGAAGATATGTATTAGTATATGAATTAATGAGAGAGAAATATTTAAATATATGAACACGAAGGTTCCATGACTAACTGCAGTATTGGTAGTTAGTATTTGTAATTTTTTTTAACCACGGAACACTTTTTATATCGCAAATGTTTGTGGAACATTAAAAAAAATTTAAGTTTTTTTAGAAATAGGTAATCGTTTTTGCGTGTTTTATTTCAAAATATTTATACACCATAACAAGAGTAATTGATATAACATGTGGTACGTGTTGAAATATCGTTGGCAACTGCCTTCTACTGAAAAATTCAATTTCTGCTATGATATCATAAAACTCAAAATTATTTGCACAGTTGATTTTCACTGTCTGTTAACAGACTCACCTTAAAACCAAATAAGTGATCTTCAATATGTATTATTTATATCATAAAATATCTCATTCCAAAAAAATTGAAACAATAATTTGACACCTGACAGACATGAAGGTCTTTCACGGAACACCAGTGTTCCTCAGAACACCGGTTAAATATCACTGGCCTGACCCCCGAAGTTCGTTATATTATCATTCAAAACCTTAAAATTCATAAAGCGAAAATTTCTGTCTTACTTTTCTAGGTCCACAGATGCTATCACAACAAGTGGTTGCACCTGGTACACTACAATTGCAAGCTTGTGCAAATGACAAACAACAGTCACAGCAATTGTTTGTGTCTTCTGCTTTCCCACAAACGTTACACTCCGCACAAAATCCACGAGACTAAAAATAAAAGGGATTGAAGGATTATGTACACAAATGGAGAACATTTTATTAAATACCGTAATTTAAAAATATAGGTGCAAAAAAAGTGGAAAGATTATATTTTCAGATATTTAATCATCATAAAAAATATAATTTTAGGGATTCTCACTGTTAATAATATGCCCGTAGCTTTACTGACAATATCTCTTTTCCATTGATTACTGATATAAAGACATTTAAACTAAAACTATTTGATACTAATACTATCATACTGATGGTCTTAAGCATACTACAAACTTAACATAGTTTAGTACATATTCTCTTTCATTAGGCTTACTGTTACTCAATCTGACTTTGGTATCATTACCTCTGGATCTTTATCTTTAAAACAGCAAATTTGGCAAAAACAGCAAACAGGATCTAAAGGCTAAAAATCCTCATTACTTTACAAAATTATTCATAATATCTGACAAGTTTTAGAATGAACGCTTTCAATTCTTTGGCACTGATGTGAGCCCTATCTAAAATTCAATTATCAAGTATGACCATTTTATTATTCATTTTCTCAAGTAACATTTTCGATGTACAAATATATCATTTCTAACACTAGTATAAATGACTTAAATATATAAAACTATCTCTGTTGACGATCGTTTAAATAACATTTTCAACATTGATGTAGAAATAGATCGCTTTTATTTCTAGTATAATTGACTTACATATATAAAAACAGCTCTTTGCGATCATTTTTTATATCATAGAACTCAAAGACATGATAAGCTTTAGGTTTAGTATATCCTGCTTGATAAATGAACTTTACTGTATCTATTACCTGAAAACAACCGTTGACTGACAACCAACAATTCTCCTCTGTATAACCAACACAACATAAACACCTTACACAATCGGAGTATTCTTCTTTATAGTTATCCTGCTTTAAAAATAGCATCTAACTGAGTTTAAAATATTCCTAATTATTGTTATGATATAAAGTCTTCTCAAGACAACTCTCAATAACAAAAGTACTAATTGAACAATGGAATTGTGTGCAAAACGGTACTGCTGAATGCTGCATTAATCAATATAAAAAGATGATAATTAAAACATAATTAATCATACTAGTTTGGAAGACTAGAATTATTGACTTGACTCGAGTTGGGCTCAAGTGAGCATGTACTCGGTGTCTCGGATGACTAAACTTGCGACTCAGGGTTTGAATAATTCTACCTAATGTAACACTGGTGCATACACTGCTTCTTGTGTAGTATCTCTCGAATGAAACTACGGTAACTGTTTTTTCAAGTGCAATACTAATTTTGAAGGCAAAATCTTGTTGAATTTGAAAAAAATGTATGTTACAAGTTATATGCCAAGCAACAACATTGATAATCGAACATAACTTACCACAATACACTGTCGAATAAATATTGCAACAATAAAAAATGCGAGATATGCAAAGACACAGATGATAATAATAACTGGAGTATCAAGTTGAGATGATGTTGCAACTGTCGTGGTAGGAATTGTTATCGGCTAGAATAAAAAGAAAATTAACATTGTATCAAATCATCATACAGAAGACAGAGAAAAAACAGCGCAAAATGATTGAAAATTCAAATATTATGTTGACTCAACCAGAGGTGTTCAAATAAATAGACTATCCAATAAAATTAAGTTTAGATACAGCTGCATTTTTGGTTAGTCAGTTTCTTAATTTCAGTAATAATTTTATGAATATATTTTTTTTTCAATTTAGGCAATTGACATTCAGACAAAATAGACTTCCATTCAATTTTTAAAATCTGTGGATAACTAAATGGAAACATGTTCGTGTAAAATATTTTGCCTCATCAATTTAAATCACAAAAATCTAGCCATATATTAAAGTCTTAATTAGCATAATAACATAAAGTAAAACTCACCGCCATTTAACTCACGAACAGTAATTTGCCCTCATCATCAATTCAAAAGCCCATGAAAGATGAAATTAAAATTTTTCTGTACGTTTTATTTTTCCATCACATATTTTATTAACAAATCGAGTATTTGAACATAAATAAAAAATAATGTTATTTTCTATTCGCACTTTCTCTAATCCAGATCCCAAACAAAATACACAACTTTATTTTGAAAACAATCAAGAAATTTAGGAATAAACCATGAAGGTAGGTACAGAAAAAAATGAGTCAGGAATATTTATTTAAAAATACAAGCACAAAAACCGAAAATAGTAGATTTCTATCACACAAACACCAGAACATGTATGGTGCGGTACCGCAATTTTTTGGTTAACACCCTCCATCTTACATTCTGTACGTTTTGTACCCTATCTAAGGTTTTGTTTGCTCTCCTGATTTCATAATCAGTTTTTAGTACTTATCGATTTTAATCGGTAAGTATGTTGATAGGTATTTGTCTGTCTGTCTGTATGTATGTCTGTTAGATGCACGCGATATCTCACGAAAGCGAGATTGAATCTGCTCCAGATTTTGCATGTACATTCATCATATCTCGGACCAGGGGCCTATTGATTCTGGGCAAATTATGCCGTATAATTAGCGAGTTATTAATTGATTAGTGATGGAACACAAGGTGTCACTATGGAGTAAGAGCGATGTTTTAGGGGATCCCTTAACTTTCGATCGATAAGTCTTTGGTCTCTGACCGATATTCTCGTTTATTCTGTTATTTGGTTTTATCAATCATTTTATCGCCTGTTATGCTGATTATGGAGTCAAAATAAACTTTTAGGGTAGGCCTACTTTCAAACTTTTACTTTTATCATGAAGTCATATGTGATATCTGTCCAGCCATTTGAAATTTGTTGACGATATCTGTTTCTCAAACTCAGAAATTGTTAATACAATAATATTGCATACCGTACCTTATTTAAGTACATGTACCGGTACTTCTTTTTATTCAGTCATTACCACTAGGCATACGGGTATTGGTACGGTACATCATTGCCAAATTCACGAAGCCACTTATACTCCAGTAGTGGTACCGTACGGTATCGTACTTCCGAGAGAAACATGGGCGCTCTATGTATGAGATTTTGATTGCGAGTTCGTTGTTACCGCTACCGGCACGTTTTTCTGATGTACCGGTAATCAAATAAACTTACCGTTGAAAATGACGGTACCGGTAGCCTTTCCGGAAGTTTTAACCATTAAAATATGGAGTCGAAATAAAGTTATACAAAAGCCAAGCTAACAATATAGACTATATCCACAACTCCGCCATTATAGGAAAAAGGTAAATACAAAAGGTTTACATCGTAAATATAGCGGTTGACCAACCTTGAAATAGAGTATTGTTCAAACCTTTTATCTCAGGATGGGGGCTGCGCATACGGTATATTTTTTATTCGAATCGAATAATTTTCTAGAATATGACCGAATATTTTTGCGCAATCTTGCATCTGTCTCCACAATAAAAAATCCACTTTGATCCTGTGGTAACATACGTGCAATTCGGTGATCGTACATTTGAACCCTCGTACATTTGAACCCATGTGTATATTCGCGGGTTCAATCTATATGCGGGTGCTCAACCCATGGGTGAGGGTTAGTATGGGTTCAAATATCCGTAAAACAAAAAAAATTCCATAGGTGCGATAGTATGCCGGTGCAATCGTCGTGGGTTCAAATGTACGTGGGTTCAAATGTACGTGGGTTCAAATGTAATGGAACCGTGCAATTCCATCTAAAATACCGCCGAAATTTTGCTTAAGTTTGTTATCATAGGTCAATGAGCATGTATATATGCTCATTGCATAGGTGAAATAGGAGACCACATACCTTACGTCATACTGGTCAAAAAATCTACAAGCCTCGAAAACTTTTTTGAGTGTTGAAAGTTGAGAATTACACAAAGACTCTCGATATTTTATTTACGCAACTCTAATGAATTTGGGTTTAATAAAACATGCAAATCCTTTTAATTGTTATTTTATTTTAGTTCTATTATCATTCGTCTCAACATTTTTTGTGTATTTTTGTTTTAGCAAAGTATAAGTATATATATGAGGGTATTGGTGTTAAGTGACTAGATGGCCAAGGTGTGGAGTAGATAGAGTGATCTAACTTTGGGTGTTTTTGCATGGTGTGATAATTTCTTCTGTGCACCAAGCAGATTATCCCTTAGATCGTCTAATTATCACTATATAATGACAATTTCTGCCAAAAGCATTTTGTAATTATAAGTTCAGCATGTTCCTCTTTATCCAATCATTGAAAATCTACGCGCAGATTTATTCTTCGTTTTTCAGGTTACGTCACAATGATTAAATGAAAAAATTAAACAAAGACTCTTATGAAGTGATCCGTTGAAATAACAATCTTATGCCTATATCTCCGTCTGACGTCAATATCTAAAAATGGAAAAAAAAAACTTACTTACACGCTTGGTAACCAATTTATTCTCATACCCTATTGTCCTACTTTACTTTAATTATAGTAACTTACACTGTTACCGGTAACTTTTAGTAATTATTCAAACTGGACTATAATTTGGCAATAACTAGCTATAATTCGGTAAATGAAGTGATCTAGCCCAGTGGTTCCCAACCTTTCTACCCTGGCGGACCGGTAAAATTAAATAAAATGTACTCGCGGAACGGCAAAAAATTAAAATACGTGGAATAATAACATTTATTTGCGTAATATAATGCAATGTCGGGCACTTGATATGCTTTTGGATAAAAAAAAGGCACACTTGAAAACATTTCACATGAAGAAAAACTATCAAAAGATAATCTATTCTCCTCGTTCTTATAAAAACATATCAAAATGCTTTGTTGGTTAACTAATCTCATATTAATCGTATTATATCATAATGCATCGTATCATATTAAATTATCCTATTGCAGTTGTTCGACGCCTCAAACAAAATGAATTTACATTACAATGACAAAGTCGTCGGTAACTTGGCATCATGCTCAAAATCCTGCTGTGCGTCACCTGAAAAAGATTTCTGCGGCCCATGCTTTTGTTGCGCATCTCGTGACCACCTGCAGAGTCGCAATAAGTCTATATCTCATTGGATGTCAAGACGAAGCCCTGGAATATTTTAAGTATATATAAGTTTATTTTGATTTTCCGAAAAAAAAACATACACAAAACAACGAACACACAAAAGTTTGGGAAAATCGGGAAAACTGGTAAAACGTTTAACAAAGTTTAAAACATGTAGAAATGCATGTGTCAGTTTACCCATCTAACACAGCAGTTCTCGAACTTTTGTTATTGCGGAGCCCGGAAAAAAGTTGACTATTATTCACGGAGCCCCAAAATAAATTTAAAATTGTTACTTTCCGATTAATATTCCTGAGTAAGTTAAAGGGTTTTTACTTAATTTAAATGCTAAACCCTTTTTAATATGGTAATTACAAGTCATAAATAAATCCAAATTTTAAAGATAAGTTATATATATTAAGGCTGTAAATTTGACGCAAACATAATAATGAATTAGGGGTCGAATCATTTTCCTTTCGATATTTTTGGAAGACTTGAAAGGTCGCTGATAACGTGCGCGATTGCATTTTGTGAAATCGCCGAATGTTTTCGTCAGCGTGACGTGATTTTTAAACCTTAATTAAACATCTTTACGTAGGTGTTTATTCCCCTAAATCAAAAATTGTCTTCGGCATATACATGGATTGTTCTACAATGACGACGATAATTGCTTTTTTGTTGAGTTCAATATGAAAAACATGTTACCATATTATAGCCATCGGCGACGAGATGCTAAAAATAATTAATAAAGAGGTAAATCCGCAACTCAAATTTCCTAAGTGATTCAAGAGTCTTGCTGTACACTAACACAAATATATTTCTGTAACGTTGTTAGTCTCGCAGAAACCAAATCATTAGCACAAATTTCCTGAAAAGCGGCATTATGAAATATTAGGATTAAAACGGGAGATAACACTACAAGTTTACGACGATTAAAAACGTATTTCTAGACATTGTAAATCACGAAATTGCAATCAGTCATGATTACGAAAATTGATTGAGGTAAACAACTGCGAAATAATGTGATAGGTGAAAACAGTGTCAGCAAAACTAATCAATAAATTCTAAACGTCTCCGCATAGAATTCTTCATTATGAATAAAATCCAACGTGGGTGTTATGTTGTTCTAGTTTTCTTCGTATGGAATTCCTTATTGTGAATATAATTCGAGGTGAGTGCTGTGTTGTAGGTGTAACATTTACCAAGACGTATCCGGGCCATTAATACCACAAACAGCAATATGTCGGCAGAAGAGAAATTGCGTAATAAACCAACGCAACGTCGTTTTTTCTGCTTCGGATTAAGACGACAAAAAAACAAAGTTTTTAGCGGACCGGCATCTTACTGGATGTCAAGGCGAATCTCTTGAATATTATACTGTTTTCTGGTTTAAACAAGAAATATTCATAACCTTTTATTTGGATGTTTCTATTAAGCAGGAAATGAATCGAGTAAGACGATTCATGGTTCATTTTCTACATATATATCACATATACCACTTATCGCGATAAACTTTCGTTTATCATTTCTACTGCCTATTTGATGGCAGCATATTAAAAAAACAGACAAACTGCCGTCTTATCGAGATTTTACGCTTCTGGTGGAGCGTTAACAGATCTTATATCCGCTTCACCTTTTGCTACTATTCGTGGTAATTGGATATTGGATTTTAAAACTCTAAACAAATTGTTTATAATTGTTCGAATACCATGTTATCTAGTTGAGATTCAGTTATTTCGCATCGGCCATTCAAGATCCCTTTCCAATTGGCCGCCGTCAAAATTGCCAACTTTCATGACATTTGACCGATGCTGCAGCAATGTTTTTCTGCTCTGATGACGCTCACCCTAGCGCCGATTCAGAGTTCATCAGTCCAAGTTGTTCATTACCTAGTCCTAGTTTCCGACAGTCCACATCGAACGGATTGGTTTAAATTTTCTAATTGCTAGTCACACTCACACGGAAGCCTATATTATACACTGATTATCAGATACCACATGATTTGCAACTATTTATAGGATGATTCATGTACAATGAAAGTAATTGATATGAATACCCCTGATTTTCATATTGTCCACTGTGTTTACTTTTAATTGCGTGGAAAAAAAATTAACACCGACAGCGAGTGGTAGGATAAAGTAATCAAGTGTTTTCCTACCATATAATACCATGGTATCGTTAGAAGGATTACAGAGATCTCTTTGAAAATGTAGATTTCATCAGGCGAATAAGAGGAAGAAAAACAGTTACAATTTGGTATATTAATTGAATCCTTCAAATGACGGACCTATAAAAATTCAAACAGATACGAGCATTATAAGTATCTGCAAAAATGTTAAGGAATTGAGGTGATATTTGCAAAATATGCAGGATGACAAAGGTAAACGACAAGGTTTTGAGCCATCCTGTCATATATAAAAATGGTCAACAATATTGCAGTCTTTTTTGAATTTTTTTTTTCATCAGTGCTGAAATTCTTTAAGCAACTCGAACATACGTCGGTATTTTGGCAATCTTCTTTCGAACAATAATGCCGAATGATGATTTCGAAGTAATATGGTTATCATAAAAACGAGTGAGTTTATTCTCTATAATTCTTTATATAAGCTGCAAATCCCGATGTACGACAGGCGGTCTTGTAGTTATATACATACAATACCATATAAGTACAACTGGTGTCCGAGGTCGAGTTACGGTTTCAAGTAACGAAAACACAGGAAAATGCATCCTCTTCAGGGATTGAAGTTTGCGTGAAAACGCTTCAACCGTTTACCAAATTTTGACAGGTTGATTAGTTAACCGCTGTTGGTGCCAAAGGCGCCGCTCATATCAACGTCGTCACATTTGACGTATAATAATGGGAAACCACAACTTGTTTCGTTGTGATTCGAACGTTCGGCACTACTTCCCCAAAATATTTGCTAACCCATAGTCTTTTGACAGAATTTGTTGAATGTTGAATGCATTTGTTGAATAACATTCAATAGCCGTTCTTACAAGTTGTGTCACGCCAATTTGGAACATTACACTGCTTGTATCAATTCGAGCCAGTGATTATTTATATATATATATGCTAAGCAGCACAATACACAATGATAGGAATTCATTGCCTGGTGTGAGTCATCCTTGATGAAGAATAACTCCGTGAATAGCCTAACAGGATATCCCGATGTGATCGTGTATAAAATAAGCCCTTTGCTTTTACCTATTCATTCAGCAGCAAAGGTATATGAATGCCAAGTGAGTGCATAGGTGAGAAAAAACAAGCTCACAGACGAAATTTTGTACAAAATTCTGGATTACAGATTTTACAGGTAGATAGATGATGCTGCGCAGTGGCATATTCTTCGTTGGCAATAGCTCAAAGGAAAGAATTGTATTACACCGAATGTAGCTTTATGTGGCGTGTAATTATGAGTCCCACAACCCGAAAAAGGCATATAAACGACCAGATGTTATGTGAATGCGTGATATCGGTCTATCCAACGCGATTATCCTACCCTGATAATAATGCAACACATGGTTGTTTGTGTCTGATGTATATACCGGTATTCAATATAGGATGGTGCGGCTACCATTTTATTGTTACACAATGCACTGATTCCACTTATTTCCTCTGCAACCTAAACAAATACATCTACTCTTTTCTCAATATTGGTTGCGCATTGTCCACCCACAGCATTGACATCCGCTCAAGTGTCACATCACGAATCATCACACAGGGTATAGTGTTAAGTCAAGTGTGTGTCACTGATAGACTATATGATATATCTATGGCCTTAGTTTGTAGTGACATGAAAACCAGCTGCATTTTAGTATTGTTTTAATGTAAAATTGCAAAACAGCAAGCACCAATACATTATGCAGAATATGGATTTTCTGTAACAGGATGTTGTATTAAGAATGAATCATATATCTGAACAAGGTAAACATATCAGCAGCAGATCCTTCCGTTTTGAATGGCAAACTTATACCAGCAGATGGACGATGTGGGAAATATAAAATAGGAGAAGCGTATACTGTGCACAATTTGAATTCGTTTTATTTCAGATAATCCGTATGGAAAGTACAGATTTGAAGAATAGGATATAACGCATATATATATTGTTTGCTATTATCTTTTGTTCACTAATATGCAAATTTTATTAATCATGATTCATACTATTACTATAGTGACGATAATGATTTGATACAAGTTGATCAAAATGCCAATCGGAGCAAAGTCGTTTGCAACCTCAGCCGCCAAAAGCTTGACACAATTCAAGGGTACAGCCCTAAATACTGGCATAGCGGTTCTCACAGTGGTTCTCGAAGAAGTCTTGAACCGTGCGGTTTATTACTGCCCTTGCGTAACTCCAAGTGAACTAGGTGATTGCTTCAGCACGAGTAACAGCATCAATTCTTCGTTTAAGTGCACAGCCGAAATTAATCACACATACGGACTATCATATATTTTCGGACCTGCCATCGCTCTGTTCTTCTTTATGGCAGCTTCTTCACCAAGGTTATGGAAGACATTAACTGGATGTTGCAACAAGGACAAGGACTCGAGGCGACGGAAAGATCGGGTGCTGTGGACTTTTATTGAAATATTTGGCAGAGCACTCATAGCCCCGGTAACGTGGGTATGCTTTGCGTTATTAGATGGAAGGTATTATGCTTGCGCAGTTACTCCACTGCCATATGATATCGGGAAAACTGGCCACCAATACAGCTCTTGTACAGAGGTAAGTTGAATTTTAAAATTTCAGAACTAAGGTTGTCCTTAGCGCTAGATACATTGAAGTAGGTGAAACCATTTTTGTTTCATAAATTATACAAGCAATCTGGCGCCTGCAAATGGCGCAAACTTCACACTTCGTCGCGTCATATCGAATCAAAGAATTTGCGAGTTGCAGTGGCGAATGTTTGTAGGCAACAACAGAAGCTTCGAAGATATATTTTGCAGCTGGTTAGAGACAGGGTGTCGCAATTTCGAATTTACGTCCAACATATAGGATTGTAAAACATACTTACTTGGAATAGTAATTTGTTGCTATGATTAATCAATAAAGAAATTGTGAAATCAAACAAAAACGGGAAGAACTAAGCTAATCGAATTTACTCAAACATGGCGTTCTTATTTTTTACTACTCCGTGTTTTTCTGAATACTAATCTACCGAAGTACAATTGTTTTGAACAAACGTTAATCAAAATTCATTTTAAATTTAGGTCGCAAAGGCTGTTAAACCTGCGTATTCGGATGCATACAGTGATAATAGAAGTTATTCACAAATCTGGGGATGGGTATCTATAGCATCGTGTGTCGCCTTCGCTTTTGTCATTTATTCGATTTCCCGTTGCGGGTATCCGTTGACGTATTATCACGCAAAATATTTCGATTTGTACCGAAGGTTTGAAGAAGAGGAATTTGACGATGAAATGAAGATTAAGGTAATGCCATTTTTGATAACACGAGAACGTACTTCACGTATTCATTTAAGTGAGTAAATCTGATTACGTATAGTTGTTACCATGAGCTCTGGCATCGGGCGTGGTGGCTTCTATTAGAATTCTACTCGGACACTGAGTTTACATATTGATATTTTTGCTGAATTGTTGTTGTCGCTGTTCTTATGGTTGCTGTTGTTATTAAGAAAAATCTGTCTTTTCCGTAAGTAATAACCGTGATCAATCGACTTTAAATTTTCAGTACTCAAAGATGAAAGGAGTCGCAATAAGGATTTTACTTTTTGTTTAGTTTTAAATCCTCGCTACGAGTACTATAAGACGCGATATGTCACCTAACATTCACGAAAATAGCATTATAGTATTTTTATATTACTTCACAAAATTCTTTATAGACATATATATATTATTCTTTTACGTTTTGTTGCTTTTGAGTGAAAGCTTGGCCATGACCAATGTTTCCCAACGTAAATCGTACTTAGCTTTCTTTACCATATTGGGGATTTCCAAAATGTCGTTCAGCCTATCACCAATCGGTGCCGATCGTCAACACTATAAATAGGTATAATTAAACTTTAATAATTTCTCTAGAAAATTTGCTGACGGCAGCTGACCCGAATAGAATACAATTTATCGTCATTTTATGATTTGCGGCATGATTAAAATCCCGTTTACACAAAAAAACGCTCAGTGAACTCTATTTCTCGTTTTATTTACATTGTCTTATTTACAATTTAGGCCCAGAAAGAAGCTGAAAGCAACATTCGGAAATTCATGTCAAAAAATCGAGAAAAAGCTTTATGGGACCGAATTTCTACTGTATTTTCATTCCATAGAAATCCTAAAAATATTGCATTATATTCCTATCTGCATGAGTTCATAATTGAAGAAGAAAAAAACAAGCCGCTGTTAGAGATAGAGGCCGGGGTCGTAGAGACAACAACGACGGTTTCGACAGATGGAGAAGTAGAAGACGAAGTTTAGATTATTTTATAATTATATATAGGGTGAACAAAACGTCCTGCTTTTGCCAAAAAGTCTGATCTGATGATTGAATGTTTGATTGTTCACGCACCGCTCCAGGTAACTTATTTGCTTTTTTACACAATTCGGGCTGCCTAAAATAATTAAACGACGACTTGAATCAACTGAAATATCAGTGACTGCAAAAGAGACAATTGACTTATTAAAGTTGTCTATACAATTTTAGTTTCGTTTTATGTTTCGAACGTTAAAGCAGTGGATGCGATTCTCAAGATAGAATTCTATTCATCACAGTGCTATCTCCGACACCGCGCAAATCAATAAATTATTGAATGTCAAAATCTCAACCTCATATATATTGAACGATCAGATCAACAAAACTTTTTTTTTTAATTTGCTAACAACTTCATACTTAATTTTACCAATCTGTACCAAAATACATTTCTGCTAGTCTAAAATTACATTCAGCACATTTTATGGAATTTTTCAATGCCCCTAATATTCATATAAATTGTATATATGTATATTTCAACATAATTGTTTGTTTTCTAGAGAAACGCCTTGTTATCCATACCGCGTAATAATTGTAAAAGAAGTTATTTTATGACTATGTTATTCAGTACTAGTGTATTTATATTTTTTTATATTGTTGCAATTCTACTAGTGCTTTTGTAAAAAGGAACCATGCAGTTACAAGTTTTGAAGAGCATAATCCCCACCCTCCAGTGATTAGTCGTATAACGTGTTTCCCCGAAAGTAAGACTGGTCTCATCTCACTTTTTTGCGGAAAATAACACTAAGGCTTATTTTCGGGGGATGTCTTATATTTTCATTTATCTAAACAAAATAACAAAGTAGAGAATTACGAGATTTTCAAATATACAAAATATAAAAACCGATATCCATTTACTTTTAAGTAACACACTTTCGTTCAAAATAACTGCAAAACATAGATTATCAATCATTTCAAACGTGTAGGGGAGATTTCTTGCTATTGACTAGGTCAAAAAAAATCGTGTTATTCACTACGTCTTATTTTAAAGGGAGGGCTTATATTAAAATCATTTTTAAAATTCAGACTATGTCTTATTTTCGGGGAAACACGATATATATTCCGATGAAAGATTTATAAACTTGTTAACGATTGCAAAGAATGGCTCAACCGCCATACCTTCATGACTATTTAAATACAATTTATTCAAGATATTTCAAACATTTCACTGATTTAATTCTTATTCATGTAATACTAAATTTTTAATATATATACAATCATTCTTTCATACCGAATAAATGAATGAAAAAAGACACCAGGTTGATTCGTGTCGTTCTTGGGTACGACCACGTCGCCCATGCAGTTGTGTAAAACCTTAAAAAAGTGTAAGTAAGTATTTATTTCGATTTTCCGAACAGAAAGCACACAACAAAAACAACAATACCAGGCAGTAAAATGTAAGAAAGCACTCCCTCAGACACAAAACACCCAAACCGAAACAACCACACTCAAACAACTGCACCCTGCCAACCCACAGCGCCAACAGGACACCCTAAAAGAACAGATCGACAGTGTTACAGCGCCCCCCAGTGTCTGCAATGCCAAAATACCAAATATGGAAACAATATCACATGACATCATTTAACATAGACTTACCCTAATTTCTTGGGCATAATCCGGGACAAACTCAAAACTATGAATGAAAGGCCGAAGGCTTGAGCTTGGCAATTTTTTTCCATATTTATATTTATAAACTTTAACATTGCATGGTAAAGTATTCTACTTAGATTGAATAAAACAAATTATTACTTTATTTAAAGGAAAATAGATGTTAATTTAAGCAACACCAAGTCACAAATCAGACATGTATAAGAAAAAAAAAAGAATAAACACCGAGAACAAAGAAATAACACTAACTCACAAATCAAACATTTATACGGGAATGCAATCAGAAACCATTGGCTTTTGTGTTTGACCTTTCGTATTTTTCACTTGAGTGAACTGTCTTCAGAAACTGTTTATTATTTCTTATTTTTGTGTAAAACTCGTTACAGCTCAAGCCAATATTGAGTTTGCAAATCAATAAACCCTCTACTGTTGACTTCTTCATCGTACTCCTTTCATCTGACCAAATAGTTTTCATCATAGAAAAAGCTCTTTCAGCAAAAGCCGACGTGCCTGGTAGACAAAATATATATTCCATTACTTTTCTAAGATTAGCCACACTAAAGTGAAATTCCGGGACATTTTGCTAACCGGGACAGACGTTCAAACCGGGACTGTCCCGGCCAAACCGGGACGTATGGTAAGTCTAATTTAACAGATAAAACAAGGGTCGTCACATATGATATCGAAATCCATTGTGTGGTCTGGAAGTTTGAATCCTTCACTGATCTTTTTATGCATGCGGTACCTGTACCTGGTAGCGCCTCCACGAGAGACGAATTGTTTCCAATTCCGCCTCCTCATGGCGTAGTCTGCGGCAGGGGGGCTGACAACTCGAATGCACAGACCAAAGTCCGTATATACCTGACACAGACAACTCTTCAGAGACAATTCAGCTACAGAGAGGCCTGGTAGGTTGTCCGTCTTTTCGCATTTTCTACAGCGAGCTTTTAATACCATAGGAGTGTAATTTCGATTTTTTCAGGGCTCAAGTGGCAAGAAAAACACATTACTGTAGTATTCTCGAAAAGAGCGATTGCTCGACTGGTGGGTGAGTTGTCTGCCTCTCGACATTGTATCTTCGCGTAGCGATTGTTCGGCACGGTACCTAGGCGAGTTGAGACGCATGATACCGTAGGCTACGAAGATCACATTCGTGAATATCTATGTGTTACTGTCATATATAAAGGTTTAAATATGTTTAAAAATGCACATTGAAAACATCCAATATCAACAAATTTCAAACCCACGCAGTCCTATACCGTCAGCAGTCTAACATCACTAACGTTACAACAGACCCAAGTTTCTTTTATAGACTATAGATATATTTGTGTAACTTGAACAAGGTATGTCACTCATGCACATAAAAATGCCTTCTCGGGAATACTAATCTGTTTTTCTCACCATTGGAGCCATAAAAAGATCGAAATTACATATCTGTAGTCTTGAAAGGTCGCCTTAGAAAATGCGGAAAGACGGACAACCTACCAGTCCTTTCTGTAGTCGAGTTGTCTCTGAAGATTTGTCCGTGTAGTGGAGTTATCCGTCAGTCGAAGCAGGGAAAACAGAGCGTTGTCGTAGTACAGGCGGCTGACGGACAACTCGACTACACGGACAACTCACCAGAGACAACCCGACTACCTAGAGGCCTGGTGAGTTGTCCGTCTATTGGCATTTTCTACGGTGGTGTTTTAGGTCTATAGAAATGCGTTTTTGATATTTTTAGTGCTCAAATGTTGAGAAAAATACATAAATATGCTATAGAAAGCATTTTTATTTGTATAAGTGGCTTATTTTGATCATGTTGTATGAATACAAATACATACTACAGACGAAATTGGAGCACGTAACGTTAGCGAAGTTAGACTGTTGACTTATAGGACTGTGTTCGTTTAATTTTTTGAACTTTATTAGTATTAAATGTTTTGAATGAGCACCTTTAAATATATTAAAACCTTTATACTTCACAGTAACACTTAAATATTTATGAATGTGAGCTCAGTTGCAGTAGTCTAAACTCGCCTACGGCAGTCGCCCGACAGGCCGTCAACTCACCAGTCGAGCAAACGCTCTGCGACGTGATCGATGCTCGAGGTGAAGACAACTCGACTACCGAGCAATGAGAGGCAGACAACTCACCAGTCGTCGAGCAATCGCTCTGCGATATCGATGCTCGAGGAGAAGACATTGCTTTGCAAAACGCAGACTCAACAGTTGCATAGCATTTACCTAGTGCCGACTGATATTAGTTGTAAGCCAACTCACCACCGGAGTAGTCTACCAGCCGACGGCTAGGTTCCATCTGAATTATTAAAACATTTGCGATGAAACCAATTTCGACAGACGTCACAGATGAGTCCCTCCTGCTTCATGGAAACACTGTATAAGTATAAGTTTATTTCGACTCCATAATCAGCATAACAATACATTTGACAGATGAATATTTCTTTGGATGTCTTGAAGCTTTCAATGAATAATCTACTAGATAGTGAAAGATTAAATATATATGTCAGGATATCAATAGTACTTTCTGGAACATATTTCAATATTTTGAATGGAATACCATCGATTCCAAAACTTGACTTGGGCTTCATATCGCGTATGATATTTTTTTATTTCTAATGATGTAGCCTAGTTGGCCTTAAGAACATGGATGAAGATTCTTGCTTCCCAAGATATGAAATGTAATATTTGTCACAGCCAGCTGGTTGTGGCATACAGTCGAGCAGGCTTTGTGCCACTTGGGAAAAGTGTTCATTAAATTTATTTGCAATTTGTGTATTACTGCAATCAAGTCCAATCAAAGGACAAGAATTTGTTTTATTTTTACCAATAAGTTCATTGTTTTCCACACTGCCTTGATGTTGCCTTTGTGAGAAGCAAATTTAGATTTGTAATAATTTGATTGCTTTTTGTGGAGCAATCGAATATAAAGGTTTCTGCATTCATTGAACTGTAATTTGTGCTTTTCATTTATGTTTTCATTGTTTATTAATTTCTTATAAAGTTTTTGGTACCCTAGGTATTGGGCTGATTCCCGAGCATTCGGAATCAAGAGTAATCTGCCAGTCGACGGCTTCTAGGTTCCATCTGCTGGGATGGAACAACTGGGTTGGAGTCGTGCTGGGTGTCCTGGGCCTGGTAGCAGTCAAGGCACTCAAACGTAACGTCCTGTTTTTTAATAGTCTTTACTGTTCCCTTGTCATTGCCACATCTGAATTATTGAAACATTTGCGATGGAACCAATTTTGACAGACGCTGAAAAGCACAGTCGCTTCCTCCTGCAACAAAAGAAAAATTTGTAACATACAATACAGGGTGATGGAATAGCCTACTGTGTAATTAGTACGGACTTACCAGTTCCATTCGCGTTGGTGCGATAAACTGTGTATGAGTAGCCACCCCTCTCTTAAAGCTCCGCTTTACCTCTTTGGGCCATGTCGTCCTCGATGGTGAATGACGTTTCTTCGACGCAGCAATTCTCTCGGGTTAGTAGCCTCAATTAAATATTCATTAACCACGAATGGAATAATTTAATAAAAATGTTAGTTTATTCTAGTCTAGATAGGTTAACAAATAATCCATAGAAATAGTCAACTCACCCTAGTTATCGGGATGATTTTCGAGCATTATCTAATCTCCGTGCATCTGATGCACGGAGATTAGATAAGGTGCCAGATCGGCGATAATTATTTGTGGACTCTCTTCTCGTAGGTGTTCAAGAATCTACGGGCCGCAGTATTGCAAAGAGTAAGTATGTAACGCAACAAACTTCCCCGTAACGTTCAGTACTCAAATAAAATTCATTATTCGTAACAAATAGTAGACAAAATCTTTTATCCATTGAATTTCCCCACAACGTTTAGTTTTCAAATGAAATTAATTATTCGTAACAGCGTGCGTTTTGCTCAGCAATCGTTCTGTGGTCGGGTTGTATTCTCCTCGAGCATCGATAACGCAGAGCGATTGCTCGACTGGTGAGTTGTCTGCCTCACCAATGACATTAAACAACATGATAGGCAACTCTGACGTCACTCCATAAGGCTACAGGCGAAAGATTGTATTTCATGATACGCTCCGATGCACATATTTCTCGTCGCCTTTCGTGACCGTTTTCCGCTCGCTTTTGCTACTCGGCGTTTTCTTTACGTGTAGTACCTTCCTATTTGCGCCTGTAACGTAAGAAAATAATCCTTATATCTAAGAAGATTTGCTCACTTGGAAAGCTGGAATCACAGACAAGCTGTGAAGAGTAATTCTGGACATCATAGACGTTTTTTTATCAGAGAAGATTACAAACGCGATAGCGTAAAGATTCGTGTGGAACATTTTGCAGATAATGACAAAGTTTAAAGTTAGTAATTTTAATGTTTGCGCTTAAACATTGAAATTTCATTTAAAGGGGGTGTCATACAAAACAGCAAAACTGTTTTTACTTCTTTTTACGGTGCTGTGGTACAATTCCATAACACAAAGTTTGCACCTATCGAACTTGCTTTAGTAGGTGAATTTATTAGACATATTACATATTCAGTTAATGGTAGGTAACATTTCTGGTACATAATGCCCCGTAGATAGGTTTGTGTCTAAATTTAGCTCATAGCTCACTAATTAATATTATCTTCGATGCAGGAGGTTGCAGGGCTGAATTCAACTTTCAGCCTTACCGATCACCTGACGATGCTCATTTAGTTTAACTCGAGCAAGTCCTCTTGAAAGACTTGTGTGAATGGGAACTACCTATATGTTTTGCCTTCCTCCGATTTTAGAAGACAAATTTATTCTGAGGGATTTCGCATATAATTCTCATTGATTGTTGGCTGTTTATAATTTCTATTAATTGTGAATTCTGATCATAACAAAGAGTTAAAAAATATTTTACGTAATTTACTAGCACCTTTTTCTTGTCAGTACTCCAAGCTGAGGTAATAAACAAGACAATACATTTATGTCATCTGGAAGCAAAATATGCACACTAACTAAAAGTTTGACACATTGAGATAATACACCATGACAGGAAATAAAAGTTAAAGATATATATGACCATCACATGGTAATTAAAATTAAAAAAAAATAATAGGGGCTGTGGAGTAGGAAAAGTTCAAGACAAAGAAAAGAACAAAAGTTCATAGCTCATGAACTCTCAATTTTGCCCCCATTGCTTTGTGAAAGCCAATATATTCCGAGTGGCTGAATTGGTTTACCTTTATGATAGCAACGATTTTGTATTCAATATAGCGAGTTTTTTTTTCAATTTATTTGAAGTGATATTATTTTCCAAAGCAATGCTTTAATCATCTAGATCAGTGGTGTCAAACTCATGAGTTTTCGAGAGCCGCATTGCATTTTGAAAATTGTAAAAAGGGCCGCAAACCATTTTTCTATAATGTATACTTGAAAGATAATTTCAGTTTGTGACATATATTGTGATGCAACTAAACAGTTGGATTAAGTTTTATTATTTTCTTCAATTTCAAATGCAATTACATATTAATATTTGCATTCCACTATTATTGCAAGTTACTGTATTTTTTACAAAAAATCATAAAATTCTATGTACAACCATCAAAATTATTTTCAAACAAGCTTTAGATAAGGAAAGAATATTATATACACTTAATCTAAATATATGGACCTAAAATTGACAAAAATACTACAGTATAAACTCATTGTTTTTTTAATTACATTTGTCCTGACGTTTGGCATCTTTTATGTGTCACCAGCATACTAAGGCCAGGCTGAAATGATTTTATAGTACCAACTCTAACTAACGAGGCCACATGATCATGGGTTAATCTGGATCTTTGTGAATGTCTTATTAATTCCAGTAATGCAAAAAATATACTTTTATCATTTCATGTATAGATCAGTAAAAGAACAAATGACAGATTTTTTCGACAAGACATTTCGCACCACATTGCGTGGCATAGGATTGCTTGAATTATTATTGATATTGATTTTAGTAACTAAGTCGTTGTATAATTATATTAATATACAAACACCTGGAAATTTTCTGTTCGAAGTTGGTTTTCGAATTTGTCGTATTGACTGCTGAGCTTATTGTGTTTTTTCATTGTATTGATGGAAATATGACAAATTAAACAATGTGCTTCAGAATTTTGTGAAAAGCAGTTTGTTACAACTCTCATTTTCTTCGAAAATGCCACCTTCTTCATGTACTTTGCGTTTAATTTAATCACTCAAGTGTTTTATTCAAGTATTCTTTTGCAAGCTTTATGTGTATTCTTAATTGGGTCAAAATGTGGAAAAAAAAAATTAATATTCCAAAACTACTTTCAGTAAATTGTTTTCTGTGTGAATAATCAATTTCACTTTAAAAGGTTTGAAAAATCTGTTACATTTAGATAAAAAAAAACTTCTAAAATACTATTATAATTATTGTTAAGCGTTCGAGGGCCGCACTGGAAGTTCTCTGGGGCCGCGAGTTTGAGATCCCTGGTCTAGATTGAAGTTGTCCAAAAAATATATGATAGTATTTTATCATGAATTATGATTATACCCCTTCCGGAATTTCTTCTATAGTATTACCAAAAGTTGATGAACCAAATATAACACAGGTGCAGTGAGTTACCCGTAATCCTCATTTTCCAAAGCTGTTTTAAGTATGTCTGGCGTGTTTTGTGCCTTTTTACAAATAAGACCGAGTATGCAATTTTACGCTTCGGAATTTTTAGTTATTTTTCTCAAGCCCTGCAGGATGTGGAGGCCATACACAACTCTACCGGAGGGTCAAATGTCTTTGCATGCCTTCATAGGTTGTTTATCTATTGCAGAGTACTCCTTCTGCTATAGTTGTCCTGTGAATAAATAATAGGAAATTGAGATTAGACGAATAGTTGAAAGTTTTGCTTTATGTCGGCTTAATTTCTTGATTGATATACTTACTATTTCTGCTATTGCCTCTTGTGCTGCAGGAGTCTCACAATGCTTAGACAGGTTTGTCCACAACTTTCACATCTGAGGAAAGAGAGGAGATTTATTAATTTTCGTTAAGAATAAATAAAGCATTCTATATGATTTAGAATGGAAAAGCTAATAAATCCAATATCTCATGTTTTATGTAAAAAATATTTCACTGAATTTGGTATATAAATCAACTAATAAAAGGGTTTAGTCAGAAAATTACAAGCATTCGTGGCTCCAAATACTTGAGAGATCAGACTATACAATATAGACCGGTATGAGTGAAATGTTAGGTGAACTTGTTAACACTTTGATTCAATACGCAAATAAAAGTGAATGCGCAATAGTATGTTACAATGAGCAGCAATCAACAATGAGTACCGGTATATATCCTCACTGATTAAAAAAATCTAACTTGAGGTGCATGAACTATTTGAAACCATAAGGGGTAAGTAAATATGTAATTTCGGCAAATGAGCAACTACGTACCGTACTGAATTAATAACTTCGTAGTATTTGACAAAGGCTAGCTTTCCCACATGTACTTAACAGTGCGATGCCCGGGTGTGATATACAACAATAGTATTAACCTTACCTTTTTTCGATTTCCTTTTACCTTAACTTTCCAAAATATCATTAAAATCGACAACAACTGTCAGAGCAGGCACGAACACCATTCGTGCTACGCCTTGAAAGCAGCACACATCCGCTCGTTTTCGTCTCGTCAAGTATGTGCATTGAAGCGTGCTATCGAATACGATCTTCGGACAAAAATGCCGGAGTTGCGCATCATGTTGTTAAATGTCATTGGCCTCACGTTGCTCTGTAGTCGAGTTGTCTTCTCATCGAGCATCGATGACGTCACGTCGCAGAGCGGTCGCTCGACTGGTGAGTTGACTGCCTGTCGATCGACCGTAGGCGAGTTTAGACTACTGCAACCATAGACTACTGAACTCACATTCATAAATATTTAAGTGTTACTGTGAAGTATGAAGGTTTTAATATATTTGAAGGTGCTCATTCAAAACATTTAATACCAATAAAGTTCAAAAAATTAAACGAACACAGTCCTATAAGTCAACAGTCTAACTTCGCAAACGTTACTCCAATTTCGTCTGTAGACTGTATTTGTATTCATACAACATGATCAAAATAAGCCACTTATACAAATAAAATGCTTTCTAGAGCATATGTATGTATTTTTCTCAACATTTGAGCACTAAAAATATCAAAAACGCATTTCTATAGACCTAAAACACTACCGTAGAAAATGCCAAAAGACGGACAACTCACCAGGCCTCTAGGTAGTCGAGTTGTCTTTGGTGAGTTGTCCGTGTAGTCGAGTTGTCCGCCTCCCGTACAGGCTGACCTAGTAGTATATATTTACGGGCTGACGGACATATCAATTAGGGGTCTGGTATAGTTTAGTACCACATGCACTTATAGTTGGCCTGGCTCAGCAATTTTTGCATATGCCATTCCTAACCCTAATTACGTCCTACGACGCCACAGTGGCGTAATAAATACCTCCCGAGTGTAAGGACGGTCGTCCAAAACGCACATACAATCACCCGAAATCGAGCAAGCTATTTCTCTCGTTTTCTCTTCGTAACGATCCCGATATGAGAGAGACCGCTGGCGTTAGTGAGTTTGATATCGTCGGCGCAGATGCCATTTCGGACGATGGTACCTGTACTTGGCAAGCTCTATGACGTGATTGTGACGTCGTAGTGACGTAATTTTTGGATGACATACCGGTAGTTAGGTGGGGGTTAGGAATAACATACCGGTATACTAATATTGTTATGCTACGCCCACCGGAAGTAGCCTAACGGTCAAACGAAATGCTGAAATAGTGGTACAGGGAAGGCAAGCATACCTAAGGATAAAAGTGAAAACGTACAACTACCGTACCTGCATGACCTGTGACAATATAAAACACAGTCAATATTGCACCACTACAGCGCTACATGCACAGGGTCTCATGTAAAATTGTTACGCCACGCCCACTAGAAGTTATTTAGGTAAGAAAGTACATGAGACCCCACAAATCAAGAGCGTCAAATGAATTATATTTCAATTGCTCAAACTCTGTCTTACATACAGACATAAGCAGATCTAGACGATAATGTTATACTTAGAAGATTACGTTGAATTAATTGAGCACCTTCCGGTGGATGTGAGAGATAGATTTACTGATATGCGTGAAATGGATTTACAGGTACCGTGACGAAACAGTAATGCATTTCCAATTTTCTTATGTTTATTCTGTCTATTAGTGCCACTCAAAAATGGCCACCGATTCAATAATTAATTTTTTTCTATGCTGATATTTCCAGTGAAATATAACTTCTGGATTTTTATAGTAACAAAATACCAAATGAGTAGTTGAACACTGCAATTTGGTACATTGATAAAGGAAATTTACAATAAAACGTATCGGAATATTATTTTTATTCAATCATATTCTATGGCATTGATCTATGTTTATTTTTCAAGCAGTTCGATTTATTGGCTCATGCATATTGTCGAAATAAAACTATCCAGGCAGCCATATCCGTATTACCAAGTTGAGAGTGATCTTGACGGCTATTTTTTCTAATTCTTCAGGTTCAAAATACTGTAGATGATTTGAATGGAAGAGTTAAGTCATTATTTCGTGCATGCCTTGCAAAGAAAGGAAAGATTGATAATGCCGATGAAACCTTCGATGACATTCGAGCAACTTATCGCAAGGCATTGGATGACGCCGATGAGAAAGTAAATAACATCGAAACATAGTTATATTTTAATCTGTTTTCAAATTTTGCACTTGGAAGTTGAGTATTCTACAATCAAAGATTATTTTATTATTAAACTTTCACAAATTAAATTATATTTACTGTTTTCACAAATGGGTTTCATTTTTTGTTTAATATAACATAAATTTAGGTACAATTGGCAAATCAAATATATGATTTGGTGGACCGACATCTTCGGAAACTAGATCAGGAACTTGCAAAATTTAAGATGGAATTAGAAGCAGACAATGGAGGTATTACTGAAATTCTGGAAAGAAGATCATTGGAGCTGGATAACCATGTATCTCAAACTGGCCACTCGGTAAATTGCTACTTTCATTTCGTGTTGTGTGGAAGCTATTAAAAAGATCTCTGAATATAACTTTGCGAATGAAATTTGAGAATAATAAATTGATAGATTCTTTGAACAGATGAACAAAATAAATTGATTGTCCAACTTTTATCTTGTAACAATAGTAACATATTAATATTTTACTGAAAGTTTATTTATATAAGTATATGGCATTAGGTATAATTTATTTTAAAAAACATTCGCAGAGTAGAAAACGGCTTGCACATGCCACCACAGTAGCTTCAAGTTCTGCTGCCATTTTGCCTGGAACATCAAATGGACCTGTGGATAAAAAATTGAGATTGGATGGTGCTTTTGATTTGTTGTATTCTCATTCCGAATCGGCACCACCTTCGGTATTATCACCAGATTTCTCAACAATAACTTCAGGGAATGATGTAGAAAGAAGTAACAGTCGGCCTCCATCAAGAAATTCTACTACGGGTTAGTTATATGGCTATTTTATTTTTGAATACGCAATTAATTTACAGTCCATGTCAATCATAGCTAGCGTTAAAATTTGTCAAGTTGCTGATTTCTGTAGCAAAAAGAAGAAATGGGGTCATGAAATGCATTTTCTGAATACTTAAAAAAGCAAGAGAACAGTGCTCGTATATATGGACATGAGTGTGAAATGACTAACATGGCTATAGCATTGTCCGCAAAATTTAAAAGAATTGCACTGTATTTCATATGAAGATGTGCCCATGATATATGAAACCAGCAGAATTTGGAGTGAAATATTGGACTCCAAAGATTGTGCGAAATTATAATAGCCTTTCATCTACTTCCAACTTGAAGATGTTCTCACAACAACTGCTTTGTGTCTGAAATTTAGTAATCAGTGTTGCATATGTGTTAGTTTGACATTGTTATGAGACTAGTTTGCTGTATACATCATATGAACTAAAATCTATTTTCAGGTACCGGTCAATCTATCATTAGTGCTCTCCAGACTCCAGTTGCTACAGAGGGACAGTCAGTAAGGCATCCAGGAGGTTTGAAAACAAATAACATTGGAATTAAACTGTCAGAAACTACTATCAAACAGGAGGATTTCCAACAAGGATTACCCCCAGATTTTGTTGACTGTAAATTGCCTCTTAGTGAGGACATGATGGATGAAGACTCTTGCCATTCCACTCAGGATGGTCTATTAATGTCACCCACAGGTTCAAGACCATCTAGAACGAAAAAACAAACTTCACGTGCAGCTGCTTGGACTCAAGAGCGCATGCAGGCTGAGGCTAGGCGTGGTCATGCACGAGAAAAAGATCATATTTCACCAAACAGCTCTATGGTTGAACTCGTCGGAGAAAGCAGTAATGCTTCTTCTGATTGGACACTCGATCCTAATGAGCCGCGGTATTGCATCTGTAACCAAGTGTCGTATGGTGAAATGGTTGGGTGTGATAATAGTAAATGCACAGTGGAATGGTTCCATTATGGCTGTGTTAATCTCACTGAAGCACCAAAAGGAAAGTGGTATTGTCCACAGTGCACTCAAACGATGAAAAGGCGAAATAAAAACAAACAATGATAGTGGGCCGAATAAATCTCTAGTTATTACAAATTCTTCTATTATATTGTGATTATCTTCGAATAAACCTGCCAATCTTTAGAGTATGTTACCACTGCATGCGTGAAGCGACTACGCCCTCGGTAACTAAATCAAAATAAAATTGTTCACTTTATATCAAATTCGGTCATGCATGTCCCGTCTACGCTTATATTTGTTCTGACTGGTGAGGCGTTCTGCTCCGTTTCTTAAATAAACTTACTCAAGCTTGTAACAGTCAGCTTCATCAGGATCTGCTTGAATTATTTTATTTTCAATAGTTTACGAGCTTGTTTGGGATCGCTACTGTGTGGAGTTCTGTTCTACCTACAATTCACCATCATTGATTCACCATATTGATTAGTTACCCTAATCAGTTTGCTATAAATAATATGTCGAAGAAGAATACATTTGTGTGTTGCTATTCTAGGACGAACCTAAAATTCTGCTATTCTACTAACTAGCCCTCTCAAAATGAAGCAACATGTCTGGCCCAATATGGTAAGTAACTGCAGCGCCGTGAGAATGGAAATCAGTTATTTGCTCCAGGTACATGGGCTTAAAGAGCAGTTTTATCCTTTCATATGCTCAAAATGGATGAACGATATAGTCAATCGTGATATTCAAACGACTGATGGCGGTGGCCAGAATATCAAGTTAGCCTTAATATTCAAGACATTTTTATGCTATTGAACTATGAAATAAATAGAATTTTAACCCAGTCATTTATTAAAATTTCCAATGGTTGAAAAATTCCAGTATTTTATGACATGGTCCATAGTGTTGTGTACAGTGCAGTGGAAATAAATATTAGGTGAGGGTTATGTACAAAAACAGACAGTTGAAAAAATATCAATCAAAAAAGATGACATGTACCATTACTGTTCAGAACTGAACATTTGGGGAAAATAGAAATGTCCCATATACCAGTGGTTCTCAACTGCCGGTCCGCAAAATATATTATAAGCAAATTACAAAGTATTGACGGCATGTTCATTAATTTTGTGATTTTTTTAAACTCTTATTGATGTATTCGCCTAACAACCAAACTTGGTGAGAGGTCCTCTGCCCATTCCAAGCCCTGAATGGCCGGATGTTTGTTGTCTAAGACCTCATAACGGAGGAGTCTGCTAGAGCATACAATAGTACGGTACCTGATTAAGAAGTTCGCTCGTTTCGTAATTTGACAGTTGGACTATAATTTAGCAAGGTTTGATAGTAAAATGGAAGCAAACAAACAGAAAAGTATTTCCAGTTCAAACAGTTCTACTTTGCCTTGCAGAAACTTCATTAGAACCGCGTTTAACACGTATATTATCAAAAAGACAGCAGCGAATTTCTCATTAAGTTGTCTTCTTTGGCACGGCCTACTTTTGTCATAATTGCATTTTTTTGATTACGTTTTGTGATCATTTTGATGGTTTTGAAATTTCACCGACTGAAAAAGGTTGGGAACCACTGCCATATATGGAAAACACCAGAAAATTTTTTAAAACAATAATTAAGTGTAAATATATATAAAAGTGTTTTTGTGCAGAGATAGAGGCTATTAGAACTATATCGTCCATGGGAGGACAAAGTCCAACTCTTTATTGATAACTTCCAACCGTGTACAATAAATCATAAATAAGGCTACCGAACAAAGAAAATGATATTATGTAAAAAAAAATCTAGGATTAAAGTGTAGTGCTTAGTGCAAAATGAGGAGAGAATAAAAATAACTGCAGCATAAATATACATAATGCAACTACAATATAAAGTAAGACAACATTCCCATTTCATATAGTCAAGAAGTGTCAGTCGCTCTATCTAATTCTAATGGTTGATGTTTAAATCACTTGGAATGGCATGATAATTAGCTTGAAAATGTTGCCACCCAGTAAGTTAAATCATTATTTCAAAACAACTAATAAATGATCAATGGTTCATTACATCAGTTAAGTCTTGCTTTTCTGTATACATAAATGATTAAAATTCAGAGTCGCAGCTGAGTATTTCAAGAACTGAACCAAATTGTACTTGGTAATTTGGTCACAATCTGTAGCAGTTAAAATCACTGCATGGAGATAATAGCAACACTGAATTCAATTATCAAATATTTTCCAGTCATAAGTAATGACCAAAAATCCTCATTTTGTTTAACAGCCGAGCACCAGAATGTAAAACAGAATCTTCTAGTAAAGGTTAAATCCTTCTCTAATTTGGCACTTGAGTGTGTAATATCTGAAGAAATAAAACATTAAATCAGGTTGAGACTTGAAGAATTACTCAATAGAGCAATAACTTCAAGGGCTGTCTACTTATACAAATGTTGTTTTACTACCATAAATTTCACTATTAAATCAAAATGAAAACTTCCCATGTGGCTGAATTTTTTCATAAGGACCACTTAATGAAAGCAAAGTAAATAATAGTTGCGATCAAAGCCTACCTGTCATTCTTTTTAATTGCTTAATCCAGCACAGCTCGTATCGAGAGCTTCGAGGACACCTTCAAGTGATGAGCTGCTCATTCGACCTAAGTCATTCATACCGTCCGACGAACTATATCCGATACACGGTGTAGACTCTCGAGATAGGAGCTGCAAAAACAATTATGTTTTCTATTTTCAGAAAATGCCTCAAATTTCTAAATTCTAACACTTCAAGGCAAAATCAATGAGTGGAATAAATTCATTTTCTAAACTTTTTTGCACAATAAAAAACAGAACTGCAAAATATATGGACACAAAGGACACACACCAGTACCGGTACGAAAAGACATGAGCAGTAAACCCAATCCACTGCTTTACCGTCCCACATCATTCGAGACAATATTTAACCCACAATGCAATAATACGTCTGAGCGTAGACATCACAATAGAAATGGGTACCACAAGGCAATTTCAACCTAACTAATTATGTTTATTGTTTACTATGATAAGAGTTTGCTAGAAATATAAGCAGTCAAGCAATAAAAAAGTGTTCCTCTGTAATTACAATAAAAGGGCAAAATTTTTGGTAAATGTTGAGTCTCCTAGGACTAGGCAAATATGAACAGTTGTTTTCCACAACAATCTTACACTTAGTGTTCAATAAAATAAAAATGTCTAACTTATTTAATATGTCTTTATTTCATTGGGCTCACTAAAAAAATATAATAATTTTAAAAAGTACACTCACTTTTATCCTTTCCGCAAATATGTCCACAGTGCCTGAATCTGAAATTGGATTAGTTCGCTTTGGTGACATTTTATTGAAGGCACGAGATGAAGACAATGAGTTGAAAGAGCAATTTTTATTGTGCGAGAGCGAACCATAAACACACTGAGTGCTTGTACTGTGTAACATGTTCATTTGCTGCCTACAATATTCACAAACAGCCGTTAAATTTAATTCCAGACATGAAAATTGAGCAGGTGATGGAATTATTGACAATCTGTCAGTTTTATTTGGACTAGAATTAGAGTCACTAGCATCAGATGAATCTGGGGCATATCCACTCCTAATTATTGCAGCAGGAGTTTGCCATGCAAAATGTCTTGTATCCTTAAATTGTCCGAAGCGATATTGCACAGGTAGTCTGCTATTTGTAGCAATGGCAGATGAGTTATTATTAGTATGGTTTCCGGTTAGTAATAATTCATCGCCATGTTGTTGCGAGTGAAAAAATTCTGATCGATGTGGCGTCTGCAGTTTTGGGTTTACCAATTTTTTGTTTCGAGTTTTATGATATTTTAAATGAGTATCATCAGATTCAGTATCTTCGGAGGTATTTTTTTGAGATAAATTTTTATGCAAGTAACAAGATTTTGGACCACATTCTGAAGTGCTGTCAGTTGGAGAAAAATCAGATATTTGATTTTCCCTATATAAGCAATAGTTGCAAGCATTGTTGCGAGCGGAGCTACCATAAATATGGTTTCCCGATTCTCTCTCATGATAGCATGAATTAGGATGATTGTTAACACAAGTCCTTTCATGATTTGTTGAACGAAAGTCATCATGTTGCTGAGGTCTAGGCATCGACAGTTCATGGGGAACACTAATTGTGTTTTGCTCAAGATCCCCTATATTCTGAGAGTTTAACGTGGAATGATGTGATATAGTGTGTCGTGTAGGATTTCTCGATTCAATTCCTGCAGCAGATTCTTGATTGGCATTTCCAGTGTGGTTAGTATTACCAGTTGCACTGTTTGCTTGTAGCTGCAGCTGATGCTGTCTGTATTGTTCAGTTACATCTCCTTCAATTATGAAAAAAATAAGTAGGTTTTTGGTATGGCGTATAAGAGACACGTATGTGTAGAATATAAGGGAAGTAAGTATTCAAGCCAATAATTTGCCTTTTTCTAAATTGAAATACCTTGTAGCATGCACACAGTAAATTTGAAAATAAGTTTGACAAAAAAAAAGGTCTAAAGTTGTTTGAATTCTTAAAAAAGACACCTTGTTCTAATACTATTAGTAAGCCCAAATTTATTGTTCCACGTCTGGTTCCAATAATCAATTGGCCTACCATATAATCTTTAAATGAACTGTGTTAGGGTATAGTATTTGACCAGACCTTCTGAAAAAAATCAAAAATTGACAACCAAGAAAATTTCAGTTGGTATTGCTCCATTGTCATTATTTGGTAGTTGGTACGAACTACATTTTATTAATAAAATTTGTGAGTACAACATACAGCAGACTTACTAAGAAAATTTCTGTTACACAACGGACAAGTCCATTTCTGTTTTAACCAAGGATCAACACATCTCTTGTGGAACTCATGAAGACACGGTACAACTCTTAATTCCTGAAAATAAAAGAATATTAAATTTCAATTTTTTGAAAAGAATATTTTTATTCTGTATTCAAAAAAAGAAAACAGCCAATTTACCTGTCCATCTGTAAACTCCTCAAGACATATTGCACACATTGATCCCGATGAGCATTCACTGAATGTATCATTGTTCCCACTACTTTTCCTGTTTACTTCATTCTCAAAATTATCTGGGACCATTTTATGTTTTCTATATTTCTTAGTCTTCATATGCTGCAGAGCTTCCAGTGCCAGGTCTTGTAATGTAATCTGGAACAAAAATAATGACGTTAGTGTAAAAATGGTTCTTCTATCCAAGCTGTCGGACGAATTTGTATCACTCTGAACCTAGTCTCCGCACATACAATCACTGCTTGGTAAGGACCGGAATCATTTTCTACCCCAAGGCTCTTCAAGCTGGATGTCTTGGTCACAAAATGGGTCACCGTAAAATCTTAAATGAGCCAAGATTCGATCTTATGTGCAGAAAATATGCAGGTATTTTCAATTTTATATAATTTTCCAATATTTTCTGTAATAATATATTTGATTTTCTAAATTTTAGATCCTGATAGTCGCGAAAAAAATTGGCCATACCAAATGGGAAAAAAGTTTGAAGAATACTGGTTCACCCAATTCATTACACCCTGTAGGCCTGAGTAGCGGACATGTGCTTTATTAAACCCGAGAATTTCTCTTTCACTCTGGTACTTATTAATACAGTCATCATAGCAACAAATATATATCAGAAATTTGCTGCATGATAAAACAAACAATTATTGTTTCAGCTAAGAATTACATACCTGTCTTTGACGTCTCCAGCATCTGACCTGTAATGCACAAAATAAAAGATTAGTCAGGTTAAATTACTTGTAGCAGAGAATAAAATAAAGACAATTTCATACCTTTGCAACGACTATCAAACAGAGGATGCATACTAATATCAAACATGCCATAAATATCCCCATGTCAAAGAAATGATTTCCTGGTGCATCCTGTAGCGAAAAACACATTTATAAATGGAGATTCTTTTATACGACAGATATCTGAGGATATGTAAGCTAATACTATTTTGGTAAGGGCCGGAATCTCTACAACTACCGGGCGGGCCATCACGCCCTCATTGAATATATACAAATATAGGTTCCATTACATTTGAACCCACGTACATTTGAACCCATGACAATTGCACCTGTATGCCATTGCACCTATGGAATTTTTTTTGTTTCACGGATAGTTAAACCCATACTAACCCTAACCCATGGGTTTTAGCACCCGCATATAGATTGAACCCGTGGATATACGCATGGGTTCAAATGTACATGGGTTCAAATGTACGGTCACCACGAATATACATTGCGATAAATGCTAAATCATAAGAATCAGTCAATCTTTATGTAGCAATAAGCAATTTCAATCACAGTAAACAAGGTGTATAATTTATTATCTTCATTAGTCATGCTTTTGATTGAAATGTATAGTAGATAGTATCCAGCTATATGTACCTTATTGCAACCTTGTTTATCCCTATTTATTACGCATTAAGTTGCATTATATGCGCATGGACTGTTTAAAACAACAACTAGCCTATATTTGCATACTTTTGATTTTCCAACCATCTAATTTAGATATTCGATAAATGCCGTTTATAACATGCTTGATAAAGAACTCAAGCACAGCTTTAGAAAAGATTAAAATTTTGGACAATATAAAATTCCTTGATTACTATTAATAGTCCAATTTTCAAGTCGGGCTACATGGCAATTGTGGTAAATTTACCTGAATTGGTAAGCTTTTCTTTATTCTTGCCCTTGCAATCTGTCGGTTTTCAATTAATTTCATTAGTTCCAAAGCTTCATTTCCCTCCACTAAAATCACAGGACTGTTCAGCATTGTCGTGGAATCCTTGTTTAGCTGAAGAAAATGGGAGATGTTCAAAATATAAACAATATTGTTATTGTAAGGAATAGTTAAGTATGATGTGTTATGAAAAAAATGAAAAAAGATGTAAAAAACTTTAGCTTCAAACAAAATCTAAAATTAATTATAATCATAATTTCACATTAAAATGGTTATTTATTATAATATCTGAAACTAAACTGAGAGATCAATTTTCAAAATGCCAACTATATTGATATGGATAATCATGCTGGCTTGTGGCAGTTACCCAGAAAAATGAAATAACATAAACAAATGATGAAATATTTTTTTTTATCAAATAGAAAGCAATCGTAAATAAAAAGCAGTCAGATAATTAAAAAGCAGTCAGATAATTAAAAATCATGATTATTTCAATTGTACAAATTCTGATCAATTCAATATTACAACAAAATAGAATTTTAAGTCATGGGTAAGATGCCATTAACCAGGTTCTCAATCAAATTTCAAAAAGAATAAATAATTTAACTGAAATTTAAACTGATTTTTCCATAAATCCATTCTTTCATATTTAGCGAGAAAATGTTAACCTTATAGCCAGTGCAAATTTTCATTTTGCGCCAAGGGATCATTTGAAGACAAGTATGGCCTGTAAAACAACAAGAACAAAGTACTAACCTGTCTGAAAGCATCTGGGTGGTCAGACACATCAAATATCACAGCAGTCGCCCCTTTATCCACTGCAGTCTTTGCCTAATAGAAAAGGGATCAACGTGAAATAGTGCAGATGCCATGTTAATACACAGACACTCCCCAAAGATATGAAATTTTATCAACAGTTCACTGACACGCCATACTCGTGCATTGCGAAATTCAAAAATTTGAATGAAAAACATGTTTTTAAAATTACTTTGATATTTTTACTTGAATATAAATTTTAGATTACTGAATGAGAAATATTGAACCAAAAGTGAGGTTGGTAATCCATTAGGTGAAATAATCACATAGTGTGACAAAATTCAATACGGGAATGTTTATGGAATTCTAAATCTCTCATATAAAAAGTTCTGTTATGAATTGCACCATTATGAAAGTAAATTGTGATTTTCTTGTAGAGTGGAATTTATTTTATCAATTGGACAATTTTAGATAAGAAACAAACATGGAAAGTACAAGGTACAAACATTTTACAAAATTGGAGCTTTAAAAATTTAACTGGTGTTGAAGATCATGGCCATATTTACCTTATCTATTAAAGAACGACAAGGATCTTTTGTTCCGTAGGTTAGTTTGACAACACCAACCCAACCGTAAGCAAATGTTTCATCACTGTCAGAATCACTGCATAAACTGAAAGGATGGATCTAGAAAAAAAAAAATATGGATGATTAAAATCCCTTAAAATATTATTTTCATTTTAGTTTTATGAATAGGCAAAAATTTTTTTTTCATAAATAAGTCAGTTCAGCTACTTGGTCTTGGACCATTTCAAAAAAAAGTACGGAGCTTGTAAAGAAGGTTGTAATATTACATGACTACATCTTTACATATTTGGTGATAATTTGCTGCATAGTCCACGATATGACATCCCATCTGCTTAGCGATTTATCTATATCTCGGGATCCGCAATATTGAATGCATTGGAAATATTGGTATCAGTTGGTCAAGTTCAAAAACCAAAAGAATCTATATTCCAGAATAGGCCATAATAAATTTTAATCAAAATCACCCATAATCAGAGCCGATTTAAACGAACATATAGCATCTGAAAAGCCCATTATCTCAAATTATGTCTTAAATATTCTTCCAAACGCACAGAACGGGAATTGATATTGAAGTTTTCTTGGGTCATATTGAATTTGTATTCTATCATTATTTTCATTCATAATATCTTTACTTAGACAATCAACTTCTCCCAAGCTTCAGAATATCACCATCAGCCAATTTTAATAATATCATATTGGTATCAGATTAAATATAAGACACGATACATGTAATTCCCTCCGACAAACACACTAAAACACAACTCCATTTCATTACCTTCTTGAAGTAAAGATAAAGGGGCTGCAGTGGCAGTACCAAACGATCAACAAAGTACAATTAGACTTCAGGTGACAAATGACTTGAAGCAATTCATGCCAATGTTTTTTCCAGAATATGAATCAAAAGAAGTAATTAGCAAAAATATTAAAATAAAACTGCTGTCAAAAAAGGAATGAATACCTGAATAATATCTCCCTCTGCTGGATTTGAGGGACCTGCATTAGAAAATTCCCCTGTAATATCGGTCTTGTGTGTTGTGTATCTTCCACTGTCCTGATTGATTTCATATAGAATAATTTCTAAAAATGCATCTCTGCTATCTCCAGTGACTACGACGGTAAATATTTGCAGCATAATAAACAGCAACCAACCATGCATTTTCATCAACGAAATTGAACAATATAAGCATTACAAATGCCAGTATGAAAAATTTTCAACATTTTGTTTTCGTAGAAAACAGTAAGAATAGTACTGAAAATGATACCAAAAACATAAAAATCGAAATATTGACAGAAACTATGTATGTCTCAGTTGTACCCTGACCAACTCCGGTGTGATCTAAGTTGGGCAGAAGATAAATGATGAAGTATTGGCAAGCACAATTTCTCAAGTAGAAATTGTTACTCCAGAATTGTCATATAATAAAAATGTATAGACTATATTGTTGATTGAGTAAAACAACAAACTTTGGTTCTAGTGAAGTAATCGCATAACTGCTTAAAAAACACCAAACATGTTTATTAACAAAAAGTCTGTCTCTAGTCAAAAGTCTAGTCTTGTGAAAAACCAAATTCTTCACAAATATGTTTAGTCAAAATCAAACCGACTCGCTTTTCAACTAACCAGGTATGTCCCTTGCCAAATAGAGTATAGCATCAGGCGCGAGACCTAGGTACTTTTATATAAAAAAATATTAATTTGAGCTGTATTTTAACACCACATTTTTGTTTGATGTTATTTAAGCGGTTACGATGTTTACCCGAAATTCAATGAGAGTATCGATTCCTCAGTCCTCAAGAGCAAAAAATTTAGCAATTCCAATTTTACAATCTCCTAGCATGAACCCTTTCCAAAGTACAGCTAAAACACACACGCCAATAAATGATGGAAGCGGTATTTTATTTAAAAAAAATTATTTATTTAAACATTTAATTGCTTTTTTTTTCAAATTTATTTCCGTATTTATAATGAGAAATGTTTATTTCTCCATACAGCCATATGGGACATTAATTTCATTGTAAACATAAGCAAGAATCATCCTTAAAACATTTTAACAATGACATAGCCTCTGATGCAAAACATTCATATATTTATTTTGTTCACACATAAAATTCAGATGTCAGGATATTTTAAATATGGTTGTACAATGTAATATTCTGTACACCCCTCATACAGTCATAATAAATATCCAAAGAAAAGAGAGTGCCAGTCAAAATATACTTATACTTAATAAACACAAGCAATGATTAAAAGCTGTTCCTCTATCAGTGAAACCTTAACAATATTTTTCATTCCCATTAATGAATAATGAAATACATAGCAGAATGATCACCACTCTGCCACTGCTTTATATTTCACAGCCCAATCTTATCCATTGTTATTTTTGAATTCTCATTTATATTTTTTTAGTTTCATATTATACGGTACTGCTATAGGCCTAATCTTGATCCTATTCTATCATCTAACATGAGAGGAAAGTCATTTTGTTATTACTTGTTTTGTTATTGTGATGACTGTTTTCATCTGTCTGACAGAATTTTATGACAGTATGATGACTAAGTTTACTACAATCTCTCTGAATATTTACAATGTATGTACGTAGATGTAATATTAAAGATTGCTACTTCAACACTTATGTCATATTACTAACTATACGTAGCTTTTCTCAGAATTTCACAACTAAAAACCACGCCATAACTTTAATAAAACCACACTGCTAAAGCAAATTGATATATAATAATGGCTTTATTCGAGTCGTAAATATAGACTCACAATCGTATCTTTGTTCACTATACATAACAATTTACCGACAAACCAGTTGCCACATTTTTCAGCGCCCCAATCAAACAACCTCAAACCGAAGTATGATGCAAAACACACAGGCTAAACTACACACAAATCGGCTCAGGTACTTGCGCAACCACAAACACACAATTTGATGATAAAATGCTTTGATCGGACATGCGATCCATTATGTGCTTGCCGAAAAACAAACGGAACGTATGTGCTGCGAGTAATTTGAGCGTGCGAACGAATTATTTGCGAGAGTGACGACGAAAAAGGCAAAGTGGAAAGAATCCAGAGTGCGGTGGCTTTGATCATTCCACGTGACTACAAAGGCCCGCCACACCGCGTCTAAATTTGATAGTCTTTGTGGGGTTGACAGGGTTTCGATAACACTGACGCGGGTCCCGATTTAACTTATTGAAAATGGCTGAGGCAAAATTATTCAACGGCGTCGAAAAAACAACCCAATGCGCTTGATTATTATTTCGACAACGGCGTTTTAAACACTCACAAAATTTTGTTTCGAGCGGGCGATTCTTTTATGGGCTACATTTTGATGGAATTTATCGAAATGAATACCCGCAATAACAAGCAATTTTATTATTTTTTCTAAGCCACTTTTGTGAATTGTGGTGGTTATCTTGTTGTTATCAGTTCAATTATACAACCTTCCTTCTGAAGGACTGCAGAAATCGAACGAAATTGTCAAAAGTGGATAAGTTAGGTAAATTGTTCAGAGAAAGAAAAATAAACGTAAGAACTATCAAGTGCGCGAAATTTCGTCAAATAATTTTCAATGCGTCATCAGTGGAATCGTTGAATTCACTGGTGAAATTGGAATAATAGTTTTTGATTGTACCAACGATATCAAGACGAATTATAATTTTGGAAATTCGATCCTAAAAGGAACCTTCAGCAAGAAATGGTTTAATGATGACGCTGTCTGGTGCAAACCTCGATAAATTCATTTAGTTGTCCAACTTTGTACCCCTAGAAAATTATATTATAGTTACAAAAGTAGTGATTGCCATCCGTTGCTGTATATATACGATAAGTTGCCGTTTGCAAGGCTGTGGCGCCGAAAGCTTGCGCTTTTTGCTCGCGTTGACCTCCACCTGTACTTGGACCTTGAAGTTTTTTAATTCTAATTATTCACTGGAATATGTTAACGGCTTTGGACTGATTATTGAGTCGAAATGAAGTTATACTTATATACTTTGAGCCGCATGCAAAATATCTCAAACCGAACGACTCTGGTTTTTCTAGTAAATAATTGCTCTGGACAAGGTCAAGCACACTCACTCAGAGGTCAAAGAGACTGATTTCTCAGCAAAGTTATAAACGATGATCAAAGCGCCAAGAACTACTGGAAGTCTGGGACTATGAAAAAGTTGGGAATCATTGAGAATGAAGCTGACACCCACCTCAGACTATGCAGAACATTTACAAGAGTTGTGCTACATTGGTGTATTTAAATGAACTCGCATTGTACAAAATTGTATCTGTAGGAACATCATATAACAATTGATTTTTTGAAAATGACACAATCTACGTATCACACTAGAAATGCAACACAAAAAATCATTACTTAATGACATAATTTTACCTATGACCATTGCTGAGAGGCTGGAGTCATTGACTCAAGGTCCAACCAACTTGAAGGTCTAGTTTAACAAAAATAGAAATCCCACTACCTATTTGAGCCTTATAGATCTCAATATGCAAATCAAAAAAAAAAAGTTTTTAGGAGATGCAAATCTTTCAATAAATCAAATCTAAGCGAATAGTGCCCACAGGCTGTTGAAAGTATTCTGAAGAAAATTAAATTGATCGAATGCGTGACAAAATTGAGTAATACACAAAATGGTAGTTTGCATACTTCAATATAAATTGGATAACCATCACTGAAAATAGGAATCGCACAATACCGCATCAATTAGATATGGACGTGTTTTGTACTAGGTATACTAAATCAGTCCTAAAATGGACAGACTGTGGCAATAACAGACCTGAATAATCACAGAGGGCATGAAAATATTTAAATCAAAATGAGAAAATTGGCAGTACATAATCACAATATTACAAGGTGATACTTGATGACTCTACAGAAAGATTTGGAATAAATGAACCTTGTAGTAAAACAAAACCATCTAGCTATAAACCACGCTACCACTCAGGCAGTTTCTGGGTCCATTTGTTAAAGGGGGCTGGTTTATTAAAGCAGGTTCACAACTTTCATGCAAATTATTAAACGATTAGGAACCATTGGCTACCCTTATCGCTATAAGTTGCTTGATGTACATATAACTAAATTATATAGCAGAGAAAACTAGCAACTCAATGGCTGTCAAAGGTATTATTTCCTCATAGCAAATGACTATTATCACACAGACTTCTTGTAAGTCATATCCTAAATATAAAGTACAAAATAAAAAGGTAAAATAACATTGGAAAGATATTAATTGTAAAATTATTAAACTGGCTCAACCAACAATATAACGATTTAAAAACACTGAAATTTGAGGAGAGTTGAAATGACAGGAACCCACGAGGTTAGCAAACTTTAGATACCCATGCTAAGCGAAAAGAATGATTAGGGCAAATTTTGTTACCCGAAAACAATGTACCGAAAGTCAATTAATTATACGGTCATGATAATCTTAAAAGTGGTCCAAGCAGAGATGTGGAGTCAGACTTTGGCATGTTTTTTTATTGACAATGGAGTTGGTGACATATTTCGAACTCCCAAAAACCTTGAATTCTACAAAATCAAAATTACAGACTTTTAATGGTGTTAACCGAATTTAAATTTTTCAACAAAAACTCTTAAGCATCAAGTTTCTCAAGCATTTCCGGAAAGCAATTAAAAGAGGCTAACATATTCCAAATTTTTTGTTATTAAATTTTTTTTTTTAAGTTCAGAGTTGACGTTGAACTCAAAATTTTCTCCAACCTGGAGTCAAGAATCGAAGTTATTTTTCAAATGACTCAGAATATGTATTCTAGCCCTAGATCCAAGGCAGTATTAAATTGAGTAGACCAAAAAACTATTTTCACATGATAGATTGCTTGAGCAAAATATATGAACTGAGTGAGAATTGCGTGAGTTGTCTGTTACGTTACTCGGCTTTATGTCGCCTTCGATATTATATTGACACAAATATTTGATATCAAACATACCGGTAATGCAATTAGTCTAATCAACTAATAACTGTTCTTCAGATTAGGATTTACAAATTGAAAATTGCTTTTAATTATCATTTGGGTTTGCAAATATTTTCAGCCTTTTTGTTAATCTTACGGAATGACGGAAATTATCAAGAAAACAGCGGCAAAAAGCGGATCTTAATTTTGTGGCTTGTTTCCACACAAACGAATCTTTTCCGTTGTACATTTCCGCATTATCCAATAAAAGCATGACGTCATCCAGAAGTTGGTCAGGTGTATATGTTTGTGGCACAACTGGTCGGGTCGCGCTTCGTGTTCGAGAGTTACTCGGTCTTTCGGCACTTCCATTGGCTTTCTCAATTTTGTCTTTAATATCTGTTATACTAATTGGATTCTCTACAATTTCGTAATAATCTGGAACATCTTCTTCTTCTACTCGATATCTGAAGGAAAAATATGGAAGCATTAGTTTGATTTCTATATATCTAGGATAGGATTTTCATATTTATTCTGAGGTAAACTAGAGTCCATAAGGCAGCTTAATCATATTACACAGTCCATGAGGGTGGTTCACATAACTGCTGGTCAGTAACGGCTTCGTCCACCATCAAGTCCATGCATCTGAAAACAAATAACTGGCTTAACTAATCCCATACCCGACATGAGGCTGTGTTTGCCATATGCGTAAGCGGTAATATCAACTTTCCTCTCCCCTGGGATAAATATCTAAATCCTGTCTTGTTTGGTACCAGCAATTAACCAGTGTTTGTTTCAGATACATGGAAGGTGAAGGAAACCGTAACCGACTAGCTACGTGATGACAAGCATTTTCCTAACGCATAGCACAATGCACCAACAGTCATTAGCTTGTGACATTGCTTTGACCAACATAAATAATTCCATTACTTGAATAAATTAGAGCATTTGTATTGTAGAAGACGATTGATCACTGCTGAACATTTCTCAAGATCTTCGTTGTCATCTTCCTCTCCTTCACTCGCTTCATCTAAGCTTCCTTCTTCCTCCTCAACTTCACTCTCCTCTTCTTCATCATTCTCCTCTTCTTGAGATTCAGAATCCTCTTCTTCTTCCTCATCATCATCATCATCATCATCATCATCACTCGATTCCTCAATCTTTTTACGCTGTACTTTTCTCCTTGAGCGTCGAGTAGCGACAACTTTAAAATAAACAATTATGATAATAAATCTCTCTTGAAAACTAGTCCGAAACTAAAAAAGATGGGAATTCAGGGTTTTTGTTGAATTAACAAGACACTAAGACACACAAAACTTTGCGATTGGACATTTATTATGGAAATAAACAAGCCATACTTGAAGAGACATCTACCAGCACAAATTTTTACATAAAAATATAATTCATGAAAAATTACATTACTATATTCATTTTCAAAGTGGTTGAAATGTGATTTTGAAGCTAACCTGTTTCTTCTTCTTCCTCTTCTTCACTCGAGTCTTGACTTCTCTTACGTTTACCGATATTTCTTTTGGATCTACGAGTTCCCGTTCCTAAAATAAAGGGGATTTCATTCATCAATATATAAGTCACAGAATGATTTTTGAGAGCACTATTTCATTTGTAAGTAATTCAATATTAAAATTATTTTTGTTATAAATTAACAATTGATAACCAATAACATTGTTACAAACCATCAGACTCGAAAATAATTAATAATTATAACCTGTATTTGACAAGCAATCTCAACCAAATATTTTCATTTTTCCTGGATTCAGAATGAAAAACAATTTCAATCCAATAGTATATCATTCGCAAGCCTTAAATTCAAAATTAGAGGGTATTTCCGTAGTGTGTGTACCAGGTTAGGGTTAGGCCATAATTTTATTCAGAGTTTCCTTATTTTAGCTCTATTACGAGTTCGGGTACTGTTTGTGTTAGCCAAGTGAATATACCCCCTGCCCCAGGGGCGGACACCCGGGGGGGCGAGGGGGGGCGGTCGCCCCCCCAATAATTTCGTAAAAAAAATTAATACATGTTGTTTCCGCCTTACAAAATTATCATTTCCGAAAAGTGCGAGAGTCAAGCGCAATTAAACGGTTGATAGTTACCGATATTATAACTGTTTTCTTACAATAATGTGGACCAGAGCGCCTTGGAGCACCTCACATTTTCGTAAAACATGCGCGCCCACACGGGTAATACTCCGTCTTCAAACGCACCGCCGATCACGCGCCACGGTTTTGCACAACTAATTCATTTTTGTACAATTTAATATGATTTTCTCATTGTGTTATTGTTGGCACTTGCGAGAGAAGTGAAAGAGGCAAACTGTGTTTCATTACAACAATTAAATATTATCGCTAAAAAATTAACTAGATCTAAAGTTGTTAAGTACAATTTTCACCGCTGGACGTATCTTTTCACGTTCTGGATTTCGTGCAAGGCCCAACATAATTTGCGGGCAAAGATCAAAGCATTTACTATGTCGAAAAGTTAAGAAGCGGCAATATAAAATACTAAAATTAAAACTGTAAACAATCAACAAAGTTTTGTTGAGGCCCGCGACAGTCTAAAAACGCTTTTCTAGGCATCGAAAATCGCAAAATTTCGTGTGCCTACGGCACAAATTATGTTTGCTTGACTTTTAAAAACATTTCGTCACTAAAATCGAAACACGGTCAATTGTGAGCGGGATTTGCCTTTTCACCCATTACTTTTAAATTGACGTCGAAAATTTTCGTGTTAACAAACAAAGCTGGGAACGCGACTTTTCCCCGGTTTGTGATGATATATAAGATAATTAGAGTATAATCGATCACTTATTGTATTTATTTTATGTATTTTTATTGTACTGAAATAACTTCTACTACGTGAGAATTGACAGAAAATTTACGGATTTTTCAAAAGGTTTTATCTTTAAAAATAATCGGAGTGACAACATTGCGATTGAGCGGAGCCAGTGTGACAAGTACATCTCAAATTTATCGAATTCGCAAAATAGCAAAAATACGGATCAAAACAATATATAAACGGGCAGTTTACCACACATTTTTATGTCCGCGGATTGCCGTTGTGTTTTAGAGTGGCTCTTGTTTTGTCGACTCAGCCGCAGTTTAAATTGAAGACAATTAAATTAATAAATCAAGACATTTTGAATTTGCCCGTATCGGTCTTTGATTGATTACTTTGCACAAGGGAAAAATCATTTTTCGTTGATAAAGTCGGCTCTTTTAACAAGTGGCGTAATCGCGGCGACTGTTCCGCGTGGATTTCGAGGCGGTGAATTTGTGTTTTTGATTTACTAGTATACTTTATAATTATTTTCATTGTATTAATTAAAATGGTACTATATGGGATTTTATATCAGATATCGATATTTTTGTAACGGCGATAACGAGTTCGGAAGATTGCAAAAATAGGTATCAAAATTAAATACATCAGGCAGCTTATCTCATATGTCCACATATCGCCGTAGTACTTTAGTTAATTTTTATATTTTTTTGACGTAAGAAGTCGTAACCGCGAGTTACGTTGCACACTATTAAATTAATATATAAGAACATTTTAGAATCTCGTGGCTGTCATGGATCAAAAGAAAAATCATTATACGCTTAAATAGGCGGCTCTTTTAACGAGCGCGTAATCGCGGTGCTTGTTGCAGACGGCAATGGGAAGTCCCGACTTTTACCCCCCCCCCCCCCGCCCGCCCCGCCTTTTTTTTAAATCCTGGCTGCGCGCCTGAACTTGTGCCTGTTTATTTTCGTATTAAATTATAAATAAAAACCCTACAAAGTCATTGCGTGAATCCTGAATGGTATTTCGAGTTCAAATGATGATTTAATAAATCGGCAATAATGGCAATTCTACTACTCAAATGATAATTCCTTGGTAAAATTTAGGAAAAAAATTCGCCCAATAGCTTGTTACCTTGTTTTGCATTTCTAATTTTACGAAACGGCGTTAGTGCGCTTTATGCAGAACTAGGAATTGAAACAATAACCTAATACGACTCCTCAAATTTGGTATTTTCTGTTTGTTAGCAAGAGCAGTGGGCTAATTCTCGCGGAATTCAAGAAATTGGTTCAGTAACCGGCAAGTTCCGTGTCCGAGCAAAGCAGCCTAGGTACTCGATATATGAGTAGCGAAATGACATGCTAATACTTAGAGAATGACATCGACAGGTTATTGTGACGTGACGATACAAGGCGCGGTGTTTTTCGGTAGGCGATCCAAGTTCGCCCCCCCAAAATTATGGAAAGTGTCCGCCCCTGCCCTGCCCATAGGCTTTCATCCCTTTACATAATTTGATGAAAAGTAGGCGAACATAATTAGTTACCTCTGTATTGGTACACACACTTCTGGAGCGACAATTAGAAAACTAGAATATGCAGTAGCCACACTCTTCCAGACCAAATAAATACCAATGTTGAAGAACAGTACAAGTCACCGATTGCCATTATGAAATCTAATATCTGAATGATATTACCTTCATCTTCACTTGAGTCTTCCGTCTTGTTTCGTTTCAAATATCTTCTGGATCTACTGCTGCTCTTGATTACTGTAAAAGTGATTATGAATACGAGTGTGAAATTCAAATTCAATAATAACAAGCCAAACAAAATAGAAAATTTAAGAAATACCTATCAAGAGTATTTGTTTCGTAAAAAATTTACTTGCAATCAATGTCTACTATATTCAGGCCCATGCCAAACGAAAAATGTATAATGTTATAATTCTGACTCTGTATAAGGCGTCTGCATTTGTCATATTGTTTTTGACATGAATTGAGTTTGAGCCAAATTTAGAATTTGTCGTTGTCGAAGTTAGAATTTCATAATTCTTATGATGGAACTCAAAATCTTGAAAGAAACTAATAAATATCATATCATAAGGCAAGTATTAGTGGTGAGTTGAAAAAGAAAGTTGATTTTAAATGGCTTGGATTTTAGAGTCTATCCCCCATAAAATCCTGCTTCATAGACTGTTTGTTTAGGAATGGGAAAAAGCTTTGCAACCTTCTTCCTCCTCTTCTTCTTCATCTTCCTCCTCATCCTCTTCTTCTTCTTGAGATTCTTGAACCATTTCCGCATAATTTTTTATGCGAGAAGATGATCTTGATGATTTTCTATAAATTATAAGAATTATCGAGTAAAGAATATGAAAAGTAAACAAAATAAACGAACTCATGGTTCTACGTTACAAACTGTGAAAAAAATCTTACGGTCTGACATATTTGTACATTTCCCACATCACACTGGAATGTAGAATGGTCAAAAGAAAAGATAATCTGGAATATTGGGAAGCCCCTTGAACCGCTTTCATCCATTTTTCCCTTCGTAAGTCTGCTTTTGCCTAAAAACGAAGTTGATTTTGTATTACTTATACAACAGTTTTTCGCACCCATCGTTACAAACGGGGGTGAGGTAGCGAAGATGAGATTCGAATGTGGATCCATATACAGAGCCTTGCTTGGAGCAGAAGTCATCAATAAACTGACATTAATAGTTGATCAAAATTTTTGCACAATTTCACAATGGAAGTATAAAAAATTTGTTTATTCAAACAATTCATTTTAAATTCTAATATTCAATGTAAAATTCGAAATCCAATTGAAGTTAATTTGCCTAAATTCGACATTATTATAAAATTTTCTCACTTACAATTTTCTTTGGATTTTCAAATTTTTCTTTTTCTTCATAAGGCAATAATTCTTCTCTTGACTGATTTTTCTTGGTTGTGATACCGCTCATATATTCACGGAAATACCTGAAAAAAAATAAAAATTGATAACATGAAGATATTATCTTATAGGGATGAGAGTAAAAATGTCCAATTTCTCAAAGATGTCCAATACAAATCAAATATTCGAACTGATTCAAAATTAATTATATTTGATATTTTAAATTCATGATTTTAGGAACAATCAGAAATAGTTTCATTTGAAATTTTATTTTGAGATATTGAAGACTTGGAAGTCTCACAATATTGCCAAAAAAATGTATTTATATAAATTCTTAAACTGCACAAAACAAAACAAATCACTGATATAAATATACTTGATATTTCATATTTGAAATATTTATTACATAATGTATTCGGAATAGTATATTATTCGATTTTGACCTTCCCTGTAACATTCATTTCTGAAAAATTGTTAAACTTTATTATTGACAGCTTCATATTCCTAGAATATTTCTATAAAGCACATTTAAAATGAGAATAACAGAAACAAAACTATTACGTAGCAAAAACTGTCAAATTTTACAGTAAATCAAAATGGCCAACAAAGTTCAATCGAAGATTTTGGTGAAAATATTGTCCAACAGACAGTGATATTCGAGATTAGAATGTCAACTTGTTCCTGCAACAGCATTTCATACAAAGGACCCTTAAATGTACCAATTCAAAGATATCCAAAAGAAATCGAATATTCAATTTATTATATTCAATATAGGAAAAAATTAGAACATTGTTATTCAAACATAGGCTGTTTGAGCCGTCAGACAAGTGACCTAAATCTACAATATCTCAACTGGTAACAAACAACATAGAGAAAACAATGACCTTTATATTCACCGGTATGTCAATTTCAGATATGATCAACATGATCATAATACTGATTTATGTAATTTTTCATGTGAACTTGCCACCAATTTAGAATGTATTCAATATTACTCCTTTGAAAATATTCTATCAGAATGTATTCAGAGTAGTAAAATATTTGATTTTGGGTAGCCCTGTGTACCATTTAATTTTAATATAATATATACATAATACATTTGAAATTTACATTTTTGCAGTAAATTTTTTTCAAAAACATAACGTGTTACAAACAAACCTCATGTCAATAGCATTGAAAATATCAATCATCAATGTACTGAATTCAGATATATCTTGAGCACTTTCAACACGAGCAATGAATATGTCTGATTCCTCCTGAACAGTTAAAAATTGAGAAAATTTGAGAATAAACAAAATTCAAAACGAATGCATACACTTTGACGTCAATAAAATTAAATGTATTGGTTACTTGTTTAATAACTATTTGATTTCGGGTTTTTCTGGCCGAACTTCCATACTTGAAGCCAAAAAAAATATATTTCAATACCAACGTTATATTGTTACCTCAATATTAGATAATCCTCCTCTAGTTAAATCATTGATTATTGTGTTCAAACGCTTTTGTAGAGACTTTTTACAATCTTCTTCTGCATCTTTGACAGTTAACGATTTTCTGGTGACTACAGTTGGTGTTATTTCTTTTTCTTCCACAACTGGTGGTTTGGGTAAGTTTTCTTCGTATTTTGCGATAGATCTGAATATAAAAATTAAGTTGATAGATCAGTCAACGGCAACAACAGGGCTACGTCCATGTGAATAATTAATTACAGTCATATACTTTTCCAGATAAAAATTATACGACGACAGAACATGATTTTAGTCAACATTATATGAAAAGGAATCTTGAATGTCAGAATTTTTGAAATCTTGTGATGCTCACATGAATACAGTCAGTCAACCAAGGGTGGCGAGCTGAATAAAAATAACGTTAAAATGGTCAAGTGGTTAAATTGTTGGACATACTATGTTGGCAAACCTGAAACATTCCAATGCTCTGCACCTGCTCGTACACAGCCGTATTAAAAGTGAAAATATAGAAACGTTGTATAAAAAACTTTATTTCATTTATTTTACAAAACGCTATACATCTCCACCTAATAATATGGTTGTATTTCTTCTCCAATGATTTCTTCAGCTGATGTTCTCGAATTCCCTCTGAACAGAGACTTTTAATCAGCTCATCGAGTTTTTCTTTGGTATCCACGACAAACCAAAGGTTTTGACCAACATGAGGAATAGATGTTTCACTAGGTCCTGCAAAAAAAATGTAGATTATAAAATTCATAAAATTTGACATGAGAAATTGCATATGAATCTGATCTCAAATCAAAAGCAGAAATTGGAATACTTAGTACGAATATTTGAGAATGAAATTATTTCAAATGTCATAAATTCAAATGCACTGAGCATTACTTGTGTCTGTCTCTATAATATCACATAAAAATATACCTGAATCATTTGTAATGTCCATTTCATCATCTTTTATATCTTTCGCTTCTAGAAATTACAGAAATAGATTTTATTATTAGGGAAGTTAATAGCATAATTTTTGAAAACTAGAATCTCATAGCATGGCCTAATTTCTAAAAGCTGGAGAGCCAATCAAATCATCGTTCATCATAAGAATCTTTTTATATTTGCAAATTCCAAATGATTTAATATACAATTGTGAACTGTATATTTATTGTATTTCCGGAAACTAGCATTTCTCAGAAGGTGCTCAGCCACTGTTAATCAATAAAATCAGGGTCGATTACGCATAACTCACTTGTGCAATAGTGGATGTAATCTTGAATCCATCCTTTCTCAACATACAAACCTGGAGTATTGTCAGAAAACAACCAGTATCTGAAGAAAAAAATGATCAACAAAATAAGAAACTTATAAAATTTTATCTGCTAATATCAAAATATTAGGATGTTTATTTTCATGGGCACTTTACTCAAGTACGGTAAGTCTATTGATAAGCAGCCTTTTATGTTCGAAGAAAATGAAATTTTCTCGTCTGCGTATTCACTACCTAATTTAATTAGTACCTGAATAAGATTACTCAACTCGAGTTAGATTGATTTACATTCATTAAAATCTCAAAGTGACCTAGAGAATGACTTTAACTAGTCATAAAGTCGATTCATTGTTTGAGGATTTCTGCCCAGCACTGGCTGAAAGAGCACAGGTTCTGAACCCAAGACCTTTTATAAGGGGATGCATATGTAACACCATCTCCATAATAAATGAACATTATACTCAAGACGGGAAAAACATGTGCAAGACCTTGGTTACCTAGGACACAAATGTGTGACAAGTACATATTGCCACTATATGTATAATAACTAAGCAAATATACTTCACCTATTATGATTCCTATCTGTTCCGAGAGGATCAAGACGAGATGATTTTGTGGCCGCAATTTCAGCATCACGAAGTTGTTTGTGCACCTTGTTATGTTCTGCTTCTTTTTCTTGTTCTTCAAATAATCTTTGTCTTTCTTCTTCCCATTTAATTCTCTCCTTTTCTTCTTGTTCTCTCCTTTCTGCAGCCTCTATCCTTCTTCGCTTCACCCTGAAGGAATAGAATTATTTAAATACAAAACGTGACGCTCCAGAAGTATGTGTACCGATATGGAGGTAACTAATTTTGTTCGTCTACTTTACATCAAGTTGTGTAAAGGGACTGAAACCTATGGGCAGGGGGTGTATTCACTTGGCTAACAAAGAGAGTCCCCACTCGTAATAGAACTAAAATAAGGAAAATCAGAAACCTGGTACTACGGGAGTACCCAAAGCGTATGCAAGAGCTTCACCCCAAACAAGACCCTGTACTTTTTAAGTATGTGCAGATCTATTATTTTTGAAATAACCAGAATCTACCCAATTTATTACACACTGGGTGTAACCGAACCATTTTGATGAATATAAGAAAATTAGTTGATAGTGATTTTAAATGTCATCCAACCTGCTAATCAAATCTTGACTATTTCCGCTTTTACTATTTTCCGATTCAAGTGTTACCTTCTCTGGAGTTACAGCATCTGTACGTGAGCTCTGAAAATATATGTTAGTGCTGTATATCAATAATGTATTTGGAAATTTTCTGCGTTGCCTGAATAGTGAACCTTCATTATAGAAATGAAAATTCATTAAAGCTTTAAACGAGAATATCGATCAGAGACCGAACACTTATCGAACGAAAGTTAGGGGATCCCCAAAACAGTGCTCTTACTCCATAGTGACACCTTGTGGCTCATCACTAATTAAATAATAACTTGCTAATTATACGACATAATTCGCCCAAAATTAATAGGCTTCTGGTCCGAGATATGATGAATGCACATGAAAAATCTGGAGCAGATTCAATCTCGTTTTCGTGAGATATCGCGTGCATCTAACAGACAGACAGACAAATACCTATCAACATACTTACCGATTAGAATCGATAAGTAACAAAATCAGAACTAAAGTCTTTAGCTAAAATCATGAAACTTGTTGTTAGACTGCAAATAAAACATGCAGACATGTCTCTCCCAGACAATCAGACAAGTAAAAAATGAGAATGCCGTTTTTAAAATAACCAAGATAATCGAAATATCTAACTTAGCCCAAAAAATTTCAATACATTCTTTGTCAGATATTTGCGGACACCAATCCTTTCAGACATAAGTCTGATATATCGAAACTGCAACCTCACAACAGCGTTTCCCAACCTATGGTCGCGACCCAAAACTGGGCTGCCTGCCAATTTTCTTGGGGCGTTTATTATTTCAACAAAAACCTAATTACTAATTTTTTTTTCTAGTAAATTTTTTTGTTTATTTTATATTTGGTACTGAAATGGTAAGTAAACTTTACGCAAAATTTATTTTTTTATATTAGTCATTAAGTTTGCGACCATAAAAGTACTACATACGGTTTAGTATTTGCACATGTCCTTGGGTCGCGAGATTTTACAAAATTTATTTAAAAAAAATTTGGTTCGCTCAAAAAAGGTTGGGAACAACTGCATTACAACAATCAAACCATGTAAAATTCATAGAACACTCGTACGTTTTAAGAGAAACTTAAATAAAAAAATGGGGCTAAACACAAACCTCTTCCTCCATTTTCTGTTTCTTTTTCTCTTTTCTCAATTGTTTGTTTTCGCATCTCATTTTGTTTAATTTTTTCCAAGCATTGCGAAGTTTGTCCTTAGCTTCATCTCGGTAATTTTGAGCGGTGTATGTATTCAAAAATCGATAAGTGAGAGCACATAGAACTTCAAGCTGATCAGATGGTTCAAGTTCATACATTTCATTTTCGAGCAATCTTGAAAATACCTACGAGATGTAAAAGTTGATGTAAATTTATATAAAAACAAGAGTAATGATCAATATATGGACATGAACACAAAAGTAGGTCATGCAATTGATATAGTCACTGCAATATCATCAATATTCCCTCAAAGTGTTACAAGAATTGTACTAAATGTCATATAAAGGTGTGCCCATGAATTTAAAAAAAAAGAGTGAAGTTTTGTTTGAAATATCAAGCCCTGATTTCAGAACAACATTTTATAAGCTTTACATTCCAAATAAGGCTTTATGCAAGCAGTCACCGCTAGATTAGGAGCAATCAGATTTTTGAATTGCCAGAATCTTTCATTTATCGTCTTTCTTCTCTGGTAGTGAGAATTTGAAACTGTTTGGTAAGTTGTGAAAAGAGACGATGTTTCCAAAAACCCAACAAAAATATAACCAAACAGTCTCTACGTGCACTTCGTGTCCAATAAAAACATTTCACTGACAAAACAACAATCACCTCTTCACTGATTCCAGTGCCAGTAATTTTAGCTGAGTCGTCTTCAACTTCATTACCTTCTTCTAAATCATCGTCAAGTTGCCGTAAACATATTCTGGCAAGTTCTGAACATACTTCTGCAGTGATGGGAACCTGGTATAGGAAACACCCAATATTATTTTCAAGAAATCCAGATAAGCCTTTTCAAGAAAAATCCTGAAAACTCCACACCAGGTTTTATGTTATGAACCCAGAAGCTTTTCATCAATTATCATAATATGTTTAAACAATTTTATTTTTCTCTTATAAAATTCCATTTATGTGAAAACCTCGTACCTTGTTGATATTGAAATCAAGTTCCTTGTAATCTCTAGCAATATCATCTGACAGTAATACATAAAGAATGTGTATCATGATGTGGCTGATCGAGTCGTATCTGAATAACAAACAGTAGATAGTTGATTTTTAATTTACGATCAGTCAGATTGTTCAAAATTTTGCTCTAACTGTGGTTCACAAATTTGCATGATCCATGGCCCTCTTTTAAAGGCTCTCTCTCTCTCTGGTTGAAGCATTAGATCTAACATTGTAGGCTAAAAATCTTAGGTTTAAATCCCGATCATGTCGATCACCTTACCCAATTTTACGGGCGTAGCCAGGAATTTTCAAAGTAGCGGTTCTGAAATTTCTAATTACCAAGGAAAGCATGGGATTCATTGGTTTTTTAAGAGTTTTAAGGGTTCAAAAAGCATTTAAGGCAAGCTATGGAAAATTGTTATGTATGAAACAGAAAAATGCTTTTTTTCATTACATTTCAACCCCTCCCACCGGATACATCCCTGGCCAAGATTACACTCCTTATACATTGCCCATGTTCGGAACGAAAGACGTGAATGAAGGACACATGCAAAAAGTATGGCTCATTCACAACTTCTCATCCTTACCCTTTCTTTCCAGCAGATAGAGCTTCTGCTAAGGCCCAATGATTTGATAGCTTGACTTCTCGAGAAGAAGCAAAAAGAATTGATTTGTAGGAATTAAGAAACTCTGTCACCAATGCAATATCCCCAAACATGGTGTTGGGTAAATTTCCTGGTATCACGGCAGGTTCAAACATTGGTAGCGGCCTGAAAAAGGGATGAAGTTTTAAAAAAATGGTTAATATCAGAAAATGGTAATTCGATTTCTATAATTATCCATAATTTCAAAGTTAGAGCATTATATTATGTGTTCGACTCCTGAAGTCTGCAAATAAAAGACCTCAAAGTTAAATATCAATTATTCCAATTGGCAAGATCGCCCAGCAGTTGAAGCGTTAGACCTAATAATTGTGTTGGAATCACCTATTACACATCTTGGGTTAAAATCCCACGCTCATCGTCTTACCCAGGGTGCAATGCCGAATCGGCAAGATTCCGGTTCTAATAATTATATCTCCCCGCATATTGTTGGATATCATTGTTTACTTGTACTTGGCCTTGTTTAGAGCAAAAGGAGCAAATAACAGTTTTATGAAAATGGGCGCTCCAGAAGTATGCGCACCAATATGGAGGTAACTAATTTTGTTCGCCTACTTTACATCAAGTTGTGTAAAGGGACGGAAGCCTATGGGCAGAGGGTATGTATATTCACTTGGCTAACACAGACAGCCCTTGAACTAAAATAAGGAAAATCGGAATGAAATTGTGGACTTACCCTAACTTGGTACACACACTATGAGAGTACATAAAAATGATCTCTTACTCGGCTTTTCCTTTTTCAACAATATCCATATCTTCAAATTTTTTATTCTTTTCCTCTCTCTCAGCTGCTCGAAATTGTTTTCTTTCTTCAATCGTCATGCTGTCCCACTTCTTTTTCCATTCCAACATTTCCCATTTCGATAAAATATCTTGCTTGACGAGTTCAGGAAGATTCTGTCTCTGCTTCTCCGTTAGCATTTTCGCGGCACTATAGATATAAACAGTAAAATAAATAATTTGCTTGTTTACAAGTAGACGAATACAGAGACGTTTAAAATAAATCAAATTTCCACAATAATATAAATCTTTTTATTTGGAAAAAATCCCAACCATATTGAAAATATCAATTTCAGAATATGTCCGTAATACTAAATTATCAAATATGGCCCTCCCTGCATACATGATCGAATTTAGATACGAATATTCTTACTTAGTAGTACAAATGGCAAGGAATATATTAAAAAATTAACCTACTTTATTACAAGTTTTCTGTATTTGGCTAATGGAGATGTCTTCGCTCTCTTTAGTCGCAGCAACATGTAAACAATGGGAGGTTGTCTCGGAGCTCGCTTTTTGGCAGGAGAGCTTCCGAGTGCATGCGATTTCTTTGACGTCATCAACATTGTGCCACCTTTTTTCCTAGTAAGTTCAAGTAAAGTTGCTTGTCTTTTCTTTTTTGGACTTGTATTTTTACGAGACGATGCTTTGCTCGCCGTTGCCGCTTTTAACAAGGATAAAGGCTTATTATCGTCTTCATCTGACATGTCAATATCCTTTGAAGATAATTTTTTAATCTTTTTTGTTGTAGTCTTTTCGCTATCTTTTTGTTTTCGCTTACTCCCTCCTTTTTCTTTATGTGTACTTTGTTTTTTACTCTCAGATTTAGGTGGAGTTGATGAAATATATTCCAATCCATTTGTTTTTACTATATGAGGAGAATCCCGAAATTTAACTTTAAAAATTGGGGCCACTTTAACAATTCGACTCGATGAATTCGGATTATCTCCACTGTTTTCTGGTGAATTTAAATTTTTATGGTGCATGGTTGGTTTTTCATCGAAAGATGATTCGGTATGAGAAACTCCATTTGTAAGTGGTTGGTGTTGATAGTCAATTGAATCACAAGATTCAACAGAATATGTTGTTGCATTTATAAACTTCTTTTCTTCTTCTGCAGTTAATCTTCCACTGAGATTGTACTTTTCGACCTGTATTTTTAAAATGGATATGGATGGATAATATCGAATTTATAGAATCTTCCGGTTAAAACGACGAGTCAAGTTTGGCATGTCAAAGTCAGAGATAAAGTCAAATTTTCAAACTGCCTGGAATTGGAGGTCGAAATTTTGAAGTCGAAGTTTCATACAGATTATTTGACTACTACAAGCTTGTTAAATAGTCCACCCTTGAGAGGGCCAACAAGCAGGAAATTGCACCACTGTCAAGTTGCATATTTCAACGACTCTGGTATTATCTGGTTCAAATGCTCGGATTCAAGGTATACTGAACTGGAAAGTCAATGCCAAGCCCAGAAGAATGGGTCCCTTCAAACTATAGTCACTTCTTGCCTAGCTGTTTGTACAGAGACTTATTCAGAGCGAGAGATTACAAATAATTTGTATAGGTAGAAGATTATGAACACCATAAACTAAAAAAAATGATTCGCACCATTGCTTTGTTAACGATCCAAATTTTTTGTTTTTTGTATTCATGTCCAATAGCATTAGATCGAATAAAAAGTTTGAGACAAAGTCTTGTCGGACGTTTGGTGATGCTCCGTAATGTTTTCGTTGGAACTCCACGAACAATCTAAAATAAAATACGCTAATAGTTGAATTACTGCGTATACATGTTTCAAGCGTTAAATTGGCAGAGAAATGCTGCAATTTGAAAAAGAAAACAAACTATATCTCAATAAATTTGAATCGAAAATGCTGACCGACTTATAATATCCCAACTCTAAGCTAAGATGCGGATAATCGAAAGTATACCTTGTTTTCGTTTATCAACAAAATATCATATTTCATTCGGTTCATTTCTAGAGATTGACTCGATGAATCTTCCGATGATGATTCCATTAATTTTTGACTGTGGTCTGGCGACTTTTCTAAAAAAGATATAAGATCTTAAAATTTTACCAACACTTATTCTGCCTGAGACAAGCTTTCACAACAGATTTGTGAGAGATAAGCAAGGTGAGACCACATTCCTTCCATAAAGTGGTTTCATTGTCTCAATGAAGTTTGCTCATATATAGGCATCGATTCGTCGCACCATTATTTGCATAGAAGTTAATTGCCATGACATTCACATTGTTAACAACTCGAGGATTATTTGCTAAATCATTTTCCAGTGGGCAAAGTAGCCAAGTGGATAATTATGATATAACAGCAGGTTGAAATCCGGGTTCGAAATGTCCACCACTTTACCTCGGGCAGGGTGTAATGAATAATGTAGGCAACGGCAAACCGAATAATTCTGGTCCTTCCTAACTACGGAAGTCCCTTACCCAGCAGTGACAGGTTGTACAAATCCTTGATTGGAATGAAAGCATATGTCATATAGAAAAAGCTACCAATATGTTATGTAATTCAGTGTTATATTGGCATGCAAATATTGAAAAACTGGAATCAAGATAAAACAAAGTGATTAAAAATAAAGCATCGCAAAACTAAAAAGTAAAGTTCAAGGTTCATTTAGCAGCATTGAAAATGTACTTATTAGTCTGATAGATTGATAAGATAAAATTTATTTATTTATTTTTTCAAATCAAATTTGTAGAAGACACTGAAAAACATGAAACATAAGGACATGGTTTATAAATTATCAACTTGACTGAAGATAATACAAAATTGGTAAGAGAAAAATTAAACAGTGAAAAAGTAAGATATCATTCCATATTTCCAATAAATATCTTGGTAGAATTCCAATGTTACCAACGTTACAAAATCTTGACAAAATTAACCTTATTAATAACAAAGCATGACCTGTTTTATTAAACATATCTGTTATGAGAGACTGTTTGGATGAATTGTTTTCCTTATCACTAGAAGGTGAACCAGTACCAGCTGTATTTGAAACATCCTCGTATACTTTGACCACTTTTGCCTCATGTTTCTTTCCAGCCATGGCCTGAAAAATATACGTTACAGATTGAATAGCCTGTGGTTCCAACATTGTGATTTCAAAGATGTGGTGATAGGCCTCTTAGGTCAAAGTTTAGCACTCACAGGTATTAATAGGGTATTCTTTCAGAAAGAGTTATGTGATATCATTTGTTTTATTCCGATATCAAAAATGGTAAATTCCTGAATTTCCACTATTATCCATTTGAATGGTTATACCATTTGAAGCAAGAAAATGTCGAAATATCGATAACTAATCCCATACCCGACTTGGAATGGTAACCGGACGAGAGGCCGTGGTTCGCCATATGGATAAGCCGTCTTATCGGCTTTCCTCTCCCCCGGGATGAATATGTAAATCCTCCTTAATCCTTAACTAGCCCATGTGAGTTATTGATTGGCAAATGGCAACAAAAATGGTACCATAGCATTTTTTAACAAAAATAGAAATGGTATCAGAGTAAGTATAACTAATTGTGGATTACAGCATTGTTTCATTCTAATTAGAATCCATGTGGAATGAGGATGAAATCATTCCCTTATTTTCGTAATTTTGTATGATGCTTTGATCGATAATTCAAAAGGTACTGAGTTTTTAATCGTGGTGTCTTACGGTCTGATGCGAATCTGGTAGTAGTTGCCTTCGTGATTGACCGATTTTGATTTTTGAGTTTTTAATTTGTTTATTAATGAAGAAAATACAATTTCTTACTTCAAATACAACTGTTTCATTGACGAACAATTGAGATCGAAGCAATTTGTAAGATTTATTGACAATTTTATCAAGAACATCAGATGAATGATGAGTTATTCGCAGGACGTCCTCTTCGTAGATATCAGAAAATGACTTTGACAACCTGGGAGTGAAAAGGAAGATTAAACCAACCAATGAGCCTAAATTGGTATTGCGAATTGTTAAAAAATAGGTTCTAACTTTATTAACTGTTATAAAATGGTACTGGGACAGTGTGTATATGACATGTTTTATGGTCTCTACAGTTATAATCGCTGCAGTAAAACCAAAGTAGCCTGTGTCACATTTTTTAGAAATGGAATTCATTCATCTCCTGTCATTAAGGACCTGGGATCATCTTTTGGTCTGTGTTTCGAAGATGTACATTTTTTAGTTTAAATTTCAGGTACTCCCTTAGCTGTACAAATTTGAATATTACAAAATGCGTTTTTCTCGAAACCATATCTTGTTTTGCCTAAAGAAGTTGAACTGTGATGGAACAAAAACATTAGACCAAATCTGATCTAAAAATAAATGAATTCAATACATTTCTCTTGTGCTTTTTTCGGATTCTAAAGCCTCTTTATGAGTGAGATTGATATGCCCAGTGCATTGACAAGTCCATAGTTTCCTGTTATATAACTGAACTCTGTCATCATATTGTCTGAATTTATGACATAGTTAGGGAATATTCAATAAAAACAGAACGCTGAATACTCCTGAAGACAGAGAAATTCCAAAACTATCAGAGATGATGTTACGCGAGAAGCTCTATATTTGCATATAATGCAAGTATACGGTAGCAAAATAAAGAATACTTAAAAATGCATTTGATCACAAAGTAGACCCATTCCTTGATGCTATTTAGAATTGAAAATTCTCTTTTTCACTGTACATATTAATTTCAGTAATTTCTGAATTTAATAAACTGATAACACTCATTTCATAGAGACATTTGACAAAAGATTTTACAATACAGAAATAGCAATATCAGAATATTCAGATATGATAAATTCAGATAATAGTATTACTGTATTAAATTTTGCCTAAACTGAAAGTTTTTGAATTGAATAGTTGAAAATCATAATTCATTTAGTCATTGTTTATGAAATGCAATAGCATTTCTGTGCACACATAAATATTTAGTTTATTACAGTGTTATAATATTTTGCTAATGGAATAATTTGAAAAGGATACTCTTTGGATGTGAAGAATTCTCCTGTATGTGGAATTGTATAGGTTTCTGCTGCAGTGTCCAATTCCACATTTTCAACTGGACCATTGAAAATATGTCTGCCAAACAATGGCATGACTGGCAAGCTGTTGTGAACCAATACTATCCCCAAAATTAAATTATATACTTATTCAGTTACCGGTATTCAACCATACATATTAATGCTATATCTGTATAAGCAGCAAAAACAGATGTTATAATTACTGAATTGATAATAAGGCTGTACATAATTATAAAATATTGCCAGTGCTTACGACCAAGCAGCCTTAACTTTAAAATGTTACATGATTTAACACTTTTAATTCAGGGACTATAGACGTAAAAACAATACTGCAATACTGCAATCCAGAAATATCCGAATAGGCTATAACGAACAAAAACAGGTTACCTTGTTGTCGTGATATCAATGGCGCCACAAATTTAACAGACTTATTATTGGAATAGTTGTAATATCCCATACATAAGGTATCGAACGCGTCATTCGCGAATGCGCGCACGACAAAAAATTAACGCCGCGAAAATGTCAAGAATATCAAGTCGAGGCGCGGGCTCCATTCTCTATAAAGTAACTATTGAGTGAGTTCATCCCGCCACAACCGATCATGTGTTTCATTCACTGTGACGTATGTAGCATTGACACAGCTGATTTTAGAAAGACTGTAAAATCACAGTTAAATTAAACTGTTGCTTTCTTTTATTATATTTAATACAATTTGTGGTGATTATGAAAATGGAAATTAACAAATACGTAAATGGTGTTGACTAAATGCGTATGTTTCAACGATAATCCGTTCCTGTAAAAATGTGTTGCCAAGCATTGTAAATTGTATTTAAAAAAAATTAGCATAACTTTTATTGTCCAACGAATTGTTGTTCATTGTATGTGTTTTGTGTATGATTTTTTTGCTGGACAAATCAAAAATATAATTATACTTATTTTAGTAGGGCCACGGAGTATACATGTAGTTCATTCGGGACATAAGGATAGCATCTTACTTGATACTTTTGTGTCGCACGTTTTAACCTTCATTTGAAGTTTTGACAGTTTTTCTAAATTTTTGTTCTGTGAGTTTGTTTGTAATTTTTTTTTTTGTATTATTGCATAGTACAAAATAAATTACCATATCATATAGCGTACATAACCGTATTAGCAGCTTATGTACACTGTACAAATACATAAACAGTATTGTCGCGGATAGCTCCGTAGCTAGATGGGTTGTTATGTAAAATCTATGATGGGATGGGAAAATTAATGTCGAATTTTGACAGACAAAATTTTCTTATTGATGAAATAGTGGATGACATCCTAACAAATTCCATAATGAGTTGAAATTTTTTTTCAATTTAATTAAATACATGTGAAATGTTTAATGTTGGATGTTTTTTATAGGATATTATTAGTTGGGTTTTTGCTAAATTCTGTTGAATATTAGATATGAATAATACGTTTTACATAGACAGGAAATAGGAAAATCCTATTGGCATGATAGTTATTCATATTTTCCGTCTAATCTTTATAAATTTTGTTATTCCATGCTAATATAAAATATACCTATTTATTTTCACCATGATGACATTTGGGACATCGATCATCTGCATTGTAACTACGATGAATTGCTGATATAGAATATGTGAAATATGATGTAATCTGTGTATGGGTATTGTCTACTTATTTTTCTCCATCTAAACGAAATTCAAATAATGCAATTGTATTCTGAACTCGATATTCCACTTGACGAAAAAAAATACATATTCAAAATGTAACATTTGGCTTCTAAATTCTCGATACAAAAATTCCGTTTTGGTATCGGAATTTATTTGGCAAAAAAAAAGCAACATCTGTGATTGGAGTCTGCTGTTTCGTTGTGGCCACCGTAGTCGCATGGTGTCATCATAGAGAGTTGTTCTGTAAAGGTTGTCCGTTTTTAGTATTGTCGTTTTATATTTCAGTATTTCTCAATAGTCGCAGGGTCAGCTTGGGATATTTAATAGGCTGAGTGGGTGGATAATGAGAATAATTTATTTGGCCTTAGCCTAGTTTTAGTTTGACACAAAGATCTGCAGTTTAAACAGTTCTATATATTGTACTGGTATTACTGGAATAAGTATTTGATTCTGTGTATTGTCAATTGTGGATCAGTCTACTGACATTGGTTAGGGGAGGATTGCATGAAATTTTTTTTTTATACTGACTGAAATGAGTGTAGACTATATATATATATATATTTATAAATGTCGGAACAGCCCTAGCTATAATAAATTCTACTGAAATGGCAGATTAGGAAATTCCCCTTCCAGCAGTTGGTCTAGTCTTAATGCAATCTCAAGAAACTAACTATCCATATTAAGCGATGTAAGACAGTAAATTAGATATTTAAACCTTGTGTGTCGCTGCTTGATAACCAGCTTCGGTTCCTCGCGACTTTCCTTCCCCAGTAAAACTGTAATTTTCATTTCTTTTTCTCGTTTTTTCTGTGTTCAATTGTTCCTATTTATATTTATTCACTGGCTGGAAAAAATAAACTTGACTTGGACGAGATGCTTACATACAGACATATCCAGATATCACCATAGCCTACAGACATACCGTAATAAATTCAATGGTATTTAGCTCAGACAGCCAGAAGGGTTAATTAATATATGTTAAATGTATTCCTTTATTTGTAGACTACAAAATCTGAATATCGATTTTTCATCTTTGTACCTGTATATTTCAACTACACTGCTACAGAAATATGAGAAAATGAAACTTCCTGCCGATGAATAGTCTATATGGATATCAAAATGGATTTACAAGATTGTGACATTATTCTGGATATATAAAGTTTGTAGTTACATGCGGACAATTTTTGATACTGCATCATTGAATTGAAAAATTGTTCATTGGTATATCTTATTATCTCACTACACGAGTATCTGCTGTTCAAGTATGTCATCTGTTCTGCCTCAACAATTCGTAAGATTTTTTTCAATCTTTTGTGCTTTTTGACTGACAAATATTGACTTATTTTCTGTGTAAAAATTTGGCCAAAAATTGGCATGTATAATTAATAGCTCATACTTGTGTTTTTTTTCTCTATGACAATTTATATACTAGAGCAGTGGTTCTCAACCGCCGGTCACTGGTCCGCGGCAAACTTGCTGCTGGTCTGCCAGATATATTCCAATATTAACATATTATAAGCAAATTGTAAAATACAACGTATTGACGGCATGTCCCTTAATTTCGTGATTTTTTTCAACTCTTATTGATTTGTAGCACCGGTATTCTAACAACAAACTTGGCGAGAGGTCCTCTGCCCATTTCAAGGCTTGAACGGCTGGATGTTCGTTAAGTCTATGATCTCATAACGACGGCTAACATCATAACGGAGGAGTTTAATAGCTTTTAGTACGGTGCCTGATCGAAAACTTCGCAATTTGCACATTCCGTAATTTGACAGTAGGCCTATAATTTAGCGAGGTTTGATAGTAAAATGGAGGCAAACAAACAGCAAAGTATTAACCAGTTTTACAAAAGAAACCCAAGTTAATAAGAAGTATTTGTAGCTAGGTTTCACGATTGCTCCCAGCAGAGAAAAATTACCACTTCCCATGTGCCTAGTCTGCGCCAAAATTCTTTCAAACGACGCAATGAAACCCGCAAAGTCAACGCTCTACTTCGCCTTGCAGAAACTTCATTAGAACCGCGTTTAACACGTATAATATTAAAAAGGGAGCAAATTTTTTATTGAATTGGATTGTCTTCTTTTGCACCGCATACTTTTGTCGCAATTGAATTTTTTTGATTAAGTTTTTGTGTACATGACATTTTTAGTTTATTTTGAAGGTCCGCCGGTCCGCAAAATTTGTTTTGAAATTTGACCGGTCCGCGAACTGAAAAAGGTTGAGAACCACTGTACTAGAGGTTTTTATTTATATTACATTCATATTTGGATAAATTTTAATTTTATTGTAAAATAATTTTCCTATTTTCATACTTTCATGGACTTGGGCAAATTGGTATTTTATTTTTAGACATTTAGGAGTTGCGATAATGGCAGAAATATTACACACTCTATTTAGATTGATATAGCAATTGTCGATAGGTCACGAAAAACCTGTCATTGAGTCCGGAAAGGTAGTTGCTGAATTACAACAGCAAATATAGTCAGAGAAACAATCTTATAGGGATTGTTTGATCCTTCTGTACACTGTGTGTCCGACAATATGAGTAAATTAAATAATTTATAATAAATAAACTGTTTTCAGGGTGGTAGCCATCATTCATATTTTCTCAATCAACCCACAATTGCCAGTATGGATGAATCGGTTTACATGAATGAAGAAATTCATGAAGATGATCTCATTGATATGATGGATGGCAGTTATGATGTTACAAGACAGGAAGAAGCTGACACTCCGCCACCAAATCAGTGAGCATAGCACTTCTGACTCACACTTGAAACATGTTCATTCTAAACAGTTTTCTAATTATTTTTGTGAGGAATATAACTCTCCTGAATAGAGAACATGACATGAATAGAGTTCATGCACGGTTATCTAAACCAGTGTTTCCCAACCTTTGGGTGGCGACCCGAAATTGTTATTGTATAGTCTATGTGGGAAGTATCACAGTTTGAAACTTGGCAGCATTTATTTTGCTTAAGTAAAGTCACGGCTGATGGCAAACTTTTAAACTTCGCACATTGAAATGAACGCTATGTAAAAATGTTTATTTCAGATTGGTCATTTATTTTGCGACCATAAAAGTATTACAGTACATACGGCCATTTAGTAATTGAGCATATCTTTGGGTCGTGAGATTTTACAAAATGAATCTTGAAAAATGGTTGGGAACCACTGCTCTAACAAAAAGGGACAATTCCGCATATATTTAGTTTGTCTTGAGATATCTATACAGTGTGATTAGTTTCTTACTGGCAATGGTATTTTGAATGAATTTCTGTGAAACATGAATTGAATGGAAGAAAAATAATTTGTTATTACTATATTACTACAATATAGTAAACTAATCAATTTTTTAATTAGGACTATTTAATTACGGTAATAGCAAATTCAGTGGTTATTTGTAATTTTCCAATTTATTAGGTGATATCTATATATAAAAAAAACTCCTAAAGTAGCTATTGAGTTATTCAAATGAGGTTGGCCATTAGGTGTCTTCTGTTATTTTAATTCCTTGTGTTTAAGCTTTCTATAGTTAGAATACTTATTTTGATAAACTTGCAGATGGTATCATGGTAAACTTGATAGAAATATGGCGGAGGAAAGACTGGTGGAAGCCGGATTACAAGGTGGATATCTTGTGAGAGAAAGTGATAGAAGACCTGGTTCATATGTTTTATCTTTTTTCAGTATTACTGGAATCACTCATTTTAGGTAGGCTATGCTGTTTATTGTTGTTACTTATTAATTAAGATAATGCTAAATTATTGTTTGTTAATTATATATTACAGTTGCATTGCAAGCATTGTTTAATATGTTTGAATATGTTAATTTATCAAATAAAAAAATAGAAAATTTTTGTTTGGTTAAAAAATGACCACCCAAAATGACTGTAAAATTTAATATATTCTTTATGAGCGAATTTCTGAAAGAAAAAAAAATATAATATAAGACTTAATTTGGTGCTCCCGAAGTATGCGAACCAAGGTGGCGGACATCGGAACGTAACATGGGTTAGGGTTAGGCGATAATTTTTTTCCAATTTTCCCTATTTTAGTCCTATTATCAGTTCGAAGACTAGCCAAGAGCCTCCCGTAGTATTTATACTTAAAATTATGGCCCAACCCTAACCTAGTACACATATTACATTCCGATGTCCGCCATCTTGGTTCGCATACTTCGGGAGCCCCCTTAATTTGAACAATATGAGATATCTAACTCTTTGAAAACATCTAGTTATGCCTATGTTTACAACTCCACATTTACTCTTTTTAAAATATACCAAGATCAAAATTATCTTTAAAGTTAAACACCATTGTGGAGATATTATAAAAATACCATAATAATTCTTAGATTGGAAGTTTAACCTTTATTTTATCTTGGTAGGATACTTGCGGTGTGTGGTGATTTCTACATTGGCGGGCGACAGTTTGATTCATTATCACAGCTTATTGCCTATTATTCATTCAAGTCTTGCTTGTTGCAGGTAATTTTATTTATAATTATTAATATTTTAGTAGTTTTGTTAATTTGCTGTTAATTTCGCTTTGTGGATGTGGTGAATTGTTTAAAAATATTGGAAATTCTTTGGCATTGTTGTCTTAGTAAAGTAATCTTTAGGTAAATTAGAAAGACTGGTATTTAAAACTTTCGGGGAAGCCAGCATTAAAATGCATCTCCATATCACTTTCGGTAAGTGAATTGGAAATCTTTAAAAAAATTTCTACTAGTCGGGAAGAGGAATATAACTCAGTTCCTAGTAGGCCTACTCTGTTTTCTACTATTTATTAATAAATAAGAATCGCAGGATATGAGCTTCCGATTCGTTCTTTGCATGAATTTCTAAAACTTTTTTCTAGGATGAAATGTTGGAGGCTCCTGTCGCCCCACCAGAACCTGTTGATGATAGGAAAAGAGTAAAAGCTATTTTACCTTATCAAGCTATACCCGGCACTGACAACGATGAATTATCGTAAGATCTTAAGTCAACTATATCATATAATACTTTCCTGATATATCTGCTTAGCCTTAATAACTGTCAAATGCACATCCATTGGGTCTTGGATTTAGCTCAGACCACTCCCTATGTTTTATTATTCTAAGGAATAATTTGAATTTGCATAACATAGCTCTTTTCTCCAAACTTTTGAAAATTGATGTGATTTACCTTCATCTATAATTTTCTGCAGTCTCTTGTTGAAATAATAAATCTACAAATAATTTTTTTTACATCTCACGCCACTACCAAATCCATTACTGATATATTCTATGTGAGAATCTTGTAGAAAACATCTGTTGAAGCTTTTTAACGACTTTTGACATTTTTTATTTTTTTTTCAAATAATGCAGATTTGAAAAGAATGATGTTTTCATTGTACAAAATGAAATGGGCGGGGAATGGATATGGGTAACATCACTAAGAACAAATGAAAGCGGTTGCGTTTTCAAAGGTAATTCCTTAAAAAAATTTCTGAATACCCTGTTGGGAACACTTTTAAGCTGAATAGCGAATTGTAACTTACTGGCATATTTGAATGACCAAATAAACACTTCATGCTGCCGAAGACAATCAGCGATTATACTAAATCAACCATGTGAAAACCAATCCCTTGTTAGCGCCTCAAAACATTTTTAAAAGATGGGTCGTCCCCTAAAGCACCCATACAACTGCATCACTCCCCCAATAATTTTGTCTCAAATTTAATATTCCAATGAAATGCAAACTGTCAATAACTAAGTGTCATTATTTAACTGATTATATGGTATGGATACGATGTATAGTTATATTTAATAGTAGTTAAATACTTCATATTATTTAAATAATATATTTATAAAATAAGTACAACTTTGTTGCTCAGGTCTTGTTAAAGATCTCGATCACACTGTGGATCCTCATGAAGGAAAGGAATGGTTTCATTCGATCATCACAAAAGAGCAAGCTTACAATTTACTTATGGCATGTGAGTATTATTATTGGGAATAAAATTTAATTTTTGATCAGATTCAGAGACATTATATTAAGAGAGATTAAAAAGATTTTTCACTTGCGATTTGAGGCTTCAAATGACTATCGAAGAATGATAGGATAGGATTAAGGAGAGAAAAGTCGATGAGCTTTCTTCATCATATTGCAAACATTTGTTCTTTTTTATCTGTCCAAGATATTTAACCTCTTATCATTTCAAATTCAGTTTATACAACGTTAGTGGATGACACAGCAATGGCTGTATGTTAAATACTTTTTTGCTTCAGTGAAAAATCATATTGAAATATCTAATATAACATTTTACCTTGTTGAAAAAATGTGAAGTATTGTTTTGCCCCTTTTTCCAACTTTTTTATTAGTTGAGAGAAAATATGCTTGTCTATCTGATACTCATTGCACAGATTCTCAAATGAACGATGATTTTGAATAGGTGTAATCGAGTGCTTCATCCATCATTTTGCCTCTCATTGAATATAGCAATTATTTTTAATTTTACATCTGAATGGTCATGTATAAATATATATGGATTAAAAAAAAATTTAAAATATTTTTGCTCGACTGATGTTTTTTGATTGAATTATTGTTAATAAGAAAATCTGGCGGTAATGACTAATATTTTACCGACTTTATTCAGATGACAGGGTTGGCAGTTACCTCATACGACCCAGTGATTCAACACCTGGTGATTATGTCTTATACTTTTATACTGGGAAAAGTATTCAACGATTTAAAATTCACAGAAAACATTATAATCGATTTGAAATGGGTGGAAGATTGTATAACAGGTTGGAAAAATTTCTATTCAATACACATTATAGCAAGTCATCCGTACGTACTTTATTCTGTCTTTATTCTTCAAGGTTGTCTAAAAAAACAAAAATTTTTTTTATTCTGTCACTGCTTTTGTCAAAGATATTATTACTATCATTTATATAACTCATGCTGTACAACAAATAAAACGAAATGACAATGTGATGTTATCATTTACCAATAAGTTTTTGTGGGATGTAATTCAGGGGTAGTTACTGAATAGTTATCATACAGTCACTTTTTCACTTTATGGGGTTTTACTCCAGACATAGCCCTGTATAAGCAGTTACTGATATGTTCGGTTTGGTGTCTTTCTGGTTCAGCGTTTCGAGTTTCTCATATCTTGATGATCTTTTTTAATGTCATATGCTTCATCCAAGAATTTCATTATTTTAGGTTCACTTCTGTCTAGTACCGTATTTTACGTACCATAAGGCGAGCCAGTTTGTAAGGCGCACTGTCAATAAATTGCTTATATTGGGATTTTATCGCACATAAGGTGCACCAGGCAAAAATGTGCAACTGGTACTGGGTTTCAGTGTAGGCAATAAAGTATAAATTACTACCTGATTCATACATTAGTAGGTGCGCCAGCTTTTAGGTGCTCGATCGATTTTTGAGAAAACAAAGTATTTAAGGCCCGCAAATTATGGTATTTGTTGTTTACTTTATTTTGTGGATTCAAAACGCTTCAAGTTTAGATCAACTGATGATAACTGGCATATTTTTCAGAAATAAATTTTTAATGAATTAATGTACATAATGGTCGCTTGCAAGAACTCTTTTATTGATAGATATTTCCATGTTCAGTGTCGGTAATTTCAAGAAATTTACCTTGAAATACAAAACTTTACATGAATTCAAATTTAGTCTTGAATTTAGTATAATTATTTCATTGATTTCAAGCTCAATGAATATTTAAAAGTGCATATTTTCAAAAACGATCTGTAAATTATATTCTAAGTAAAATGATAAAAAAATCACATATCAGCCTAACGTAAAAAAATATATTCTGCAGCATTGATGAGATTGTTCAACATTATAAAAACGAGCAAATTGTACAAGACCTTTATCTTCAACATGCCGTCGCACAAACTGCAGATGTAAGTCGGGAATGCACAAATGATATTTATCAAACTATCCAGAGAGAAGGACAAGTCGGAAGAGGATTGTTTGATTACAGTAACGTGGTGAAACGAGGATTTTTATATCGAAAAGGTAGAATTTTATTCCATTGCATCTCCAGTATTCAGGAGAGTCGATGAATTACCTTGAGTTGGACCAGAGTCATTATTTAACAAAGAGCAGGGCGGACTCTAATTTGCTGAATGGAATTACTGGGACTCATCGTCAATTTTCTGCCAGTGGGACTTTACTTGATTGGCTCGGCAACTCGACTTGACTCAAGATTTTGGGTTTGGGATCTTCTGAACAACACTGTATATTATCATGTGTATATATGACATTTCTATATCTGAAAAGTTCAAAATCTTAAGAGTTCAGACTTTAGTTCGAATATTCACAATCACAACAAACAGATGTTGCATAATTTATAGCATACATTTACCAGTACTTAATTAAAGCGGTTTAACTTGAACTGTTATATAAATGACAAAATCATACAGAAAACAAAACATACTATTATTTTTTTTTATGAAAAAGAATTTTTTTAAATCAAAATTGAGCTTCAATTCAGGGATGGCCAATACCGAATAGTTCACTATTTCGAATACATTCGAAATTATTTTTTTCGAATATGAAATTTCGAATACTTCGAAAATAAAATCCACTAATTGAAGCTTATCTAAATGTATGTAGGAATTTCCATACAATAAGCAATGGAATAACTGCTATCTAGAAGTTACAACCTAGCTTTATTACTAACTAGGCATTTCATATTTGCAGATTATTGCAGTATATATTTCATATGCCATGAGTCATGTTAACAGAATTAAATTAATACGGCAATAGTGGTATCGGTGATGGATTTGAATATTTGCGCAACACAAAATCATCCTAGTAAAACGCCCATACTTTTAATTAAACACCAACCATTATCCAAATTATTTGCCGATAAGCGGGATAAAGTATGAGTTATTTTTCTGACTTGTGACAATTTTTTTGTGAGTACAAAAATGCGAATCAAAAATTAACTATATTCGGGAACTTTACCACACATTTTAAGTCCGCAGATCGCCGTTGTATGTTTGAGTAATAATACTTTTATTATTTTATAAATAGGAATCAAAAACTATTTATAATCGGGTAGTTTATCACACATTCTAAGTTCACAGATCGCCGTTGTATTTTGTAAATACGAAAATAGGAATCAAAAATTAATATTAATCGCGAGTTTGCCACACAATTTATGTCCACAGATTGCCATGATATTGTGCCGAATATAATTAGTTTTTGATTCTTATTTTCGTACTCACGAAAAAATAGTCACACGTCGGAAAATAATTTATATCTCATCCCGCATTTTGGGAACTAATTTGGATAATGGTTGCCATTGGTTTGTATTTAAAAGTATGGACTTTTTACTAGGATGATTTTGTGCTGCGCAAAATATTCGAATCCATGACCGATACCTCTATTTGAAATGCCTTACCGTGTTAATTTAATTCTATTATCATAACTCAAATGTTAAATCGGGCGGTTTACCACACATTTTAAGGCCACAGATCGCCGTTGCATTTTAGAATTATAGTTTTATTATTTTGTAAATACGAATCAAAAATTAATTATAATTGAGCAGTTTACTACATATTTCATGTCCACAAATACCCGTGGTATTTGGTATTAATACTTTCATTATTTTATCAATATGAAAATAGGAATCAATATTTAATAATATCGGTCAGTTCACCACACATTTTATGTCCACAGATTGTCGATACAACCATGAGTTACGTTGAACAAAATTAAATTAATACAGCATGACATTTTAATAAATGCTGTTACCAGTCATGGATTGGATTATTTTGCGCAACAAAAATCATCTTGGTGAAGGATCGATACTTTTAACTATCGTTATCAAAATTATTTGCCAGAAATTATTTTCTAATAAATCGACTTGTTTTTCCAACTTGTGACAATTTATTGGATACGTAACAATTACGGCTATAAATACCGTATTTCCCGACTAATAAGTCCACATGGCAAATAGGACGATGTCTATTTTTAGCACTCGAAAAAGGGGTTTTTCTATATAGGCCTCCAATAAGACGGGTAAAAAAATTGTGTCCTTGTTGTTCAGTTATGCTAATATGCGCTAATAATTTTATATGTTTAGAACCAGATCATTTAACTATATTTAACAATTGAGCGGTAAATTTAAGTTGTAAAGCGGCAATCATTTTGGACAACCTATTAACCCGAATGTTGAAATAATTTCGAAATGTGATAAGTACTACACTGTACGTCCACGGGTTATTTCACAGCTGTGTTTTCCTGTCCCTGTCGTGTTCTGCTGAATCGGCAAAACGAAAGGGTCACAAATCACTTTATCTCGGTGGCCGTGTTTCTCTTTAAAGTAACGATAACCGGCCTGCGATTAAATATCATGATTGGCAGACCCTAAGACCCAAATATGAGGTTAAACAAATCATGTTTGAGAAGACTCATGCGAATAATAAGCAGGCCACATCGAAATAAAATAAACATACTTTCTCAATTAGACGCCCCCACCCCGCCTAGAAAAGCGACTCATTAGACGAATTTTTGACGTGATGGAAATGAATTTGTAAATTAAAAGCCTCGTAGACGAATGTCGGCAATGTCCACCCGCGCAAACGTGCAAATATGTCGCAACACTATGCGACGTACTGTCGCACAGGATATAAACAATCAAAATGCCGATTCTATTTCATCGTCATTACAATAAGTGAGACAGCGTAAAAAGTGTTTGAATATTCCCGTAAAACGAAACACCACGTTTACGGCGAAAAGTGGCTACTATTCGGAATTATTCGAAAATCAGCCGAAAAGGTATTCGAATACTTTGATATTCGAATACATTCGAATATTCGATTCGTTTTGGACAACCCTGCTTCAATTACATATACACAAATATTTTTTACAAACCTCCTCATGGTTCTGAAATAATATGTGTTTCTTTACTTAGAGGTATTAACATTACCACCCAGAATTAAATTTATACACTCCCATGTTAAAATGCATGCTACTTTACATACACCATACCAGTTGTGTGTCAGATTTTATGGGTTTAACATAAAAAAAATCTAATTTAGCAAGTAGTATAATGCAATAGTGAATATCACAGGGATATTTTTTGTGAAACCGAAGAACAATAAATTCCGCTGAACTTCATGAGTTTGTATTTTTTTGTCAATGAAAATTGGTAAAAAGATCACCATATTTGATATTCATTTTCATAACTGTGACTTCTGCTACTTTTTCTTGATCTAGGTGTGGGAAAACGTGGATATGAGACTAAAAAGTGGAAGCACATGTTTTTCGTATTAGATGGTCAAAAACAACATCTTTATTATTTTGAACATGACAAGAAAACAAAACCTAAAGGATTGGTGGATTTGAGCTACGGAGCAGTTTACCCCATACATGACAGCTACTTTGGAAGGTATGTTTTTGTTGCTTATAGTGATCTTTTGTTAGTGAAATTGTTTTACATTCGGATTTACTCTGGTGAACAAGGTTTTGTAAAAACCTTCGCAGATATATAAAGAGCTATTATTTTTAGAAGGATGGTAAGAGGCCGATTTAGCTTCTAGTAGAATTGATAACTGTTTACATGATTCATTGCCTACTCTCTTGGTTAGGTTGTTGACGTTGGATTTAATATTATAGGATTATATATTGGAATATTAGTAATACATCAAATACAAAATTACCCACTCAAGGAGGACAAAATTACTCTTTAGGAAGAAATTTTTCCCTGGTTAGAAAACGTGGCACTCGGACATCATATTAGCTTGAATTTTAAATGTAATATTTGAATATTCATTTAAATTGAAGAGGGAACAATAAAAGCAGAAATAGTGTATACCCTTGTAAGTTTGGGCTCAATATTGTATATTTGCAAATTGCAATGTATTGGACTATTGGTGTTGATGAGCTATTCTGAGCGCTTATATTAATGATATATCACAATGCTTCAAAAGTGAAAGGTTTAATATTTTATCTGTTTTGAAATTTTGTGGGACCAATGCACAAAGTGCAATCTCGAATCATAGATATTCTGTTGACTCTAGTCCTTCCAAAAATAGATTTTTGCTTATCAGTGGTGCATGAAAGGCATAAAAATGACTCATAAAAAACAGGCATATTTATATTTAATTATATGTACTAAATTAAAATGAATTCTAAAATAATATAAGCAAAGTACTGATGTAGCTTAGTAGTTAATTTGAACAAGTCTGCGTATTCATTTTGATGGTGCTTTGAAACATTTAATTGCGACTCTCACCAATGTTCATATGCATAATATCATTCATTGTCACATATCGCCAACTCACAAAGATATTGCTCATTTCCTGTATTATATTATTCTAATTTAGTTTTTAAACTTTATTTTTATTACTGTTTATATAGAGTTATCGTCATGATATATATAAAAAAAAGATAAAATATAATAATGCTAGGTAATGTATTACAGTAGTTCTAGGACAAGTTTGACTTTAAATTGGTTCCTATCAGACATCCTAAGGTGGCTTTTTAAATACCATTTCTTTGGAAAAAAATTAAAACCAAATGTTGACCATAATGGAGTTCTAACACTAATTGGGTAGTTACGACAGAAAACATACAATGGATATAATGCGTAATTCATATAGAAATACCATATATCCTCGCATATAAGCAGAGTCCAAAACTCAAGAAATTGGAAAAAATTCACTCTATCATTAATATTGAATTATTACAAGGATAAGTTTTACACTATATACACATTTAATTTTCACAATATCTATAATTCACAATATTTTTGTGCACATAAACTTTCTTATTGAGGATAAAATTCCGATGTCACCAGTCAATCAGTCATACTACTCTTTCAATATTAATTTTAATAGAATAGATTATAGATTATGTGTTTGGGTACCATTGCTTAACTAAGCATTGAAAGTACTTGTCATCGCTGAATACCCCACACTGGTTTATAATATGTGGATTTGTTAATTGGCGACCCGAATTCGTTCTCAGAATGGAGGATGTGGCAACCTTTTATGGCATTTGGCACCCCAGGGTGCTTTTTTGTGCTTATGGTTCCTAATTGACTGAATAACCTTTATTTTCAGACCACATTGCTTTCAAATTGTTGTCCATGCATTGAATGAAGTTACAGCTTCATATTACTGTGCTGACTCACAGGAACTTGCCCAGGTTTGTGAATAATTTTAGTTATTGGACACGAAAGTGGACATAACGATCGTTTCAATATTATGTTGTTGTTGTTCTTGTTCTTTGACACGTTTTTAAAAAGTCGCTTTTCTCTTCGAACACTGGACCAATTGCTTTGAAATTTTCAGTGGTTGAAGATAAAATTTTTCTCCAGAAGGCTATTACTTTTTTTTTCGCTATGATGTCATCAAAATTATTGCTATTGGGTGGCGCTACGTCTCCATATATTTGAGCATAGCTCTCTTGTTTCTTAAATTATTTTTTCAAAATTTAAATTTAGCATGCACTTATTTTGATTGAATTTTCAATGTTCTCCAATAATTTATTTCAATTTTGGTTTGATTCGAATACATGTTCATGCACCTAAACGATTACCGGAAATTGGATAGGTGTTCTTAAACTTGACTCAGAATGGCATGTTGCGCTGTGGTACATTATAGGATGCAGATGCCTTGTTTGTTTTCTCCCAGAATAAACATATCCAACAATTAACCTCTAAAGATGATATGACTTAGTCACATATAGGCCTACTATTTTTTAAATTCTTAAGTCTGTATTATTAATATTGTCTTCAAGTTTTTACCTTTCTATTATAAGGAACTTCATAATTTGCATAAATCATATTGTTAGCGTGTTATATAGACAGGGTGATTTGATTAAATTTGTATTTATTGAAGTTTTCTAAACATTGAAAACCATTACCTCATTTTTTGACTTTTATTTGGCCAAGTTTGTTACTCAGATCCAATTTTCATAGACCTAAGTGAAGTAAGTTTCTAAGGTTAGTGTTCCCTCATAAAATCACACTAATTTTTACTCATTTGGAGTATTGTAGAATATAGTCAAAGTGAACACTTTATCACTCTCTTCTTGGCTGTTTCCTGTATTAGTTGCTACTAGCATTGAGCATTGGCAATTTCTAAAGTAATCATCTCTATTAAGTTTAATAATCCGAGACATTGAATATGATTACCTGTAAGCAGATATGTACATATCCAAACTGGTGTTATAGAATTCATATTTGAAATTAATTTATATTTCAAACACATGTAATCTCAAAAACATATACCAGTATTTTAAAAAGCGCATGGTATGGCCCAAATTTGATTATAAAAATAATTTTTTTTATTGAGAAAATAAATTCTTTTAATTGAAAAATAAAATTGCCTGGATTCACACTTTTTTCGTTATTAGGCATTAATTTTGTTTTGCCCTAAACGGAACCTTTTTATTAAGCTTTATCAGTGAACCAAATTTATTGCTACTGTATAAAAAAAAATTACAGTTGATGTTTTTACTTTGTTAATTTTTTTGAAGTAGAAAAAAGGCAAGATATCTTGGCGAAATTATCTTAATTCCAAGTTGTTTTTTAAAAAGAACTTGGTTAAATTCATTTTAATTATTGTTTTGTATTTTCCATGCTTTACATTCTCATTCTGGAGCCAAAATTTGCATTTCGAAAATTTATGACGTTTAGCATTTAAGAAGATATGATAAATATGTCTGAAAGTTATGTGATGGATTGTTGCTATATAAATTAGAATACCATATATAGTATTATAAAAATACTTCCATTTTTTTAATATCCTCCAAATTTATTTTATTTTATTTGGAAATATTTTCTCTGAGTATTTTTTGGTTTTACGCTCCAATTTACGAGTCTCTCGTATATATATAAAAATTGAATTTTGCTTCTTATTCTCTGAATTTCACTCAGTTGATGGAATAAGTTTGTGAATTGTTTTACAGGAATGGTTGAGATTATTGAGAGCAAATTGTAAGAAACCCAACAGGCAACCTCTACCAAATCCAAGGAGAGCCAGACAGGTATTTTGTTTATATCTGAACTTTTGTGCCATATTAATCAATTAAACAAAGTTGTTAAAATTAAGTTGCTTTTTCTCAAATCGAACATCTTTTCATTTGAACAAATATTTCTACTTATCAATTTTAATCGGTAAGTATGTTGATAGGTATTTGTCTGTCTGTTTGTTTGTCTGTCTGTCTGTTAGATGCACGCGATATCTCACGAAAGCGAGATTGAATCTGCGCCAGATTTTGCATGTGCATTCATCATATGTCGTACCAGAAGCCTATTGATTTTGGATGAATTATGTCGTATAATTAGCGAGTTATTAATTAATTAGTGATGGGACACAAGGTGTCACTATGGAGTAAGAGTGCTGTTTTGGGGGATCCCCTAACTTTCGATCGATAAGTCCTCGGTCTCTGACCGATATTCTCGTTTTAAGCTTGATTCAATTTTTTGTACAGTTGTCCATTGGTCATTTTCAACTATGGAACTAAAGGCACGTATTCATAGGAAGTACTAGTGTAATGGCAATATAAGATAATCTAGTATTCTCAATACATTTTGCCAAAATGGTATTGAATATGGACATTGGACATATTCGAGATAAACTGTTAACCCACAATAATGAAATTTTGTTATTGCAGAATAGTCGCAATGAATATTGCTTTCATTGATTTTTATATTCAAATATATAAAAGTTAAAAGATTTAATTTTCTGACCGACCATAGATGTCATATATGTTAGATGTCAAATGTTTATACATCAAATTCACTATATAGGATATAACCAACTTTGAACTTACTTCGCATATTTTGGGAAGTCCCAAATATACAATATTGCTAATTGTCAAAATTCATTGGAAGAACACTGAACAGTTGTGTGTATCATTCGATTTTCATTACCATTGTTAGAAAATAATGAAAAATTTTTTAGCTACCTAAATATCATGTATGTTTTTATAATTTTCTATTTGCCTTCAAACACAGAGTATTTCACTATCCGTGTTATCTAGTGCACATTGCGCAAAGTTCATCATTTCTAATTTTAACGTTCTCAGGAAATAAAGAAAGTACATTACCACCATAGTCCATAGATTGCAAATTTAAGTTGTATGTGACACAATTATGACTCATTTGATATGAATTACATGCTGTATAAATATGTCATGATTCATCAAACATTTGCTTCTTGAATTACATATTGTTATGAACACGGACTGTATATTGAATAATTTTGAGTCAAAACTGTTATCTATTGTTATTTTAATATAAGTTCCCAATGTTCAGATTCTGTTTCAAATATGTCATTTGATTGTTTATTTTACTGATCAGATCACTAAGGTAAGTGTACATATGGATCGTTTTGTTATTATGTTGTTGTCAGAATTCTTTTTCTTGTTGCTATGAGAAAATCACTTTCCTCATTAAGTACTTGAACGTTTGTTTTGAAATTTTCAGTGGTTAAAGATTGTATTTTTCACCGGAAGGCTGTTACTTTTATTATTTATTTCAAAAATTTCTGTGGGCTTCAAGGGTTTGTTATTGTGCGATGATGTCATCAACCTTAAAAATTCTGCACTCTGCGGTTCCACATCTGCGTCAGTGATCTGGTGTTCATGCTGTGTTACCAGTAGTCCACTGTGACAGATTGTATACTTTTATTACCCGTATTCGTTTTGGCCTTCTTGTCCATATATTTGAGCATTGCTCTCTTGTTTTTCCTATTTTACCCTTGATTACGTTTGGATAATCTCCATTTCAACTACATTTTGGAATAAAAAATTTTGCCATGGAAAATCAAATGTATTCTTAATAATTGGTAATGTTTGAACAATTACCCAATTGGTTCTCTATTTTCACAAATTGATGCAAATGTTTGATGTATTTAGATATCCTTACAGTTTCGATTTTCATGATCAGATATTTGGTTTTTAATAATTTCACCAAATCGCTGCGTTAACAATTCTATTGCAAACTACTTGTGATAAATGAATCTCCATTACTAATAATAAGACACCGATTATGATGTCATTTTTATTCTGCATTGTCTACCATGACTCAGATGCCAGAAATCAAATTCATGTTTTTTGTTAATGCAAGGGCAAGGTAATGCTGACAATAGTATTATTTGTAGATCTCTGATTTTTGATCTGATGTGGTAGTGTCGTGTGTTCAATTTAGTAATCTCCCCTTAAAAATAGTATGTAGCCTACGTTAATTCATTCCTAAAAAACCATTTTTTCAATTTATTTTGCGATTTGTTAATGCTAATTTGTTAATGCTCTAGAAACTCTTTCAGCAATATACAAGGAAATGGTTCACAACCTTTTATGGCTCGTGGCTCCATTCTGGAGGCTATTTAGCACTCCTGGGCCCCCCTCATTCCAGTGGTATTTATAGTGTTATTTTGATTGATAGATAACAAATCCCATTATGTTCAAATCAAACAATTCATGCTCAACAAAGTGAAAACACCCTGTGAAATACCGTTATCAAGCAATGAAACTAGGGCGGCCCAAAAAGTTTTCTTGTAATAGGAAAAGTAAAATTTGTTTTGCTCCTAGCATTGTAACTCCCCTTCAACTGCTACAGGCCTCTTGTCGGGAACCCGCGATATAGGGTGACCCAAAAATTCCAGTTATCTGGGGCGCTTTGCACAAAAGTTATGTTCTCCCTAAAATATGTTCCAAATGACCTAGGTTCTATTTCTTGGGTCAACTTGTACTCTGAACATTGTTTATGTACTAGATTAGGCAATTTATTTGTAAAATTTTAACAACGGTAATGTTGCAATCAGAGAGGTTCAAAATGAATTGAATATTTAATTGTATTCAGAATTAGGTAGTTTTATCTAATATTTTACATTCTCAAATATTTTTATTTGAAAATTTATTACCGGGAATTATATTAATTATAAAGATATGACCTCTGATAGCCGGGCAAAAATAGACTTCATTAACTGTTAACACTGTAAAAAAAAATAGAAAACCAATCAAACTGATGTTTATATGAATTCTAAACAATTCCGTATTTTAGACATGTCCCAATTCGGAAGATAGATCTATACATTATTATATATACAAATATTATATTTAGGTTTAGAATATAAGAGTACTCAATTTGATCCTTTCCCATATATAACTGTCTTAAAGTCTTTCAATTTATGTTCTGGATGCATTCAAAAAAATACACAGGAAGATTTTTATTTTTCTAATAATTGGCAATATTATTTGACAGATTACTTTATTGATTGATTTTGGACGGTTTACATTGGCGTTTTGTACTTCCTGTCCTTACTTCGTATTTTATTTTTAGTTTACATATTTGTATTGTCTGTCCATATCCATATTTACGTAATGAAATATTATTTTAGTAATTAATTAAAATGTCTTTTTTCTAGAATATATTAATATACCGGTACATAAAATGAAGCCAATTGCAATTATATAGACTTAATGGCATGAAATTCAGAGAAACGGTTTTTATTTACATTTTTAAAAAATTTGCCATCAATAAAAACTATCAATTCCACAAAATATAATTTATTAATACGGTACTTAGACTACTAAGACTGTACTTAGACTCATGACTTGCAATTACGCTAGCGGATTTCGTAAATCAATTCCAGATTTTGAAAATCAAATTCAAGTTTTCCATCAAAATATACCTGTCAAAAACTTTGAAAACTTAACTGCATTTCTTAGATACAACTTTTCTAGATTTTATATGAACTAATGTGTCAAAATCTTGGTGTTTGTTGGCATCATGATGGATTTTTTGAATTTGTGATTATAAGAATCGAAACAAAAATAACCACTACCAATCATATACATTCATATATAACAATCAATAAATTGCTTCGGTTGGGTTTTCATCCATGGCACCAGGATATAAGGCGCAATCGGTACTGGTTTTAAGTGTAGGCGATAAAGCATAAAGCAGCACCACCTGATCCACGCATTAGGTGCACCGGCTTATAAGGCGCACAATCGAATTTTAGGAGAAAAAAATCATTTAAAGCGTACCTTATGGTCCGTAAATTAAGGTACATATCATACAGTCAGGGATGGCCAATACCGAATAGTTCACTATTTCGAATACATTCGAAATTATTTTTTTCGAATATGAAATTTCGAATACTTCGAAAATAAAATCCATTAATTGAAGCTTATCTAAATGTATGTAGGAATTTCCATACAATAAGCAATGGAATAACTGCTATTTAGAAGTTACAACCTAGCTTTATTACCAGGCATTTCATATTCCAGTATATATTTTATATACCATGAGTCATGTTAACAGAATTAAATTAATACAGCAATAGTGGTATCGGTGATGGATTTGAATATTTGCGCAACACAAAATCATCCTAGTGAAACGCCCATACTCTTAATTAAACACCAACCATTATCCAAATTATTTGCCGATAAGCGGGATAAAGTATGAGTTATTTTGGTTATTGTGAGTACAAAAATGCGAATCAAAAATTAATTATATTCGGGAACTATACCACACATTTTAAGTCCGCAGATCGCCGTTGTATGTTTGAGTAATAATACTTTTATTATTTTATAAATAGGAATCAAGAACTATTTATAATCGGGTAGTTTATCACACATTCTAAGTTCACAGATCGCCGTTGTATTTTGTAAATACGAAAATAGGGATCAAAAATTAATATTAATCGCGAGTTTGCCACACAATTTATGTCCACAGATTGCCATGATATTGTGCCGAATATAATTAGTTTTTAATTCTTATTTTCGTACTCACGAAAAAATAGTCACACGTTGGAAAATAATTTATACTTTATCCCGCATTTTGGGAACTAATTTGGATAATGGTTGCCATTGGTTTGTATTTAAAAGTATGGACTTTTTACTGGGATGATTTTGTGCTGCGCAAAATATTCGAATCCATGACCGATACCTCTATTTGAAATGCCTCACCGTGTTAATATAATTCTATTATCATAACTCAAATGTTGGTAAATCGGGCAGTTTACCACACATTTTAAGGCCACAGATCGCCGTTGCATTTTAGAAATATAGTTTTATTATTTTGTAAATACGAATCAGAATTTAATTCTAATTGGGCAGTTTACTACGTATTTCATGACCACAAATACCCGTGGTATTTGGTATTAATACTTTCATTATTTTATCAATATGAAAATAGGAATCAATATTTTATAATATCGGTCAGTTCACCACACATTTTATGTCCACAGATTGTCGATACAACCATGAGCTACGTTGAACAGAATTAAATTAATACAGCATGACATTTTGATAAATGCTGTTACCAGTCATGGATTGGATTATTTTGCGCAACAAAAATCATCTTGGTAAAGGATCGATACTTTTAACTATCGTTATCAAAATTATTTGCCAGAAATTATTTTCTAATAAATCGACTTTTTTTTCCAACTTGTGACAATTTATTTGATACGTAACAATTACGGCTATAAATACCGTATTTCCCGGCTAATAAGTCCACATGGCAAATAGGACGATGTCTATTTTTAGCACTCAAAAAAGGGGTTTTTCCATATAGGCCTCCAATAAGACGGGTAAAAAAATTGTGTCCCTGTTGTTCAGTTATGCTAATATGCGCTAATAATTTTATATGTTTAGAACCAGATCATTTAACTATATTTAACAATTGAGGGGTAAATTTAAGTTGTAAAGCGGCAATCATTTTGGACAACCTATTAACCCGAATGTTGAAATAATTTTGAAATGTGATAAGTACTACACTGTACGTCCACGGGCTATTTCACAGCTGTGTGTTCCTGTTCCTGTCGTGTTCTGCTGAATCGGCAAAACGAAAGGGTCACAAATCACTTTATCTCGGTGGCCGTGTTTCTCTTTAAAGTAACGATAACCGGCCTGCGATTAAATATCATGATTGGCAGGCCCTAAGACCCAAATATAAGGTTACACAAATCATGTTTGAGAAGACTCATGCGAATAAAAAGCAGGCCACATCGAAATAAAATAAACATACTTTCTCAATTAGACGCCCCCACCCCGCCTAGAAAAGCGACTCATTAGACGAATTTTTTGACGTAATGGAAATGAATTTGTAAATTAAAAGCCTTGTAGACGAATGTCGGCAATGTCCACCCGCGCAAACGTGCAAATATGTCGCAACACTATGCGACGTACCGTCGCACAGAATATAAACAATCAAAATGCCGATTCTATTTCATCGTCATTACAATACGTGAGACAGCGTAAAAAGTCGTTTGAATATTCCCGTAAAACGAAACACCACGTATACGGCGAAAAGTGGCTACTATTCGGAATTATTCGAAAATCAGCCGAAAAGATATTCGAATACTTTGATATTCGAATACATTCGAATATTCGATTCGTTTTGGACAACCCTGCATACAGTAGATTGATTTTTAAGACTTTGAATCATATTTCAAAATATTTCATTATGTTATATTTATTGAATTTTTTTGTACAGTAATTCTTCTTTTATTGTTTATCCAAACCAGGTTCGAAGTTTATCAGTGACAATAGATTCATGCAGGAAGTTACCTGGTAAAGGAATTCGAACGTATTGCACCTTGGCACTTAACCAGGTCAATGTTGGCCGTACTAAAGTCAAACTTGACAATGGACCAGTATGGAATGAGGAATTCCATTTCGAGTAAGGAATCCTTTTATCTCAACGTTGCATTTAAATTCTAACTTTAGCGCTCCAGTGTGCATGTATACCAATATGGAGGTACAGGTAACTAATTTTGTTTGCCTACTTTACATCAAGGACTGAAACTTAGGGCAGGGGGTATATTCACTTGGCTAGCACAGACAGTCCCATAACTCGTAATAGAACTAACATAAGGAAAATCGAAATAAAATAATGGCCTAACCCTAACCTGGTACACACGCTAGGGGAGTAGCATTAAGTTATTAACACAATGCTCTTCTTAATATTATAGCGATATACCACCTGACGTTGATTCCATCAGTGTTAGTGTTCATAATGCTGCAAAGAAGAAACATCCAATCGGCGAAACAACAGTTCATTTCAGTAAACTAAGTGCAGGAAGACCTATAGATGAATGGTGAGTAACTAATAATAATTATTAATAATAACAGAGCAAGGCTGAAATATACGGACACGAAGGTCCAATGACTAACTGCGATACCGGTAGCCTATGTGACTCATACCGAAATATGTTAACTGATCATTTAAAAGCTTCGAGTTAAATTGCAATCTAAGCCAGGCCGACAGATGGGTCTGTATACGTAAAATAGAATATCTCGGGGGCTTCTAGAGGCTTCTTCTGTCTTCAAGAACTGAAAATTTGAAATTGATTAGTATATTAGATTTTTTTGCTGAACTGACAGAAAGCCAAACATATACTTTATACAACACTTCTTGTCCAATAATGCTATTAACTGCAGTAATTTGAAGTTTTTCTCATATTTGTTTACCAGGAATGCCAGTTGTTAAATTGTCTATCATATTTGCAGGTACAATCTGTCTGCTCCCACTGCAGGAACTGCTATGCCAGGAATCTTGGGACGTACCGAATCATTTTTATCAAATTCTTCTGCACCAGCCCAACCTGGAAGTCTTGGTTCTGTTCGAGTCAAAGCCAAGTTCACCAATGAATTGATAATGCCTGTTGATGAATACTTGCAGCTCAAAAGTGTAAGTGTTATATTGGATCTTAGCTCTAGGAGACCTTTATTCTCAGTCGTTCTGTCTGTCTGTTTAGCTGTAGTGCCTGAATGGCTGGGTCAATTTGATTGAAATTTCTCACATGGGTTATGCTGTCCACCCTACTATTCAACATTGAACAATGTCTCAGTATTTCATCCTTGTGTTTGTTTCCAGGTATTACTTGGGAACATGGAAGTAATATTTGCTCTGGCAGACATATGTGGACAAGACAGAAATTCTATTGCTAGTGTTTTACTCAAAATATTCCGTGATGAGAAGAGAGTAAGAAATTATTCGTTTTTGAATCATTAGCCTTTTTATCTAAAATTCATCTTTCTTTTATTTACAAAATTAACATTTGCAGAATTATTTTTGACTGTTTTTTTAAGAATTATACCATAACTTGATACTACGGTCACTCGAGTCACTACTTAAGTCGAACGGGTGATCCGAGTGGAGTGACTCAAATCGAGTCGATCAATGAGCCAAGTGTCACTGCCGGTTAGTTGAGCCTGGGTCTTTTTTGGATAGCTCGAGTTTATATCAAATCCAGTAAATGACTTGGGTCTACCCAACATTGTTTGGTACCCATTATTACATATTGATAAGTTGATAACATATTTTGAGATGCCTCCACCATTCCACTAACACAACGGCAGGAAGAAAGGAGCAGAGGTCATTATTGGAGTACGTGCTACTCATATTATCCAAATTTTGAATAAACTAATTTTGTCCTCCAGGAAACAGATTTGCTTTGTGCTCTCAATGAAAGAGAGATAATGGCAGAGGATGCAGAACCTGGCACTTTGTTTCGAGCAACTACTCTCGCATCAACATTGATGGAACAATACATGAGATCAACTTGTGCGAGTTTTGTTTCTCTCGCTTTAAAAGATCTCGTCAAACAGATCACGGATAGTAAACAATCATGTGAGGTGGGTTTGGCTTGTGACGAATTGGATTTTCATGATAGAAGAAATGGCTTTATCCTGCGGTTCCAGCTTCTTTCATTAAATACCTCTCTTTGCCTCTTTATTCCTCCCTCATTATGCATAAAAAGTACTTTATTTACTCAAACTTTGATGGATTTGTAGCTAGTTATATTATGTGCAAGTCGCATCTCCGCTTTTGTACAGCTTGAGTAGTATATAATGTGCACAAATAAGTATTATAGTAATAATAAACAATTAAAGAATATTAGTAATACTACCGCAAATACAAAGCAAAATTCCTTCCAAGAACGACAAGATGATGCAGATCCCGTTCACTGCTAAAAAAATTGTGGTTTTTGGAAATATTCATCATATACAAAAATTAAATAATCAAAATTACAGTTTGCTTCTTAATATTCTGTCTGAAAATTTCATAAGAAAATCACTATTTATGTGACATTAATGTGACATTTGACTCTAAACAATCTTTCCATAACAGTCATGATATTTAGTTATGTTGAATTTCTACATTGTAGCTCTATTGCTAACATATAATTCTGCGCTATAATTCCTCATACTTTTAGTAGCGCCTATCAGTTTAGTGGTGTCCATCATCACTCTCCATTATTCTGAGTGAATGTGTGTGGCCTTGCCTTGAGTAAACTTCCTCAAAAATAAACATTGGGGCTACTCGGAGTGTACTTCACATTGACGGAACTGGCTGGAAATGCTTGTTTATCACGCATGATGTCAACTTTATTTTCAGTTGAACCCAGCTAAACTTCCAGAAGGTAATGATGTTAATGCAAATAGAGAATGTCTTCTCGATCACCTGCGTGCCGCCATTGCTTCAATCATACAAAGTCAATCCATATTTCCTAAAGAATTACGTTACATTTTTGGTCAACAACAACAACTTGTACAGAGGAGATGGAGAAATGATAAGAATGTCAGAACAAGAGTTGTCAGGTATGTAGTCTCCTTGAATAAGTGTTTACTAGAGAATAAATTTGGTATCAAGTATAGTGAATACAAGACAATCAAGTCCAGGGTTTTTTAAACTAGGCCTTCGAACCCCTTAGAGGGCCCATGACCCAAGGCATTCATTAGGTACCATTCCTGATGACTACGTTTATTGGCAGTAAATTGTTTGTGATTTGTAAATTCCTTGGCTGTAATGCATTTGTTCTGTTGATTTCGTCTGTTGACTTTTTTAATATCAAACATCTTGAAAAAAGAAATGGTGGAAACTGGTTGAAATCAAAGTTAGGTTTTATATACATGAGTAGTGGGGAACAAGTTTTGCAAGTCGTTGTGAGGGTGGCGGACTGATCATGAAAGTTTGATAACTATTTATTTAGTAATGTATCCTATACATGAAATATTAGGTAAGGTTCGATCCTGATAAGTCACTTCAATCAGTCACTTAAATAATTGCTATAAAAAAAGACAAAAGACAGTGAATCAGGAAGTGAAGATTTTGACTCATGACTCTTGCTTTTGATGTAATAAACTTTGGCATTTGCAATCTCAGCAGTGAATTATCCTGCTTTAAAATTCTATGGTCGGAAAGATGCTCGAGCTGACCATTGTCGCATTTTGCTACGTGTTAGAAGCACACTTGTCATCACATTGCTGATTATTCTGCTTAGGTTCACAGGTTTAAATCTGATGAGGTTATTATATATTCAATAGTATTCCTGGTCACATTCCTCAGCTTCAAGACCATACATCTCAAATTATTAAAGCTGGTATATCAGCTTCCCTTTAACCCAGGATATATGTGAAAAAATCCTATCTTCATCCAAATGCTATACCACGCAGTAAATGCTTTTTCATAATCTAATTATAATCATATCGTTTTATTCAGTGGTTTTGTCTTCCTGCGTCTATTATGTCCTGCTATCATCACACCAAAGATGTTCAACATAATATCAGAATCACCGAGCCCGGTTGCTGCTAGGAATTTACTACTGGTAGCAAAGTCTATACAGGTAATTTGAAGAACAACACATGACAGCAATGCACAAAAAAGACTAATCACGGTACCGGTAGTCTATGTGATTAATCACAATATCGGTAGCCTGACTGAACTATTAGCTGATTATTCAGAAGCTTCATATCAAAATTTCTAATCTAACCCAACTGGCGCAGCAATCACGAATGAGCTGAAAGTTGTCTGCTGGCTTTATCCCTTTTACTAACCCTTTTACTGTTTACTACTCTAACCTTTTTTTGGGTTTAGAATTTGGCAAATTTAATAGAATTTGGAGCAAAAGAAAGCTACATGGGATGCGTTAATTCCTTTCTTATTGAAAACAAAGTGAAGATTGTTCAGTTTATTGATGATCTTGGGAACAAAGGAACACAGGTTCGTTATTGTCAACCTTTACTTAGATTGGTAGAACATCATTGAAACATGGTGAACATTGATTAGTGGCAGAGCTGGTAAGTCTGAATCTGAAGTGCTTTTTGCTAGATATTGAACTCGTGATTTGAAATTGAAATCAAAATGGGGGTTGAAGTTTTGACTCCTTGGTAGTAGGAATTTCAAACTTTGGCGATTGAAGCCAGATTTTTTAATTGAATTTAATAAAGACCTGTAACAGTAACACCACGGTTTTTGGAATTCAAAAGTTTGAAGTGAATATTTGGAATCAGAATAGAATTCATTTTTTTCGTTGTAATTGAATTTAAAATTTCCGTTACTATGAGATTTCAAAAAGCTTTTATCTGACTTCACAACCTCAGATATGACACAGTTAAACTAAGCTAATCTGTGTATCAGTGTCCTAAAGTAGCAAACTTTTGTATGAGTCATTGAAAACATTTAGATGGAATGTATTTAATATTTCATCAAACGGCGTATTGAAAAATTCAAAATACTTCAATTTGCAACAGCAAGAAGTCATGTTTATATTCATTGACGTAATTATTTTAAATTTTCAATTAAATCTAGATTTGGTTGTAATGATAATCTTAGTTTGTTTAGGTATTTCGTTTCAATTTGATGGGACCCAAACTTGTCTTGGTTCATCCGTTGCACGAATAAATCTGCGACTCTAGATTTAAATAAGTTTGGAGTATGAAACTTTGACAATACCTTGTATACTAATTTCTTTACAGAGCAAACAGTCGGGTACAGGAAGTTATGGCAATAAAGTTGATATTTCTCGAGATCTGGCTCTTCTTCATCATGTATGTATGGATCATCTGCTTGAACTTCAAACCTTGTCTACAAAGAAGGTAATTTTGTTTGCAAATAAATTGTACAAAATTAATAATACATGATGCTCAGATCATTTCTATTAACGAGCATGAGATGGGATTATACCTATTACTTTGTATATATCTTGGTAAAGTATATCTTAGATAGCGCTGTTCAATTTTTTGTCACATGTCCTACCACGATTTATTGAAAAAATAATTTTCAGTGGGAAAAAATTTGGTTATAATTCCAGCTGTAATACAAACTAACAATAAATGAAACTACAGGGAGTCCTCTGGTTACGACAGTCGCGACTTACGCTGTTTCAAGGTTACGAACGTGCACTTCATGACGCTGTTTCGAGGTTGTGAACGCACTCCATAAAAATATAAAAGATACTGTACTGTAATTTTTAAGCGCTCAAACTGGATCATTGTGATCAAGAAAATCAGTGCTTTGGGCTTATTGGTTTTTGTCATGTACATCGTAAATGACGTGGACAATTGCGAACTATTACGAACGAATTATCACTAAGCTTCAGTCACATGGTACACAGTTTCAGTGATACTGTACGCCATTTTGGTTGTTCCGACTTACACTGAAATTTGGGTTACACCGCGTCTCGAGAACGGAACAACGTCGTAAGTTGAGGACTCCCTGGAAATTTCTGAAGAGATTTCATAGCAAGTTTCTCTTTGATGCAGACATTGTTTTTAATTCAAAGTAGGCTTTTACCCATGCCCCCCAGAGAATCGATCAGTTGCCCCCTAAGGGAAGTTTGATGAACTCTGACCTAGCGCATGAAGGATATTTCCAGGGTGTATATAGAATTCACAGTCAATTTCTTCCTTTCAGCCTTTTCTAAAAACTTTTCTCGGAGTATTGGAATTGCTCAATCAACGACAAGTGACCTATCTTCAAAAATTACGAGAAGAAAGATGAGTTCCATTTCCTCCTGTAATCATGATCAAAAAAGTGAAATTACCAAAAATTATTGGTAAAATTTGAATGGTTCAAAGCCCTCCTCTTCAATCGATTTTAGGTTTTTATTATATTCTTTTTTATGCATACCATTTTAAGTTTATTCTTTTTTTTGTTGGAATATTATAGCCATTGTCCATATTTGAGATAACCTCGATTTTTTCTGTAAAACAATCTGAATATTCTAAAACAGTGACTCCGGAATTGAGAGCTGACTGCATGGAATTTATTGGAAAAAATAATTATTGTACCATTTTTACCCAACTACTAAAAAATTATGTTGACAATGATATGGAACTAGAAAAAGCATTCGTGAATGACTCCCAGCTGACAGTCACTGTTTGAATATAGTGCATTTATAAGGATGAAGAAAAGGAATTTGATATTTTAAAAGCGCATTAAAAAATAAGTAAAAAAAAATTGGGATTTTTGACTCTCACCCGCTTCAAATAAACTTTAACCTTTGCTCTCTCAGTATCAAGTATTGGCTGCTATAACATCATAATCAATGTATCTTTAAATTGAATTTAGATTTGATTAAACATTAAATTAATTCCATCCGTATAATAAACTACATTTTTTATTTGTGCAACTTATCTTGAGAAAACATAAATTTGATTTAAAATATACTCTTATTTATTTAATGAAGGAGCTCAGTTCCCTCGTAATAGATGTTTGGCCTGATAATGATTGGTCAGAGTGTATTTGAGGGGTTTGGGCCATCATTTTGTAATGCTGAGTAGATCCCTCAGTTCATGAGATCATTTACTTTTGATATATTGCAAACCTTTTTTTGTTACCACAAGTGTTATTCTTGAGCTATACTACAACAAGAAAATATATTAAAAACAAGCGAAGTTGTCTATCCTATGTCCCAGTAATTTTTTAATCTGTATGCCTGTTTATAATCTCCTCTAATTTGAATATTTGTTGAATTTATTTCAATGAATGAACAAATTTCACACAAAAATGTTTTTCCGAAAATTTGTTTTTAATTACAGTAATTTCAAATTACTTTTTTGAATATAAACTTCATATGAATTAAAATTAAGAAAAACCGTAAATATCATCTAGCATCTTGAAGTCTGTAGGCAGTACTTTGAAAGCGAACGAATTTCCATCATGTACTGACAAATTTTGTTTACCATAAATAATACTCAATTGAATATGATTTGTGGAAATTTTCTTTGTGATGGCAAAATTTAATTTATATAAATGAAATGGGGCATTACTACAAGTTTAAAATTAAGTAAATTAAGACTAAAAGTTGGTGTTTTGTGCGAGTCTAATCAAACCCAAAGATTCAAAAGTTTTAGTTTCATGTCGCTTAAATCCTAGTTTCTAATATTTTTATAGCATGGCCATACTTCATAAGACAAGCAATCTTCAATTATAAGACTTCAAGATAATTACATGCTTATTAAAATTTTTTATTTCTCCATTTTTGTGGTCCGTTTTAAGCTTTCTTCGCTGTTACTGCCTTCCTGGTATTTTAGAGATCATAATTTACACAAAATTCTCACCGTTTCGACTGCTATAGTGGTTTTTCTACTATTTATACCGTCTAGCAGGTTTACCCAACGTCCTCAAATGTACTCAATATACATCATTTGAAAAATTTTTATAAATTTCTGAAACTCCTGCATAGTATTTTGTCATTGTAGTTTATTAAGATAAAATAGCTTTTTATTCGGACCAATCCGTGAAATCATATTACAAACATGAGTAATAGAAGCAGAATAATTAAACAGTTTGAAGATTATTGCATTAATTTTAATTGAAGTCTTCAGAGCGTAATGCACAACCCTAATCTAATGTAGTTTTAGTAACTCTCGAAAGTCGGTGGTTGCTCTTGCTCTGAGATGAGTGCTCTCTACTTTTGAGTGAGTATGTGTGACCCTGCTTTGAGCGAGTTTTCTCAAAAAAGTAGCACCAAATAAATACTCAAGCCTCATTTATTCATGCATGATACTACGATTATAATGCAGTACAGTAATTACATGTGTAATAATTGAGAATTGGCCATAGATGATTTGTTTGAAAGAAATCGTAGAACAAATAATTGAATTGATTTGTCGACGCATGTATGCTATTCTACAATTTTTTCTCACTTTCATTCACAATTTTCACATGCCAGATGCTGCCTATTATATTCTAAGAAATTTAATGATTTTGACATGTAGAATCACAACATAAAGGTGTTTCTAATACATAGTAAGTCCATATTAAATATTATTTATATTATTAACCTTGTTTCGTACTTTTGTTGCCAATGTTATCATATTATTATTATTATTACTCTATAAATTGATATTATCCAGATATTAAACTTTTTTTTTGTTCATAATGTACCTTTCTCATTCATTGTAAAGAGCTCACTACAATACTACAGCATAACGTACATATTTACTTATTTGTCATTATTATCCTTATTATTTTTAATTCTTCAATCTATTTTCATGTACTTCTTTTAATTGTCGAACAGGATAGATTTTGGATCCAAAAAATATTAGCTTCCTACATATCGTTAAATAGTTAGTACAGGGCCCTGTTCGGAGATTGGGTATTGTTTAAAAAGAGGAATTCAATAAATATTTGGATTTTTATAACAATTGAATTTAATAATGTAAGAAAATTATGATGAACATTACATTGTTTGATTTTTATTTCTACATTTTTCGAAAGGTAATTGAAACCTACTTTTTCCCGACTGTCAGATGCCAGTTACCCTCCACAAATATGATTTTTTTGGTTTAATTTAGGATTCACCATATTGAATATATATTTTAAAAGTTATTGAAGTTAATTTGGTAAAAATTTTCATCTAGGGGTTTTGTCGTTTTCTATATCAGAAAAATGAACATTTGCAATCTCCGGGAAGTCGGTTCAGTTCACATCACTTTGTGAGAGTATGTCAGTACATTATAGAAAAAACCTAACTTCATTATGATTACCCGAATGTATGTATAATTGATTGTTCATTATACCAATCAATATCCGAATGTTTTGATTCTATGACATTTGAACATTATTAGTCATATTCTATTGTTTGTCATTTGTACAAATGCAGCCAGTCCTCCCGATTCTTCATTTGTATTATTATTCATTTGCCATATTTAGCATCTCATTTGCATATGCTACAAGAAGTCTGCTAAAATCTTTTCTCGAGCCATTCTAAATTTCATTTTTTGGACCGAAACTAGTAAATTGGACTCAACGAGACCAGCTCCTGACTGACGCAAAAAATAAATCACTTTTCCATATTTTGACATTGACAAACATTCATTTTGTAAAGTATGGTGATCTCGGGAATTCTAAATTTGTTAAGTTTATCCATCCATGGGTTTAAAAACCATATTATCATATTTCAGGGACCATAAGCCGTGCATTAAATCCTTTTTTTTCTCAAAAATTAATTGTGCACCTCATAAGCAAGCCTTATGTATGAACAAAACCTCAATCTAAGCAATTTATTGATGGTACGTCTTATGGTTTGTAAAATATGGTATCACAATACAATACACTTCAGTTATCTGTTTTCTGTCTTGCAATGAATAATCATAAAAAAATTTAATACTCCGAATATGTTGTTCCGAATTCCAATATACTCCGTCCCAACATACTAACTGTATGTTAGTTATTATGAAATGCTTTATCAACTGACAGGAGCACACTGTGTATTGAGATAAGAAAAATTCCTGAACAAAGAGCTGCTTTTGATCAAATTATTTCATGCAGTAATTTTTCATGTACTTGTATTCGATCTGTTCAACTCGTCTATTTATATGCAAAAATGTCACGAGATAGGAAGATGTCTGACAAATTGAACCTTTCTAAATCAAAGATTGCTATTATTTCGTATCGTTTAGAGAATTTGTTATATTATAAGAGACAACACTATCTACAGGAGACTTATTTGGATGCTCTGATCCTATTACTGGATATTGACCAGTGGTTTCAATTTATGCTAAATCATGTATGGACATGTCATTCCCATTTCCGAGGGCAATTTGTCTGACTCTTCAATTAAAATTTACACACAATAAATCCACTATTTGTTTTAAGTTTTTACCTTTAAAAAAAGAGACAGGTATCATTTCATATGTTCAGATAATTGCTGCTAATGTTAGCCTTGTCTGTCAGTGTCTCACCCCTAATCTGGTCTTGTATGCCAAAACCATTGGACTAACGTGTAATCTTGTCCAAGGTCTTCTAATTATTCAAATTATACTCTGTCACAAACAGCTCCAAATGAATTTTCTTTGACACTTTTTTCTGTTCTATTTCATAGCTGTTCTTGCCTTAATGTTGCAAATGTAATTTATCATGTTAAGAAATTTGGTTTTATTACACCGTTTTTCAAGGGTATGTTCGTTTGTTTTTTACTGTGATGTGTCATTTCCATGGACATTTATTATTACTTTACTCAGAAAATATATTTACAATCAGCATTTTGTTGTTATTTGTTTTAAAAATAGCAATTAGGAACAGTAATACATGGATTCTTTTAATTCCTGGAACATGAGCGAGAGGAGACGGATAGCCTACTATCTAAATTCTAGACGAAAATAGGAGGATAGCCTACTATCTAAATTCTAGACGAAAATAGGAGTAGACGGACTGCAACTGCACTATTTCGATTTTCCTACAAAAAAGCCTCATGCACAGGCTTGTCAACTTTGCGACGAATCCCGCTTCGTGTGCACAAACCAAATGATCTAGGGAAAGTACTTTTTACCAGTTTTACTGACTGCAACCATATCAGGCTTCAAAAGCTTCCAAAATGTTATTACCATTCATTTCAAATTCACAACTGGGTATCGAAATGAGACGCAACTAAATTAGGTCGTGAAGTTTGAAACCATGAGTGAGTTTCGTCACACTCGTCGACATTTGTCTGAATTTTCCTGTTATCAGGAACCGATCGCGAAGTCCAATTTAGCCAAGAATCTTTTCTGAATTAGTAGAACTATTTTCCTTTTTTATTAGAAACTTAAGGATTAATTTTAATCAGTTATGCGATGATATTATATTAAACAATGCTCATCCGCTCGGATTTTCTTTCTGCTGCAATACGTTAATTGCGCGCCATTAGCTTTGTAATGATTAGATACGAACACGAGATTAGCGTAAATACTAATAATCATTGACACCATTTCGGAAATTGGCGACAAGGTGACTGCAAGAAACGCCGTCTCTATTCTTATGCTTTGTACCTAGGTATAGGACTTGCATCTACGAAATAAATTTTAGGATACGTCCTTTTTTTATCAATGATATCAATGATATAAACAGCATAAATTTAAACGTGAAAACTATGTAAAGAGCTGACTATGGCACTTAAATTGTATGTTACTAGTTTTCTAGACAATATTGCGGCATATCAATCGCAGTGATAAAATAAATATACTTGAATATTCGTCTCCTAGGAGAAACTCCTTTTGACCGCCATCTTCAGCTGATGGAAGCTTTGGATATATACCTTCACTACCTCTAACAATGTTGAACTGTCCAAAAGGAGTATCACCACAGAACAAATTCACCCATTCTTCCGATTGCGTCGCTTAAAAAATGCTGGTTTAACTGCGTTCACCATCGACATTCACAGTAGAGTCACAAGTTCAAATGTCGCAGCAGTACCTATCACTTCCTAAGTTGCTCGACTCAACATTTTATCAGATACTTCGTAAACCATCCACATTCAGGATTTTCGTATTAGACAGCTGAATCATATGGCAAACCCTGGCATCTGGTCCGGCTACCATTCCATGTCAGGTTTGGGACAAGCTAAGCTAGCCAGTTTAGTTTTATTTCAGATGCATGAACTTGATAGGTTCAGTACACAGAACTCAAACACATGAAGGGTAATCAGAGGCGCGATGCTTGTCGTACTGGCACGATGCACCAACCGCAAAGACAAATTGGACTAGTTACCGATAATCGCATAGTTTCCAGGGCTCAAAGGAAATTCTATCAGTTTGTTTGAGCAATTACCATTTTCTTAAAGCCAACCAAACAGTCTCGTAATCTCCAGTTTATTTTACTACAAACATTCAACTCATGAAGAAAGAACATTGAAAGACAAACAATTTGAACTGCGGACGAAAAGTTACCGATAATAATACAGTGGTAATAAAATATCACAGAAGAGCAGCAAAATATTAACACACAAGCACCTTTCAAGTAATAACATATAATCACTGTTAATTAATCTCAACACTTAGATCTTAATTATATAAATAAAAAGTTTCTCAAACACACAAAGCTGAAACCCAGAGGGTTTCCCGAGTAGGCTTGTCAGTACCAGTGTCGTAAACCAACTTTAATCGCAGGTCATCATTCTCTTACCCTATTCTAATGTGTTCATAATAGCCTTAAAGTTCACATGGCACCTGCCATACTATATTCTGCTTACAAGACCAAAAAAAGACACTTTCATACACAATATGTACCTGAAAAACCGAGTTGCAATTTGGACAGAATCAAATAAAACCAAACAATTTGTACGCTAACATTTCTTGTGTTCCCATTAAAAATTTCACTCTAATGTTTCCTCCACAGACCTAAACCATTTTGCAAGTTTATTTCCTGTATTGTGCATGTGTGCATAGGTAAAAATACTAGATAACATGACTATAATAAGAGAAACTCCTTCAAACATATATCTTGGTGCAAATATCCACCATACCATCAGATGACGTCTGTGAAGACAAGTGCATACCATACAACCAACAATCTGAAAAATAGAAATTATATCTCTTGTTTTACAATAAAACATTGTTAAAAGCAGTTGAATTATTCCTGGTACATTCAGAGAAATAATACTGAGAGTGTTGAAAGTTAAATTTTCAGAACAAAGACAAATTGGGAGGATGCTTCTATAAAATTTTAAACATGGTGTAAACTCAGGACACCAAGCATCCATGATACCACATTCTAGTTTCAGAAACAAGGCAAACGAAAAGAGTATAAATAGAAAATGATTGATTTTCTAAGTTGATATAGTTGCATCAACTTTTTACAAGTCCGTACATGGCAATTTGCTATTTCAACATTGAATCATGAAAATTCAAATTTCTAGTGATGTTTTGACTAGGCGAACTTCTACACTTCAAATTATTTGAGCATTAATATACAAGAGATCGAAACGCTCAGAATGACATTGACCAGACTTTTCCAAGTAATGAAATTATCGAGTTAAACCAAATTCAATGAAATAAACACAAACCTTGGCAATATAGAAGCCAAAATATTTGGATAAAAGATCTTTGAAAACGTTGAAAAACCTTTCTTGATCTTTATAAAAGAAAAGTTCACTCGTGAATTCCTCTTCATTTTGCTCCTCATTATTGAAATACCATCGACTTTTGGTTTGAGGCCACAACATCAAAAGAGGTAGAGACACTAAAAGAGTACAACATCATTACACAAAATTTGGAATCGGACATCGGAATGTAATATGTGTACTAGGTTAGGGATAGGCCATAATTTTAGGTATAAATACTACGGGAGGCTCTTGGCTAGTCTTCGAACTAATAATAGGACTAAAATAAGGAAAATTGGGAAAAAATATTCGTCTAACCCTAACCTGTTACCCATGTTACGTTCCGATGTCTGCCATCTTGGTTCGCATACTTCGGGAGCACCCAAAATTTGATGATACTAACGAGTATTCAATTACAGAAAATTTTCTATTTTTTTTAGGAAATGATATTTTCATTTTCTCATCATAATAATGATATGAGATAATGAAAAAAAAAAAAAAAAAAAAACATATTCAAAATGTGATGAAAAGATGAGACTTTCTCTGACTCGTAGTTCCATCCCGAGCACCTTTTTACATGGCGCTGATGTCTTTCACTCCGAACATGGCCATGTATATCCAACTACTAGTTTTGAAGAGACCGAAAACTTTTGCGGGACACAATTGTCTACCCAATTTATATTTACACCCCAGGTGGGGCTTGGAATTTGGGCCTGAGATGTGTAACCTGCAAAGCCAACAGTCTAACACTTTAAACGCTGGGCCACTTCATATTGAGAAATTGAAATATTTTATACAAATCATACCAGTAGAAAGTATCTGCATGCAAAATGTATTGAGAAGAACAAGTAGACCAGGAATGATATTTGTTGCATGACTTCCCTGAAAACCAACGAATGCAGCATCCCATTGTATACTTGATATGGATGCTTGATGACCGGTGGCAAACCACCAGAATGATGAAATCATTCCCCATAATATGACTGAACTCCAGGGAACATATGATGAACTGTGAAATGTGTAGACATAATGGGAATTACAGAATTAATCAAATAAAAAAATCTAATGTTGATAGGTAGCAACTAAAGCAGGGGGTCCAAACCCAGGCCCGCGGACCACATGTGGCCCGCCTCTTCATTATCTGTGGCCCGCGTCACATTTGGAGAGTAACCAAAAAATCGCATTTCGTGTTGTTTTGTCATAAAATTAATCAGAAAATTCTTTTGGCATATTGTCATCACTAATGTCATTAAATAGTTTTATGGCTAGCTGGGGAAACTAGCGAAGTTGAATGATGTGCTTGGCAGTCTTGTTATCTGGCTTTCTAACTTTTTGGTCGGGAATATATGCTAACAATATAGGCATCATAGAAAACTAAAAATCGAATGGCTATGCCTGATAACTATGTGACTGCACAAAAAAAGTGTTTGTTTTGTATTGCACTGTTTACCTATTCTTGGCACTATTGTGGCCCGCAAACAATGCAAAAATAATTTTGTGGCCTTCGGAGCCGACAACCTTGGACCACCCTGAACTAAAGTTTAGAATGGGTTTGGATGGGGCATTGGACCCAAACGTTTTGGCATTGCAGATCTGGGTTTAGAACCCCATGCTAAGCATCTAATCTGTGGTGTAATGAAATGGGTGGGCAATATTGAATCAAAAGGATTCCAATCGTTTTTTTTAAACTTTGTAGATGCTTTAAAGAGCCTTGCTCAGAGTGGAGACGAAAAAAAGGATTTCCCTGGGGGCAAATATCTGCGACAGTATTAACTATCAATGGACTCTTCACAGCCATTGGTGGATCATGTGAATTGCTGGCCGGCTACGACTTCCTCTACCCCACCGAGTAGGGGTATCAACATGGGCGGGTAACAGAGAGGGTATTGTTTGCCGTACGATTTAGCATTATTACTGGCTTTCTTCTCCCTGAGATAAATATGAAAAACTCTGATGCTATAATTCACAAGTTACCCTCTTTGTTGCATTGATATGGAATTCATTTCCAAAGCACAAACAGAACAAATCAACCACAATGACAAAGATGTTGCTTTTTCTGGTCCAAGCAACATAGAAAATAATATGATCAAGCATAGAAGTACAGAAACAGTGGACGCCGTTATCACAGTGTAAAGTCCGAACACAACTGGAGCTGAATTATCTGAACATGAAATTGTGATTATTGTTTTTATCTCTGAACTCAAATATGGTACAATGGCTTAAAGCAGGGCCTCGATCTGGGCCCTCGGCTTCCTTAGGGGGCCACAAATGAAATTTTTCACTAGGTACGACTTGCAATGACTAAATTAATTCGAAGTGAAACGATTGTGATTAGTTTAATTTCTTAACCAATACGCAATACTCAATTCAATTTCGTTTCTTGGATTTTTCATATTAAACATGGCGCACAAAATAACTAATGGAAGCCCATTAAATGCAAAAGTAGGTATTTTTAGAGAGAAGCGAAGACGCAAGTTTTTAGAATTTTTTTGAAGGGGGGTCACAGACCATGAAAGTTTGAAACCACTGGCTTTAAGGCTTATATGTGGTGCAGTCCTAAGTATCAGATATTCATGAAAAAATATTAATGTAAAATCTAATTTCACTGGCAAAAATCATTTGCAGCAAAAACAAAAAACTTCCTTAACTTCCATCATAACACTTATTAATGGGAGATCTTTACCAGCAAGGTTAATTTTGAATTTTGTGAAAATAAAATGAATTTTGATCACATTGAAGATAAGTCAAATGAAACTAAATTTGTGCTATATTATTACATAACCCAGAAAATCATGTGAAATCTGGGTAATTCAAACACAGAATTCAAACACAATATCTAGCGGTAATTATGATACCAATTTGTGTCTACTGTACATGTAAAACATAGTAAAAGATTACACATCAAAAAACCTCACCAACTGATTCTTTGTTATTTTTATTCAACTTTGACTTCAATTCGTTATATATTTGTGTTATTGTAGTTTTAATGTGACTTTCAACATAATTTCCAAACCTGAAAAGACAGGAAAAGTTTTGTTTGGAAGCAAAAACCAAATACCCAAGCATATTAATTTCTGTTTGAAAACACATCACAATAATTTCATTCAGAAGATAACATAGTTGAAAATTATTTTTGAATTCTATTCAAAAATTTCTGAAATATTGAACTTGAATAAAATATATAAATTGCTATTATATATTAGGAGGATAGTCAGGGTAAAAGTTAACACAAATTACAAGTTTAATTTAGGGTATATTACATAGATGTTATATTATCTAATATTTCTAATATCAATATCATAGTCTTCTCCATAAATTAAATACCAAAGATAGATTTTTAAACTAGTCTCATGGACTACTATTAAAAAAGGACACAAAATTTTTTGATGATGTAAGCAGGGATGGCCAAAACCGAATATTTCACTATTCCTAATACATTCTAAAAAAAACATTTATGAATATGGAATACAGTTTAAATTGGGGGCAAGTTAATATGGAAAATTACATAAATCCCTATATCTTCATGTTGATCACATCTGAAATGACACAAACACAAAGGTCATTGTTTTCTGTGTTTTCTGTTATCAGTTTATTATTATTTATTGTTATCAGATATTGTACGTTTTGATCTGCTTGTCTGATAACTCAAAATCTCCAAATTTTAAATAAAAATTTTCTAAATTCTATTTTTTTTAATATTGAATGTAATGGATATTGAATGTATTCGAATATTCGATTCATTTTGGACATCCCTGAGTGTAAGAAACCATGAGTTGACTTGATTCCGGTCATGAATGGCAGAAGACTCAACTAAATTTTCTTGACACGAAACCCATTTAATTTCATGAATTATAGCTTTTTTAACTAAACCAGACTTATTCAAAACTAAGTCAAGTATGTTAACCTAATCATATACCTAGAGTCTACATTTTTACACTTCGTGAATTTTTTATTTATTAATAGCCTACTCACCCATCTGGATATAGTATAGTTGTGTAAACTGGATTCACCCAATGAAATATAAAGAATATTGCCAACAGAAGATAAACAATACAAGGTGAATAGGTGACACACCAGCTTGGTAACACTGCAAGACCCTGAAAAAAATATATTTTATTGCAAAAATGATATCGGCATCCTAGGTTTTTGGACATGAAAATATTGTTTTCTCTACCAAAAAAGAGCGCTCCAGAAGTGTGTGTACCAATATGGCGATAACTAATTTTGTTCGCCTACTTTACATCAAGTTGTGTAAAGGGACTGGAATCTATGGGCAGGGGTATATTCACCTGGCTGACACAGGAAGTCCCCGAACTCGTAACAGAACTAAATTAAGGAAAATTGAAACAAAATTATGGCCTGACCATGCCTGATACACATACTACTGGAGTACCCAAAAGAGAATATTCCAGATACTAAAGCATATATCTTAGATCGGAGATGGTGAACCTTCTTACCGAAGGAAGCTCAACATTATACTTTTATTCCATAGAGAGATGGGAGACAATAGACATAGAACAATAAACTCGCTGTTGCATAATTCCCACAAGTCTTATAATACTGAGTTAGGATTGTGTATGTGCTGAGCTTTACAAATGCAGCACATATTGAAAAACTGAACCTTATTACAGATTCTTTTATCACTGAGAAGTTAGTATGTTCTTGTGCGACTCAGGCATACGCCTGCCACTGCACCTCTGACTACCTTCTGTGGCATTGCAGGTTCAAATCTCATACAGTAATAATTATGTGTGAGAGGATTGCTGGACTCCTCGCCGCCATATCGTGATTCATGTAACCGCTGGTCGGTTATGGCTTCCGCCACCCTTAAGTCCATGCATCTGAAAACAAGTGACTGGCTAACTGATCTCATACTCAACATGGACTGGTAACCCGACCAGTGGCCATGGTTCGCCATATAATTTACCCGTCTCAATGGCTTTCCTCTCCCGGGGCTAAATATGTGAAGGTATCCTATTAATTCTTGAATTAACGGGTCACCGAAATATACATGGATGGTCATGGTGAGCCACAATCACCAACAAAGTGGTTCGCTATCCCAGTACTACCCTTGGCCACACTAGCATTCATACCTTCGGAGGAACAAGCAGAAGAATCCAGCTAAGTATAACAAAACCAGTTGCCATAGGAAAATTTTTTCTACACACAAATCCATTCATTGCAGCAGTGTTCTTTAAATTACCTCCCTTTCTTAAATGCCACAATAGAATCCATACTGAAGCAATTAAGCTGAAACAAGACAGCAGAACTCTGAAAGAAAATAATTGAGTTGATTAGTTTACAATAATCCTAGTGATAAAAGACTAAGAGCTATTTGATAAATCTTAAAATAATATATGGCAGATTTATATAATTTTCCACATGACTTGCCTCTAATTTACAATGTATTTAATAATCAAAAGTATTTCTTCAAAATGTATCCGAATAGTGAAATACTGTAATTGTTTTGGGCATCCCGGTTCGCATGTTTTTATCAATATCGAAGTATGAGTCATATTCTCAGAAAAAAAAAAATTATGGATTCTCCAGAGTCAGACTTTGAATGCATAAACTTACCGTAGTTTCTAACAGAAACTAATTAAGCATCGAGTCCATTATAGATATTGGATCAAATGATATTCAAATTAAAACAGGGTTGGGTAATTACTTCTAAAACACACCCATCAATGTTCGTTCAGCGAATGATATCACTTTTATGCAGGCTACTCCTACAGTGCTTACATTTTACTTTTTAGCATAGTGTTATCTAGGGCTGCAGAATTTAGTCTGGAATAAAATTCTGGTGTTGCCGTTGAAGCAGTATTTTCAAATTTGCCAAGGCCAAGGCTAGATTCAAATTGAAACATGTTATTGTTCTAATATCTTAAAATTTCTACAGAAGGAAAAAAAACCTTGGAATATTGTATCCAGTAGATGATTGATTATCCTCAGTTGATTCATCATTAAAACACCAGAACTGTTCTGCTCGGCAATATCGAAAATATAGTGCAAGTCTTGAACTTAATAATGCTGCAAGTGAAATGAGTAGAAGAAGAATATGATTCTGTTGCAATAACGGTGTTTTTTCGTGAGCTGATTTATCTTGTGAATGATTTTTGGCTTGTCTTCTTCTATGAACAAGTTTTGAAGGGAACTTGTTTATTTCTGAGTTGGACTCATTAGCGGAGTGAGAATTATTGGAGTTTTCCGCAATATTCGAATTCGATGATGAACTTTTTCCATAGAAAACTGATGCAGTGATACAAATGATCAATGACAAAACTAGGTATAAAGTAGTGATGTCTTCATTTAAGATAAAACTGTTCGTTGTGAATGACACTGAGTACATTATGAGTAAAATCGTCGGAAAGATTTCATCTAAAATTTTCATCCTTCCGATCGCTTCCCAAACGTATTTCAATCCGATAATGCATGTTGTGACAAACATGACACCAGAAAGCAGCAAAGAAAAAGCGAGAAACAAATTCGATTTTATAATGATTGATATAAAAATCGAGACGCCCATAAGTACCAATAACGTCTTGAAAACCATTTGGTATACTAATCCAAATATTGGATCAATTGAATGAAGACTGATTGCAATCAATATCACAGATAAAGTCAGTCCGATGATCATCGAAAATATGTCAAATTTTGCCCAAACTTCACGGCACATTTGTCGAGCTGATTTAATAAATTCCACTAGTTGTTGTTGAAGAGTATCCGAATTTTCATTTTGCTCTTTAAATAACTTTTCTAATTCCTTGTAAACTTTTGTTAGATTTTGATAAGTTGCAGCAGGTAAACTTTTACTGATGTCTTGATATGAATTGATATATGTGTACACTTGCTTTGCATTGGAAAATAGAACATCGCTTGTCTTCAAATGCTTGATAGAATCATGCTCTGAAACAAAAATAATCAACTGAATAATTAAAATGTAGTTATGGCAATAGAACAGTAAAAGTAATGATATTATTATTAATGAATTTATTTGGATGAATAATCATAAACTACGGTAAGTATAAAACGAGAGCAACGGACACAAAGGTTGGGGATCGGTACCGAAATGATAAGGCCTGGGAACTATTTAAACTATCCATACACACACAGGAACAAGGTCATTTCTTTGTCATTTATTGAATTACTCTCTCTCTTTATATGGTGTGGTAGATTCCATGGTTTTGCTAACACATGTTGTGCTCTATAGATTCGCAATATTTTATTTGTCTGAATTTCTGACAGTTGTATTCATTTATACCTATTCATCTACATATAAAATTATAATCCACCTTGTTCATTATAACTTTGTTCTGGCATCATATCACTGATAGCGACACCAAGATTAGCAAAAGGAATTGCTGTACCGAGAAGAAATGAGATGGTTGGAACAATGTCTACCTGCGGAATGGATTTGATAAATTTCAGTAATATTAATCAAGATTATTTGGAAAGAGCTACTTCTCCTATTTCTATGTTTTTCGTGCTGGTTTATCCCTGTGTTAAAAGATCCAAGCAAGGGTTATCCAAGTGATTCAAGAGTCATGCTGCACACTAACACAAATATATTTCTGAAGAGTTTCATCTGAACAAAGTCAAATTTCCTCAGACAATATTTAAATAATAAGCTCTGGCTGAGGGAGTCTTAACTTTGTAGAAACAAAACGTTACAGAAATATATTTTTGTTAGTTTGCTGCATGACTCTTGAATGACTCGGATAAGTTAGGGAAACGTAAATGCTTACTCATAAATAAATAAGAAATCATAATGTGTTGAACTTCCAAGCTATATTTTAAAAATATATTTCATCCAACTTATTTATTTTTAGATGAATTGTTTACTAAAAAAAATGAAGATTAAATTTAAATTCTATAAAATGAAGTTTGAACTATGCGATGTGGTTGCTAAACGATGGTCAGTAGTTAAAACCGTTAGGCTTACTTATGACATCAATGAAGGTTATTAAAATCTCAGCTCCAAACCACATATCCCCCGCCCAGTTTGAAAGAAATCGAGTAGGCTGCTGGTGTGGAGGCTTACTCAAAGTAATACATATTAATACAGTGTTAATGAACATTATAAATAAGTTTAAGTTTGATAAAATTCTGCTACAATGGATAAAACTAAATGATCACAGTACCTGGTTAACAAGCGGATCTTTCGATTCATCAGATTTACATCTTTGAAATTTGTTAGCACGATTGTAAGCAAATAAAGCAGCATTTACTTCATTGAATGTTTCACCGCCATGATCACCAGTATGTGTCATTCCTATAACATGCATATTAGCATATATTAATTAACCAAGTCGTCACACTTATGGAAATAATAAATCAGAAATATTTGCAATAATTGCATACACATATAAGCATCTCAGTCTACATTTCAAAACTAGTATTAACAGATGGACTCTCTATAACAGTGGTTTTCAAACTTCTTAAGTTCCTCTTTAGAATTTATCAAGTCTCGTGCCGCACCTCAAAAATAACTAGTTAACAATAAACTACAAATACCAGATTGAGAGGCAAAGGTATGTTTTATTCAAAAACACGTTGAAAATACGTGGATGGAACGGAAATAATGAAACAAAGAAAGTTCTGAAATGAAAATATGGCGGGCAAGATCACATCGAACACATATTTTCATTTTAAATTACCGGTAGCTTCACACAATCACACCCCTTCGAAAATTGTCTACGTACCCATTGAGGTGCACGACTTTGTGATATGGCATGATGAATTTTATCTTAGATTCTACAGTTTCAGATCCCAAAATGTGGGCTCTCCAATAGTAGAAATGGCAGATATCCTATCCCACATAATTATCCCCCATGAACTCATACAGGGTAAACAGGGATATGATGCCAAACGTATTCATAACACTTAACACAATGTGACACAACACCGAGCTATAATCCTGTGCTCTTATAAGAGTTTGACCAAAGCTATATATATTCATGTATACCGTTACCCAATTGTTACACATTACTACTGTCATCTAGTGTGGTATCGATGAAGAACCTTCTTAAAGGTTATCGAGTATCGTCCAAGGTGTGAGCATGCTGTGCTGACCGTAATCATGGGTATATTGTGTGATTATTTTGATTTACTCCCATGACATGCACGGACAGCCCTATCATTCAATACCTTACCAATTGCTACCAATAGAATTTTTAAATGCTCAGTATTTCTTATGGTATTTAGATGCCTTTTCTCCAAATGAGAGGCTCTGTAGAAGAAGCCACAGATATGTTAGAAGCTATTTTGTTTTGTAAGGTCCGAAATCTTTTCAGTTCAGCACTGACTACTCAATTTATAAAACCTCGGGTGAAATGGCAGGCATGAGATTTGAACCCAAGATTTTGACCATCATAGCTGATAATTATAAGTTTTAACCACTAGGCCATCTAGTGTTATTAGTGAGAAGGTGACGGTGCTACCTTTAAAAAATTGCACAAATAGAGTTACAGAAATTACCAAAGAAAAGAGACAAAATCTTGTAGTAATACCATGATCTCCCATCACAAGTAACAGAGTTTCATTGTCAATCGATTCGGCAACTCCCTGAACAATGCCATTCATTTGTTGAAGTTTTAACGGCATCTCTGGATGAAATGGGCCATATCTAAGAAGGAAAATTGGTTGCAAATGCCCTTTTTTTTTAATAAATGATTGTTTATTGTAACTTTCCATGATGACTGAAGAATAACAAAATAGAGATTTGATAAAAAATAAAAACAATTTGTCCAAATATAATAATATCCTAATATATATGAAAAATGTTTTCTACTGATATCTTCAATAATCAGAAATGTTGATATACCTATGTCCGCAATGATCAACTCCAAGGAAATGTGCAATTAAAAGTTGCCAGTCATTATTTCCGAGTTCAGGTAATAAATGCTTGATAACACCATTATCGACAAGATGAAGATCTTTGACATCAAACGAAGGGTAGGGAAATGCCTTGTTGAATCTAAAAAGGTGATAATATATATATATTAAATATAAGACAAAAACAATATTAAAAACAGATAAGCAATGCTCAGGTATATGAAATGGATTAAAAAATAGCATAGTAATGGCATTCTAGAAGCATCACTGAAAATTGAGATTAATTGACCCATTACGGTAATTGCAAAGGATGACGATATTTTACCGAGAGGCACAATCACTCAAACAATAAGATTTAAGCAAAACAGTCCAAGTCTAAGTTGGACCACAGGGGACTCGTATATGCCAACAGAAAGGAAAGCTTATTTGGTGATGCAAACTTATAATGAATGAGTCCGACAAGGAGAAAATAACTATCTAATTCAAACTCTCAGATACATGGCATTAGTTAGTAGAAAGTATGTGTATTAACAGATCTTCGTATACAATTATCTCAAACTTTTTTAAATTATTACTATCATTAGCAAGTTTAAATTTGAGTTGGGTTGCGCGAGGCTAACTTCCTATCTTTTCTCTATGCCTTTATGCTAGTGGATCCGTATGCGTATGCTGCAAGGATACTGTAGCTGGAATAAACATGACTATTCTATCCAATTAAAGAGTCCAGCTGCACACTAACACGAATGTATTTCTGTAACGTTTTGTCCGACCCGAGTCAGACTTCCTCAGACAAGCAGTTTACAACAATTAACAGATCTTCAGCAAGTTTGGTAATGTTTCCAAACCATGATGTGTAGTATGTTCAATAGAGCTGGTAATAATTGATTATCACTAATCTATAAATTCATGAAACAAGAAAAAATAACGACTCTTTTCTGGGATATGTCCTAAGGGCTGGTAAAAGTACGCACAGAGAACTGTTACACAAAAACACATATTTACCTCAAACAGGGATGGCCAATACCGAATAGTTCACTATTTCGAATACATTCGAAATTATTTTTTTCGAATATGAAATTTCGAATACTTCGGAAATAAAATCCACTAATTGAAGCTTATCTAAATGTATGGAGTAATTTCCATACAATAAGCAATGGAATAACTGCTATCTACAAGTTACAACCTAGCTATATTACCAGGCATTTCATATTTGCAGGTTATTGCAGTATATATTTTATATACCATGAGTCATGTTAACAAAATCAAATTAATACAGCAATAGTGGTATCAATGATGGAATTGAATATTTGCGCAACACAAAATCATCCTAGTAAAACGCCCCTACTTTTGAATACCAACCATTATCCGAATTATTTGCCAAAAAGCGGGATAAAGTATGATAAAGTTATTTTTCCGACCCGTGACAATTTTTTCTTGAGTACAAAAATTAATTATATTCGGGAACTTTACCACACATATTAGGTCCGCAGTACGCCGTTGTATGTTTGAGTAATAAAACTTTTTTTGTTTTATAAATATGAAAATAGGAATCAAAAACTATTTATAATCGGGTAGCTTACCACACATTCTAAGTCCACAGATCGCCGTTGTATTTTGTAGATACGAAAATAGGAATCAAATATTAATCGCGAGTTTGCCACACAATTTATGTCCACAGATTGCCGTGATATTGTGCCGAATATAATTAGTTTTTGATTCTTATTTTTGTACTAATGAAAAAATTGTCACAAGTCGGAAAAATAATTTATACTTTATCCCGCTTTTATGGGAACTAATTTGGATAATGGTTGCCATTGGTTTGTATTTAAATGTATAGACTTTTTACTAGGATGATTTTGTGCTGCGCAAAATATTTGAATCCATGACCGATACCACTATTTAAAATGCCTTACCGTGTTAATTTAATTCTATTATTCAATTTATTGAATATCGTAACAATGACGGCTATAAATACCGTATTTCCCGGCTAATAAGTCCACGTGGCAAATAGGACGATGTCTATTTTTAGCACTCAAAAAAGGGGTTTTTCCATACAGGAAATAAGACTGGTAGAAAAATTGTGTCCCTGTTGTTCAGTTATGCTGATATGCGCTAATAATTTTATATTTCTGGAACCATCATGTTAGTTTGGTAGAATCATACTCACAGAATTAACTATTTTTAACAATTGCGCGGTAAATTTAAGTTGTAAAGCAGCAATCATTTTGAACAACCTATTAACCCGAATGTTGAAATAATTTTGGAATGTGATAAGTACTACACTGTACGTGCACGAGTTATTTCGCAGCTGTGTTTTCCTGTCCCTGTCGTGTTCTGCTGAATCGGCAAAACGAAAGGGTCACAAATCACTTTATCTCGGTGGCCCTGTTTCTCTTTAACCGATAACCGGCCTGCGATTAAATATCATGATTGGCAGACCCTAAGACCCAAATATAAGATTACACAAATCATGCTTGAGAAGACTTATGCGAATAATAAGCAGGCCACATAGAAATAAAATAAACATACTTTCTCAAATGTGCAAATGTGTCGCAACACTATGCGACGTACGGTCGCACAGAATATAAACAATCAAAGTGCCGATTCTATTTCATCGTCATTACAATACGTGAGACAGCGTAAAAAGTCGTTTGAAGATTCCCGTAAAACGAAACACCACGTTTACGGCGAAAAGTGGCTACTATTCGGAATTATTCGAAAATCAGCCGAAAAGGTATTCGAATACTTTGATATTCGAATACATTCGAATATTCGATTCGTTTTGGACAACCCTGACCTCAAATATAATTCATTTTAGACGTTGATTAGACCTACGTAATGAAAAATTTACTTGTCTCTGACCTTCCAGGAAAAAGATTCATCCAAGTGTCATCCCCCATGAAAGTGATGTTTTTTCCAGAAGCAATGAATTGATCGAGTATATTATCTTCTGTTATTTCTGAACTTGCAAAGTTTTTGCTCAGATCAATAAAAGTTGGAAGACTTCCAGTGGTTAACCCTTTTATTCTCTGCATTGTTGTAGTTGGTGCATCAGCCCAAAATCTAAAATATATATTTTTTAAAAAAAACAGAAATACATACATATGACTTCAGCTTACGAGTGTGCAATACATTTTACAGCCTTATAATAAGCGCTCTTTGTCAGAACACATAACAGGATAGAATTTTTATATTTATTCTAGAGGAGAGGAATGCCGATACGATGGTTCAGTCAATATGGCAAACCATAGCCTCTGGTCCAGTTACCAGTTCATATGCATGGACTTGATGCAGAAGCACAAACCGACCAGCACCAACCCCGCTACAAAGTGAGGAGCCCAGCAATCTCTCACACATAATTAGCCCCCACAGGATTCTAACCTGTGAATCCAAAAAGGGTGATCGAAGTTCGATGGCAATGGTATTCTCAATGTTTAGCCTAATGCATCAACCAATTAAAACACTGGAACAAATAAACAACAGCTTTTATAGTTTGGTTTAGCATCATGCTTCGTTGGTGATGGCATTTAAAATTTCATGCTGGCATTGGCATCGCAAGTAACAATGTTAATAAAGACATGCCTTGATTAGTCCAGAATGAAACAATTTAACTGTATATTCTAGATTAGTCGATGTTTTATAGCACAACTATCCAGTGACTCCAGGGTGGATATGAGGGTAGGTAACCAGTAGGCAGTGATTTCGACAAATTTATTAATTACAATACAAACCTCCAGAGTCTTGCATTCTCACATCCCTCTTTTTTCATGAGATCATTAAAAATTGGCATTTTATTGTGGAATATCATCTGCATTGCCCGATCTTCATCAAAGCTCGCAAAATCATACCGTAATGCATCGATAATCATAACAACAAGTTTTTTGAACTTGAAATGAGAATTCTGACAGCTGCTTATGTCATCTTCAATAGACGGAAAATCACTTTGACAGGAAGGCGTTTTACGGTCAATTTCCAGTCTCATCAATAAGAAGCCTCTTGTGAAAAGAGCGAGCGAGATTGAAAGTATCAAACAATTTAAAAACAAACTATTCATCACCGGATTTTAACAATGTGATATTTTTAAACTAATAATGTCACACTAACACTGAAATGGATCAAAACAGGAAAAATAAGTTAATTAAAATGAAATTTAAAGAACAAAAACTATTTTACGACCTAATAGAAACCCAACTGATAGCACCAGGACTATTTCTCAATATTTTTTTTTTAAGAAAGCGGTGTCATGGAACTACAACTGAAAGTGGAGGCATTATGAATGACATCACTCACTACTTGGAATATTGGAAAACACCAATTTAATATTATATTATACTTGAAGAGAAACAAGAAATATCACCAAAATTACAGTAAAATTAATCCTACAGTGATCAAAATTTTAAAATAGGTTACCTATGTCTAGTTACTAGTACAGTTAATTCATTTGAACCATCAGAATTTGAGATTAGAAATTTTTAAACGAAAAATTGAGTAAAATTTTAGAAAATTAAAATTACTATATGTGTTGAAAATATATTTTTTATCTAATTTTTTGAAAAATATGGCACATGTTATAATATTACTGCATAATCTAGTAATAGTGTCAACTTAGCAGTATTAATTTGTAATGATTTTATAGTCAATATGAGAAAATTATTATGAATGAGAGGTCTATTACTGGACAGATCCATTTTTTCACCATGGTGTTTGACTGAATCATACCCATTAACTATGGGATTGCAGTTCACAGTAATCAATTGAAAATTGCACAAATCACATATAACTATCACCACTAGTAATCTAAAATCGAAACACAAAATTTGAATCAATAATCAAAAAAATGGTTAAATATATCCCATACTACTGAAGGCATTTGTTAAATTATCATTCTACATTGCGACTATTCCAATCATTAACAACTTTCGAAATGTTCGTAATATCATCAGGTGTTACTAAACAGCAACCACCGATCCATTCTATTCCTCCTATACTCAACCAATTCGAAACATAATCAGTTAAACTTTGAGAAGAAGGCTCTGTGAACATTCTTCGAGTTGTTTCATCCAAAACTAAGTTAGCATTCGGATATGCTATAAAGGTTTTATCAGGTTGTAATAAATGTCTGATCGATTTCATAATGGGTTCAACAACTTTTGGATGACAACAATTGATGCCAATTGACTTTATTTGCGGGCATTTTGAAATTTTTTCAAATGCTTCTTTAAATTTATCACCATGATAAGTATGTTCTTCATCTTTACAAGTAAACGTAACCCATGCTTTGGCTTGCGGAAATTCACGAAGCAATTCAATAATTGCCTGAGCTTCTTTCTGAGCTGGCATTGTCTCAATTGCAATAAAATCAGGATCTCTTCCCAGTAGAATACTCAACCTTTCTCTATGCCAGTTTTTCAAATCATCTTCTGACATATTATCGACATAGTGGCCAGTATATTCAGACATGTCATGTTGACAAGCTCCATATGGACCGATAGAAGCAGCTACATAATATTTCTCTTTGGCTTCGTCACCTAATTGAGACTTCACTTCTTGAATTGAATCTTTAGCCACATCCACACTCAATTGCAGCAACTGAATTGCATCTTCTCTTGAAACATTACAGTTTTTCATAAAACCATCAATACTAGCTTGATAAGACGATGTTATCACAGCATCGCTGCCAGCGAGAAGAAACCTTTTATGTGCATCTTTGACTGCTGAAGGATCTGTATGCAAAAATCTTGCACTGAATAAGGGATCATCTGCAAGAAAGTCTATGCTTTGAGCTTTTTCCAAATCAGTGCCCAGTCCTCCATCTAATACTTTTACAACAGACATTTTAAATGACTAATCCTGCAATCTGAATTCTGGAATTATAAATTTTGCAGTCAACTTCCACACTGTATACACTGCAGTACTAAGGTTAATTCACAACTTTTGATTTGGACACAAGCAGACAAGGCTACATGATTATAAAAGACAAATTGGTTGCCTATTACTTAAACACATGTAAACAATGGCTAGTTAGCTTCCACCCAACAAGTTCAACTCATCAACCGCAAGAAGAGAAGGTTACAATATACTGATATATGAAAAAACAGCAACCTTGACACTGGCCAGGAAACATCAAATAGTCTAATTAAAAACTATCAGCAGAAGAATCATAGATTTCAATACAGGAATCACTAAATCAGGAAAAAACTGAACAATGACTGATTTATTTTCATAACAACTAGCCTAGGATAGGATTTACATATTTATCCCGGGGGAGAGGAAAGGAAAAATAAGATGGCTTAATCATATGGCGAACCACGGCCTCTCGTCCGCTTACTACAGTACTAGTCCAGGTCGGGTATGGAATTAGTTAGCCAGGTATTTGTTTTCGGAAGCATGGCCTTGATGGTGGAGGAAGCCATAACTGACCAGCGGTTACGTGAACCACCCTACGGCGGCGAGGAGTCCAGCAATCCTCTCGCACATGATCATCCCCGCATGGGATTCGAGCCTGCGATCCCACGAAGGGTAATAGAGATGCGGTGGCGAGCGTATTTCTAACGTTAGCACGATGCGCCACACCGCCCAAATAGCAGACTAGTCCAGTAGTGGGTAGGCTAGTACTGAAATCACCATAGGTTTCAATAATACTAACTTGGCATATCTAGCACACTTTTAGAGCAAATTGATAGCAAACAAAACATGACGACAAAATCAAGGTGAGGCACCGGCTTGAGTTGTGCAGTCAGTCAGTAGTTTATTTTTCCCCAAAATGAAAATGCACTCACAGTGAACATAAACTTAAAAGCAGAAAACACAAAAAGGTAACCCAGACACATACGGTACCGGTATCGGTACCAGTACTGACCATCATACAATCATATGCATCAAGAGAATCCGACCAAACTGTGTCCCGTTCACAACACCGCTGTGAAGCTAGTAGAATTTGACCTTTGTGTGCGGCGAGGCGAAAAGGTTAAAATTCTTGGCAGAATTATAGGCGTGTCATTATTTACAACTGAAAAAATGTAGTTCCAAGCTAAAATACTGAACACAGATTGGAAACATTTTCATGTTTTTGTGATTATATGTATAAGTTTATTTCGACTCCATAATCAGCAAAACAATAAAATGAATGGTAAAAATAAATAAAAAAAAACTGATTATGAAATCAGGAGAGCGAACAAAACCTTAGATAAGGTTTAAAACGTACAGAATGTATATGAGATGGAAGGTTTTGCCAAGAAGATGTGGTACGTGTTCACTCACCTAAAATATAAGTATAAGTATAGGTTTATTTCGACTCCATAATCAGCAAAACAATAAAATGAATGGTAAAAATAAATAAATAAAAACTGATTATGAAATCAGGAGAGCGATCAAAACCTTAGATAAGGTTTAAAACGTACAGAATGTATATAAGATGGAAGGTTTTGCCAAGAAGATGTGGTACGTGTTCACTCACCTAAAATAATTGAAATATTTCACACACGCACCCACACACACAACCATATAGAAGTTATTAAGTGAAGGGAACATGAAAAATTACATACTGGTAGTTAATAAAAAATAAATAAATAAAAATTACTTGCCACACCATATTAATAAATTTATCATGATTGCCACTGCCAAATTGATTAATTTTATAAATGGGAGTGAACAGTCAAGATAAACTTTTATAAAAAAAATATATTGTCAAGCTTATCATAGATGGAGTCAAATGCCAAAATGCCCAACCAAAGTTGCCAGAATTGGGTGCATGAAGAGGTGGGCTAGACCACTTCATTGCCCAAACTAGAGCCTATTATTGTCAAATTATAGTTCAGATTGTAATAAATATTTAAATCTATCAGTAACTTTATAAGTATGAGTAATTATAATTAATTAAGGTAGAAAGACAGGGTATAGGAATATGTTGGTTGCTAAGGTTATGAGGTTTTTTTTTTCATTATTTCATATTGACTTCTGCAAGGATAAAGGAACTAGGAATAAAGGAATTAGTATTGTTATTTCACAGGATCATTTCTTCATTTAATTATTGTGGCGTAATAGATGTCAATTCAAGTTTATCGTGGATGAGACATCAGCCTGCGAATTTTGTTGTTGTAGACACCATTTATATTCAATAAACTAGCCATCGTATTGATCATCACAGAACGACCTGAAAAACAGAAAATAAATCTGCGAGTAGGATATTCAAGGGTTACATATTTGGAAACAGCACTACCCTACACTTTTGTTTAGAATTAATTATTATTTCGAGTAGATATTGATTATTAGTTATCTATCTATAAAACGCTAGTTCAAAGACCAGAGTTGAAATATGGTTGGGACACAGGGTGAATTCCTCGCAAACCATGCAGAAACTCTCAAACCACACTGACCATTCGTATGTTGGCCTTCACATTAACTTCACAGCAGAACCTCAACCTAGGATAAAATTTTGTATACACACAAAACAAATCATAGAATACCACAACAAATTAAAACAAAGGGGAGAATCCAATATATCTCCACTGGTCACCTAATTACAATAATAGGTACAGGAGCTCAACTATACGGTCTACAGCCCTCATAAGGTATCACACCACCCATATAGAAACAAAGACCATGCATGTGTAATGTCAAAAATCCAACGTTAAGCAAAAAGGGAACATGCGCATGCAGATGAAAATAAGTATGTGCAAGTGAAGAGTGTCCCAACTTTCTATCATGGTCATTCATGAAGGTTCAATATTTTTTGTGTCCGAGCTATCAAAACGTTGTAGCTAATTACATACGAAAGAGTATATATATCAGTGTAGTTATGGAAAAATAACTTTTAATATTTGGATACCAAGTACGACTTAACTTGTTTCTGAAATGATTTTTTGGATTTTAATGACTTCAAATTCAAGGGGAGAGAGTCTCATAGCTTAGGTCCATTATAGCATAGGGCATGCTGGCTCACAGATTTACTCATAAACGGTATAAATAAATTGGAATTACTTCTTCGATTGGAGGTGGTTTTGGTTAGTATGTCGTCAAAGCAGTTTGACAATGAATTGTCATGAAAATCATAAACTAATGATAATACTTCAAATTTTATTATGTCTTCAACCTTGAGTATATTTAGCGATTTATAGAGATGATTTACGCTTTCACGTTTACTTTTCCTAAAGACAATTCTTAAAAAATTATTACAAATGCTTTGCAATTTCGAGACAAGTGTTTTATTACCATGGAGCCAGACTGAGCTACAATATCGGATATGACTTAGTAGTAGAGATTGAAACATTGCTAGTAAAGCTGATTGATTAACGCACTGGGATACTTTGGCAGCAACTGCCAAATTCCTTTTCGTTTTACCAATAACATGCGACATTTGTGATTTCCATGACAGATTTTCATCAAAGATAACTCCTAGAAATTTTATTTCTTTCACTCTTTCAATTTCATTGTCATTGAGCAGTAGTGGTTTTGAACAACTCACACTTTTATGCTTGCTTGGGTGGAATAATACAAATTTAATTTTGTTAGCATTAAGAGATAATTTGTTAACCAACATCCAGCTATGAATGTTGGTTAGTTCTTGGTTTGCAACTGTGAGTAGATCTTCAAGGTTTTTCCCATGAAGAATCAAGTCAGTGTCATCAACAAACATGATCGACTCAGAGGATTTCAGACACCTGGACATGCCATTAATGTAAGCTAGAAAAAATAATGGGCCAAGTAAAGATCCTTGTGGAACTCCGTGCTTCATGACACAAATATTTGTAGAGAATGAGTTGTCATATTGCACAATTTGTTTCCTGTCTTGCAGGTAGCTCCTGATCCAATTGAATGGGACGCCTCTAATTCCATAGTGATAGAGCTCACTTAAAAGGATGGAATGGTCAATGGTGTCGAAAGCTTTTGAAATATCAAGAAATATTCCAATTGCATGTTGTTTGCTTTCAAAGGCCTTGGTCAGTTTGTGTACCAAAACATTACCAGCCATAGCAGTGCAGTGATGCTTGCGGAAACCAAATTGATGAGAGTGGAAAACATTGTTAGTTTCAAAGAAGTTTGACATTCTACTATACATTATTTTCTCAAGAATCTTAGAAAATGATGGTAAAAGACTAATAGGTCTATAATTTCCAAGATCTGAAACACTACCCTTTTTAAATAGAGGAAGAACTTTAGATGTCTTGAAGCTTTCAATGAATAATCCACTAGATAGTGGAAGATTAAATATATATGTCAGGATGTCAATGATATGTTCTGGAACGTGTTTCAATACTTTGAATGGAATACCATCAATTGAAATATTTCACACACGCTCACACCAATGACATTAAACAACATGATGCGCAACTCCGGCATTTTTGGCCGAAGATCGTATTCGATAGCACGCTCCAATGCACATACTTGACGAGACGAAAACGAGCGGATGTGTGTTGCTTTCAAGGCATAGCACGAATGGTGTTCGAGCCTGCTTCGACAATTGTTGTGGTTTTTAATGATATGTAGAAAATTGAAGGTAAAAAGAAATCGGAAAAAAGTAAGGTAAATACTATTGTTGTATATCACACCCGGGCATCGCACTGTTAAGTACATGCGGGAAAGCCAGCTTTTGTCAAATACTACGAAGTTCATAATTCAGTACGGTACGTAGTTGGCCATCTGCCGAAATTGCATATTTACTTACCCCTTATGGTTTCAAATAGTTCATGCACCTCCATTTAGATTTTTTTAATCAGTGAGGATATATACTTATTGCTGTAACATACTATTGCTCATTCACTTTTATTTGCGTATTGAATCAACGGGTTAACAAGTTCACCTAAAATTTCACTCATACCGGTCTATATTGTATAGTCTGATCTCTCAAGTATTTGGAGCCACGAATGCTTATATTTTTCTGACTAAACCCCTTTATTAGTTGGTTTATATACCAAATTCAGTAAAACATTTTTTACAAAAAACATAAGATATTGGGTTTATTAGCTTTTCCATTCTGAATCATATAGACTGCTTTATTTATTCTTAACGAAAATTAATACATCTCCTCTCCTACAGATGTGAAAGTTGTGGACAGACCTGTCTAAGCATTGTGAGACTCCTGCAGCACAAGAGGCAATAGCAATAATAGTGAGTATATCAATCAAGAAATTAGGCCGACATAAAACAAAACTTTCAACTATTCGTCTAACCTCAATTTCCTATTATTTATTCACAGGACAACTGTAGCTGAAGGGGAGATATCAGAAGTCTGGCGACATATCAGTGACAGTTTGATTCCAAGAAATATGATTAGAATACTCCATAAATGTTTGCAATAGAAGAACAACCTATGGAGGAATGCAAAGACATTTGACCCTCCGGTAAAGTTGTGTATGGCCCCTACATCCTGCAGGGCTTGAGGGAAATAACAAAAAATTCCAAAGCGTAAGATTGCATAAGCGGTTTTCTTTATAAAAAGGCACAAAACATGCCAGACATACTTAAAACAGCTTTGAAAAATGAGGATTACGGTTCACTGACTACACCTGTGTTATATTTGGTTCATCAAATTTTGGTAGTACTATAGAAGAAATTCAGGAAAGGGTATAATCATGATTCATGATAAAATAATGTTATATATTTTAGACAACTTCAATCTAGACCAGGGATGTCAAACTCGCGGCCCCAGAGAACTTCCAGTGCGGCCCTCGAACGCTTAACAATAATTGTAATAGTATTTTGGAATTTTTTTTTATTTAAATGTAAAAGATTTTTCAAACCTTTTAAAATGAAATTGAATATTCACACAGAAAACAATTTACTGAAAGTAGTTTTAGAAAGTTAATTTTTTTTTGTTCACATTTTGACTCAATTAAGAATACACATCAAGCTAGCAAAAGAATACTGAATAAAACACTTGAGTGATTAAATTAAAGTACACGAAGAAGGTGGCATTTTCGAAGAAAATGGGAGTTGCAATATTTCTGCATTTCACAAAATTCTGAAGCACATTGTTAAATTTGTCATATTTCCATCAGTACAATGAAAAAACACAATAAGCTCAGCAGTCAATATGACAAATTCGAAGACCAACTCCGAACAGAAAATTTCCATGTGTTTGTATATTAATATAAATATACAACGACTTAGTTACTAAAAATCAATATCAATAATAATTCAAGCAATCCTATGCCATGCAATGTAGCGTGAAATGTCTTGTCGAAAAAATCTGTCATTTTTATTTTTACTGATCTATACATGAAATGATAAAGTAACTTTTTTGCATTACTGGAATTAATTAAACTTTTGCAAAGATACAGATTAACCCATGATCATGTGACCTCGTTAGTTAGAGTTGGTACTATAAAATCATTTCAGCCTGGCCTTAGTATGCTGGTGACACAAAGAAGATGCCAAACGTCAGGACAAATGTAATTAAAAAAACATTGAGTTTATACTGTAGTATTTTTGTTAATTTTAGGTTCATATATTTAGATTAAGTCATTTTTAGTGTATATTTTATTCTTTCCTTGACCAAGGCTTGTTCAAAAATGATTTTGATGGTTGTACATGGAATTTTATGATTTTTTGTAATAAATACAGTAACTTGCAATAATAGTGGAATGCAAATATTAATATGTAATTGCATTTGAAATTAAAGAAAATAATAAAACTTAATCCAACTGATTAGTTGCATCACAATATATGTCACAAACTAAAACTATCTAAAAAATATCTCTCGAGTATACATTATCAAAAACTGTTTGCGGCCCTTTTTACAATTTCCAACATGCAATGCGGCTCTCGAAACCCATGAGTTTGACACCACTGATCTATTCTAGACGATTCAAGCATTCCTTTGGGAAATAATATCACTTCAATTAAATTGAAAAAAAATCTCGCTATATTAAATACAAAACCGTTGCTATCATAAAGGTAAACCAATTCAGCCACTCGGAATATATTGGCCTTCACAAAGCAATGGAGGCAGAATTGAGAGTTCATGAGCTATGAACTTTTGTTCTTTTCTTTGTCTTGAACTTTTCATACTCCACAGCCTCTATTAATTTTTTTTTTTAATTACCATGTGATGGTCATACATACTGTATCTTTGTATTTTCTGTCATGATGTATTATCTCAATGTGTCAAACTTTTAATTGGTGTGTATATTTTGCTTTCAGATGACATGAATGTATTGTCTTGCTTATTACCTCAGCTTGGAGTATTGACAAGAAAAAAGTGCCCGTAAATTACGTAAAAAATGTTTAACTCTTTGATATAATCAGAATTCACATTTAATAGGAATTATAAACAGCCAACAATCAATGAGAATTATATGCAAAATTCCTCAGATTGAATTTGTCTTCTAAAATCGGAGGAAGGCAAAACATATAGGTAGTCTCCATTCACACAAGTCTTTCAAGAAGACTTGCTCGAGACAAACTAAATGAGCATCGTCAGGTGATTGGTAAGGCTGCAAGTTGAATCAGGCCTGCAATCTCCTGCATAGAACATAATATTAATTAGCGGGCTATGAGCTAAATTCCTAAATTTAGACACAAACCTATCTACGAGGCATTATGTACCAGTAATGTTACCTACGATTAACTGAATATGTAATATGTCTAATAAATTCACCTACTAAAACAAGTTCGATAGGTGCAAACTTTGTGTTATGGAATTGTATCACAGCACCTTTAAGAGAAGTAAAAACAGTTTTGCTGTTTTGTATGACACCCTCTTTAAATGAAATTTCAATGTTTAAGCGCAAACATTAAAATTACTAACTTTGAACTTTGTCATTATCTGCAAAATGTTTCACACAAATCTTTACGCTATCGCGTTTGTAATATTCTCTGATAAAAAAAACGTCTATGATGTTCAGAATTACTCTTTACAGCTTGTCTGCCATTCCAGCTTTCCAAATGAGCAAAACTTCTCAGGTATAGAGATTATTTTCTTTCGTTACAGGCGCAAAAAGGCAGGTACTACACGTAAAGAAGACGCCGAGTAGCAAAAGCAAGCGGAAAACCGTCGCGAAAGGCGACGAGAAATATGTGCATTGGAGCGTATCATGAAATACAATCTTTCGCATGTAGTCTTATGGAGTGACGTCAGAGTTGCCTATCATGTTGTTTAATGTCATTGCTCACACGCACCCACACACACAACCATATAGAAGTTATTAAGTAAAGGGAACATGAAAAATTACATACTGGTAGTTAATAATAAATAAATAAAAATTACTTGCCACACCATATTAATAAATTTATGATGATTGCCACTGCCAAATTGATCAATTTTATAAATGGGAGTGAACAGTAAAGATAAACTTTTATAAAAAAATATATTGTCAAGCTGATTATAGATGGAGTCAAATGCCAAAATGCCCAACCAAAGTTGCCAGAATTGGGTGCATGAAGAGGTGGGCTAGACCAGTGGTCGGCAACTTTTTTCAAGTGACGGACCGGTAAAGCTTGACCAAGTTTTTGGCGGACCACCTTTATAAAAACGAACTAAGCCTATGCAATAAATTATACGCATTAGGAAATTTATGTTGACAATATACTAAAAACGACGGTGATTCTATTTAATGTGATGTCTGTATTTGTTTGATGGCAATTAACTGTTCCCATATTCGAGATATGGTCGACATTGACACACGTAACGTGTTTCTTACTTCCGACCTATTTCGTTTTTGTAGTTATCAATATTGAAAACCAGGCCTCACATTAAGATTTCGGGAGAGTTAACAATGCCTGTATCGTTTTGTTGGGGAGATCTTAGTCGGACTGATGAGAGACATTCTTATACGGGCGTAGAGAAAACAATTGACCCAGCATTATTGCGACATACTGACATGGCAATTGTTTATGAAATCAGACATGTTGCTCAATAGTGTTATGCAGTGGTCGGCAAACTTCATGTACTTGCGGGCAAAATATAAACATTTCTGGTAGCGCGCGGGCTGCAATATTTCCGCCTTCGAACAATCGCTACCATAATTAAACTTCAAATTATGGCGCATTCACATTGCTACCCTTCTATTGCTTTTTTGAAAGCCTGTCCCAATGAGATGTATATGTGGCTTTTTTTATTATCCAACAATACATTGTTTTTATGTACTTATTATCAATGTGAAAGATGATATTTTTATGGCAACTCGTCGTCCAAATGATGATCTGACAAGCGAGTACGAAATTTAATCTTAAGTGTTATGCATTTTAGATAAAGCTGCTCAAGGCCATATGTTCTTCCGAATGTGCACATTACACGTTTTGCACTGTCGCACAGGTGAGCTGTGGCGCAGCACCGGGTCGCGAGGTCAAATTTTCGACGACTCGTTTCGTAACGAGTTCAACATTGAAACCTTAAACAGCATCGATGCTGACTGGGCATATCGAGCAAACCGGTTTTGGAATGCGCAAGAAAAAAAAATATTTCCGTTCAAGCACTTTGGAATGCTCGACCCGCGTCGATCCGTTTTCCAGACATTTTCAAATTTAAAAAATCAAAATTAACTCGAACGACATACAACTGACGCTACTTGTTACATAAGAAGCACCGTACAGCAGCACTTGTCACCACATAAATCCGTGTAGAGACAATAATAAATTTGAGATTAATTTTTGTTTTATTTATTAAATGTCGGGTCGTTCAAGGGCCGCAACAAATTAGCTCGCGGGCCGAATTTTTTCTGACCCCTGCTGGTGTTGTGTTTGTCTGATTTACTGTTGGGTGCTGTTTTTTAGTCCATACAGTACATTTGTTTTAAACTCATTTATATCTGTTACTTCCGCAAGAAATAATTTGAAATTAATCGACATTTGTTCTTCTTTTTTCAACGCCTTGAACCTCGGCTATAAGAACTCATTGAATGTTCCGTTTACTATGCACGAATTAAAAAAATGTGCTACAATCGCGTAAAAGTACAGCGCCCGGCCAGGATCAAATAGGCTATCCTATGATAAACAATTTACCACAAGAAATACTCCCCACCTTGTTACAGCTTTTTAACCGATCGTGGTCCGAAGGGCGTGTACCGAGAGCGTGGCAGCATTCGATTGTGGTACCGATACTCAAATCAGGGAAGAAAGACAACTCATCTTATCGCCCGATATCTCTTACGAGTAATCTTTGCAAAGTCATGGAACGAATGGTGGCCAACAGATTGAAATGGTTTCTTGACAGGTTTAATTTCATTCACGAAACACAATCTGGTTTCAGGTCGAATAGATCAACATTGGACAATATTATTAGTCTGCACGATGATATATACAAGGCTCTTTCAAGCAAGCGTCACGTTATTGCAGTTTTCATTGATATTGAAAAAGCATACGATATGGTTTGGCGTGAAGGACTAATTTATAAGCTTCATAACATTGGTATAAAGGGTCGAATCTTATCGCGGATTAAATCATTTTTATCTAACCGGTCTTTCCAGGTACGGGTTGGTTCTACTTATTCTAACAGTTTTAAATCGGAAAATGGGATTGTTCAAGGTAGCGTGATAAGTCCTTTGCTTTTTTACAATTATGATAAATGATCTTCCAAAAAATATATCCTCGACATCCAGAACATTCGCTGATGATTGCGCCGCATGGGAGATTGGTTTAAAAATCAACGAACTTATTTCGGATATGCAAATGACATCAAATCAGTTCGTGGTGTCAAGCGTGGGGATTTAACATCTCAATGACAAAATCGTGTGCTGTATTGTTTTCAAGATCACGTAAACCTCCACCATTGCATCTCTACATTGATGGACAGGAGTTGCCGGTTAAATCTGAGTATAAATACCTTGGCGTTATATTCGACAACAAATTGAAGTATAAAGCTCATGTAGAACATGTAACACACAAATGTGATAAAAGATTAAATTTGTTAAGACTTTTGACAGGCACAACATGGGGAGCTTCCCGAGAAACTTTGCTTAAATTATACAGGGTATTAATACGGTCAATAATTGAATACGGAATAGAAGCTTATTATTTTGCACCAAAGTATGTAATTAGGAAATATCGCTGTTACAAAATAAATCTCTTCGTATTTGCTGAGGCGCATTGCCCAGCACCCCGATCTGCTGCCTAAATGTTACCTGTAGAGAGATTCCGATTAAATTTCGTCACCGACAGGCTTGCATGAGATATAAGAGCAAAATTTTATCGATTACGCAATATCCGAATACCAACATAATAGAACAAACATGGCACGAGCTTTACCCGAAGTCACCCTTGCTTCAAACCTTCAACATGCTAACCACATCGGATGTTTTCAAGCAAATTTCGGTTAATCGTGTACCCCTTCTTCAGTCACCTCCTTGGGAAATGGAACTTCCAAATATTGATGTGTCGCTCGCGAATATTATATCGAAAACAGATCCGTTACCTATAAGTAAACTAATATGTGATGGATATATTACTGAGAATTACAGTCAATACTTGTTAATTTATATGGACGGATCAAAGACGGATACAGGATGTGGTTCATCATTTTGTATTTTAAAGTATGACGTCTCCAAATCTTTTACACTTGACAAAAAATTAAGTTCGTTTACAACTGAACTTTATGCCGTGTACAGAGCATTGCTTTGGATAACTTTGCATCGGCCGTCACGTGTTTTAATTTTGACCGATTGTCTGAGCCTTTCACAAGGATTAAGTAAAATTTACTTTGTTAATCATATGTTGTTTTTTAAAATTAAAACTATTCTATCTTCCCTCAGGAGCCAAAATATTTTCGTAGATTTCGTGTGGATCCCAGGACATGTTGGAATTGCTGGCAACGAAAGAGCAGACAAACTAGCAAAAGAAGCAACAATGGACGGAAGTATTTTAACGTCTGTCATCAATTTCTCGAAAAACGAAGCAAAGTCAATGCGAAGTGCGAAATGGAATGGAATATTATATCACACTAGAAAAAGCTCAACATCTCAAATTATTCTTCCCACCGATTAAAATACATAATTCCTGCAAATTATCTAGAAAATATGAAATACTATTGTTCAGACTACAAACAGGCCACTGTCGTCTGAACTTTCATCTTCATAAAATTGGACTCCACGAAAATGGATTTTGCGACACCTGCACGGAAAACGAAACCGTCGAACATTTAATATTAAATTGTCTCCGTTATAACTTCCCAAGATCAATTTTACTTAATCATTGCAAAGAACTGAATATAGGCCCCGTGAATATTATCAATTTGTTAACAAATCCCAGAATTATATCATTTGTTATAGAATACGTCCTCGTAACGGGTCGAAGCATTTGAGCACCAAACGCTTAATATCACAGTCCTGGTGCACAAAACTAAGCCAGTTATAAGCACCATTAAAATAATAATATAAATAAATAAATAACGCCTCTTATAAATGTATGCTCGCCGAGAACATACTTCGAGCGTCTAGAAGTCACGTTTAGGAACTTTCCAAACTCCTACTTCCCAACACCTATGTCCTATAGGAAGCTGTCGATGAACATTAATTCTAGCCTAGCACCACAAAGCTAGACTTCCAATCAAACTTTATTATTAGTGTGAAAGGAGACGCGATAAACCAGAGATGGTTATCGAGCAGCGTCACCTTTGAGGCAGTGAGTCTAATATTAAATCAAATATCGGAAGATGTAAAGTTAAAAAATCACACCTAAGGGGTCTGGGACCTTGAAGGCATCCCGCTTTGAAGTCCTACTTATGCCACAAGTTTGGCATTGACTGACCTCGTATGAAACGAGGCTGAGATAATGGTCCAAGTTGGAGTGAAAAATGGGTATGGGTCGAGTTGGACTGGCATAACTTTTGATAAATAGAAACGTGTCTCGGACGTGGAGGAATTTTGGAAAACGGGTGATGGAGATATTGACCAATTTTTTCTGCGCGATGGCCAGACACAGTACAGTCGCAAGTTTTGCTTTGAGCGCTACTCAGCAAGGATGGCCTGCTTGGGACAATAACAATGGACACAACTATTCAATAACGATGCCCCAAATTGTCGAGATACACAATTTATTCAAATCATTTATCGACGAAGGCTACGATTGCCCGAATGCTTCAACTTCACAGAAAACATGGCACCCTGCGAACTCAGTAGAGATGTCAATTACGAAAAATCATCAGACGCATTCAAATATTGTTCCAGTGCCAATCAATGGAAAACGGAAGAATGGACTTTTCCGTAGAGTTCCCAAATTTTTTAATTTAAGAAAATAAGTTATTACATGTAAACTGTAAAGATTTTATGTGTTTCAGTGGTCCCCACGAAAGATCGGAAATCAAATCGATAGAACAAAGTGTAGTTTCGTTACAAAAAATGTGAACTAGTGTAATCAACAATAATAATGTGTGTCTAGTATTTAGAGAGATAACGAATAATTTGCCATCGAATGTTTGATTATGAAAACTCAACCGCCTAACCCCACTCACCGCTCACGCTGGCGTTTGTTTGTCTATATTCGTTGTCGCACCTTACCTTTATCAAACTTCCCATTAGTATGTCTACGTGATCCGCACTTTCCCATCATATAAGAAATACACAAACACTTCGCTTTACATCAAAAACCTGAGAGCTTCAAGGATTCAGTTTAGTAAAATAATGGCGAATGACTCTTATCGAATGGATCTATCATCATCAAGATTCCTCATTTAATACAAGCTATACGAATGATATTAGCTTATTTGAATCAACCTAAAAAATTAAAATTCTAGATATATTTATATATATGGAAAAAAAACACATTAGTATTTTATATCTATTTCAAAATTACTCTTCTCCAACATGCTCGTTTGAATGTTATATGTAAGCGTGTCGAGACACGGGTCACTGTTCCGTTTATTTTGCAATAATTTTTTCCTTACATACTTTTTTATATTTAATCGCTGGCAATACACACATGCACATGTGGCCACGCTTTCGAGAGATAAGATCAAACCACCAGAAACAAAGCGAGTTTTAGGGATATGAAGTGGAACTTGTGGATTGTTTCGTTAAATTCTTGTTTTCGGGGCTGTATGTATTTAAGCCTTGTTCTCTTTTATCCTTAAATCATTATATAAAGTCGGCATTGATCAATTAATTGTTGACGTTGGTATTAATTTTTTTTCACAACTCAAATTTGCGCGATGACAAATTTAATCGGCCGTAAAGATCGGGAATTACATGAGTCTCCCTAGCTAAACATGCCCTCATGTGAAGCAATAAATTCTTATTTACTCTACGGCGCGAGAACAGGCTGTGTAACTAGCGGACAATTTGAAAAATTGAGGGTATTATAGTGGACACAAATTTGTCCAAGGCGGTCACTTGTTGTTTGTTAAATGCTATCATCGGGCCAATATATATATATATATATATATATATGGCAATTATACAAAGTCGAGTGCGTTTGAGTTATGAAGAAGAATGCCATATATATGGTGGATAACAGGAATTTATGTGAGATAGAGTTTTATAGTATATGGATAGAAATATCTGACGTTTCAAAAAATAGGTTAGCTGATCACATTGAACATGAGTTTTTTTAATGCCTCGCAATTTAACTCCATACTAGGATGAGGATCGCAAAATTGTATTGTAAGCGAGGTTCGTGAGACCTTCGCTAATTGGTAAATTCCTCCAATACTTTGAGAGTTTTTTCGAGGAATAGCGTGTGGAAATTATCTTCCCGCTCCAAAGCCAATTTTTTATTTCAAAATATTCAAGAAGCCACCATAACAAGTTTCTGATAGCAACTTTTAGCATATATATTAGATTTATTTCAGTTATGCGCTATAATTTGTATAATAACTTTAGAAACTGAAATCTGCCAAAAAACAAAAGTACGAAAACGGGTCAATGTTCACGAACGTGATTAAGATGTATCTGAGCGCATGATCAAATTTTAATTTGTAATGCTGATTAGTTAGGAAAAACATGATGCTGGTAATGTTCAGAATGATTTTCAGAATTATCCCGGTGAAATTGAATTCGACAAGGCGGCTTCACCATTATGTGACAAACCGCGGCCTCTCGTCCGATTACAAGCCAGGTCGGATGTATCAATGTCTAATCATTTCATCGTATCAGATGTATGGACGTTGTGAGGTGTTCAGAAACCCACATGCACATATATATATACTTATCCCCGTCGGGATCGAGTAATCATGGACTCGGGGGCGAAGGTGTTCTTCGCTCTTCGCCCACTGCAAACTATTTTCGTCTTTTCCCCTTAATAACCTCTTATTATCATTAATACTTTACTCCATTCAGATATTCATACATTTTAATTCATGCAATCAGTCAATACATAATCAAATAGCTTGTGTTGAGAAGATATTGTTTGTGCAAATCAAAGAAACTTGTATTATTCTCCATGGAAATTAAAAATGAGCAACGCAATCAACATTCAATGAAACAATTGCCAAGTTACTATAGAACGCATCAAAATGAAGTGGGAATTTCAAACGATTTGTTCCTTGAAGACAGCCCGACTTTAAAGAGAAATACAGTAACAGCATGGACATCAAAGGTATTAGTTCATTGTCTCATATTAACGGAATTTGTTATCTTATGTTATCTGAAGGTTTGTCGGAGGCTAGAAAAATATCACACTACATTTGATTTCAAATTCCGAAATATACACGCTGGAAGTTTTTAAGTATCTATATATAAAAATGTTACCCAAATTGATATCAAACAATTGAATTTCTCTAAAGTTGACTAAGTAAATTTTCAAATGAAGAATACTGATACACTGCATTTTTGTTTGATATGTTTTTCTACATACCGTTATTCACGAAACATTGAATACATGCACGGTATTGAAGAGTTTTGGGGCTCAAACTCATGAATTACTAACCCGACTCCGAAAATATGTTTATTTGAGTTTATTGAATTAAATTAAGCCTAAAAGCGGAGGTACCCTACGTTATTGTGGTTTGTTTTACAGGATTGGTAACCTCGTATGTTTTATGAGAATTCATGTTTGCTTGCAATTTGCAATCGGGCCCAATTGACGGAATCTGGCTACCTTGCCGTGCCGAAAATTACTGGATTGTGATTGGCTTGTTTCTTCTATGGATCTTTTGCCAAATAATATATATATATATTTTATAGTTTTTTTTATGATCAGAATCCGCTTTTTGTATTATAAGTTCTGATCTCCCGATGTGACGCAAAATATGGATTGTTCGTTGTGAATCCCCAACTCCTTTTGTTATTTTGTGTGATGATAATCGCTCTTTTTGTTTGTGTACTTCTTTATTTGTGTTGTATTTTGCTCGCTATGCTTTGTACAGCAAATTTTAAAATAGTGGTTCTGTATTCAGAACCGCAAACTAAATTCGAAAAACAAGCGAAGGGTCGTCAGGCACTTACGAAGAAAACTTGGAATCGTTAGGGAGGCGAGGATTACTGCTTTGAAGAAAATTGACGGTAGGCTGGACCTTTTTTAACAGTTTGTACAAATTTATTGGCATCCCATTTTTATGTACCGCTTAAATCTCGCCGATGACGGCACGATTCATCTAAGATTTCTACTTCTATAAAGAAAATTATAGCCCTAATACGTTTGTGATGGGATTTACACGATTGAGTATTTGCACAGTGGATTACAAAATGAAAATTCCAAACAAATTAAATTTGATTCGAAAATTGAAATTTGAATAACAAATTTAGTATGGGTTGAATTGATCCGGTAAATTTAAGTATTCATCACTAAAAAATTTCTCTTATTATTCAGGCTCGCACTATCTAGACATTTTAAATCATTTAGAATTTACATAGTGTTATTATAAGCCATGGTCATTTTTATAATACTATTTACAACTCACAAAAATTTGACAATCCCTAACCATAATTCCTGATTGCATAATCATAATTCATATTTTTACATTGATGCGACTCTGGTCGCACACCGCTTCTACTCAAATAACGATAATGACTGAATATCAAGAATAGCATAAGACAAACAATGTTATACAGATTTATAAGTTTTGGAAGCGATAATAATAAACGAGCCCAATTATGTAAATAAGAGAATGATACGGCTTCTTGAGTTTGGAAAATGAAATACTACGGAGGCATACTGGCGCAATAAAACACTGATTAAGATATCAAATTATTTTGGCGTTTATGACGTTGTAGCTAGGCGTGGAGATAATCTATTTTATCTAACATTATTGTCGTGGTGGACGCCGTTGTGAAATCTGCCCTAACTCAAAGAAATAAACATAAAATAATAAACAGTAATTAGGTGTATGTGTTTCATTTTACACGAAAAGTTTTTAGCGTAATAAATGACAGGCGTTGCAATTTTTCTTACTCTAAAATGAACATGAGACATTGTTATTTGTAAGCTTGTGGTATGTTATTAGTTTTGTGAATATTAAGAAGCAATTGACATATACGAAAGTATATTTTAAGATAGAGTATATCCGTAAATCCTCTTTAAACACACTTCAATGTACTCAGAAATCGATATTATGTGACAATCGTATCATTTTGAACGATCTCTTACGTGGAGTACATGACAATTTTACTGACAATTTTTAGGGATTGTTTAAAAAGTGACTTGGCCGTAGGCCTATATCCGTAGCATCGATTCAATAATGTTAAAAATAAATTAATAATAAATTAATTAATTGATTCTACATAACTTACCCATTTCTGATTAGAATTTACAATTTTTAGCAAAAACCAAAACATATGTGTCACGATAGATATAGCGTGGAAATACGCCCGCGTTTTTTGAGCAATATTCTTAACAAATGGAAAAATACTTCTCATACGGTGTGGAAAATTTTATAATCGTTGCCAATACTCAAAAATCAAGCCGCCTAAGATAAATGGTCCTAAATTTTTATTAGCATGGAGTAAAACACTGAAATCTCTATCTACAAACCCCAAGTTATAAGAGAGGTATGAATTAAATGGCCCAATTTATAGGGCCGACTTTACTAAATCACCCAAAATAGAGAGACGAAATAACCCATTCGTACACACTTGCCCAAATCGTGAAAATGTCGTGAAATTTTGAAACCATATGTAAGGAAATTAGGTGGTATAACAGCTATTACTCGGAAATAAAGCGCAGCTGTCAATGATCCAACGATGATGCGTTCGTCATACCACGTTCATATTCGTTTGTGTATAAATAAGCAGTGTGTAAGTATGAATATGATAACATAAAGACTCAATCTGAATCATACCAAGGCCACCGTTATAGTGAATGTAGCCAGAATAGAAAATTCTGGATTCCAATAGAATTATCTATACTTTCCTATCATCAATCTTGTGTAACAAAAATGTCCATATCTCAATTCCTAAGGAATAAGTTTTGAAATATTTTGTTCACACGTACCCTTATATTGTACTCATAACGAAGTCATATCATACACTGTTTGTTTTTTCTGAATCTGTCTTGAGATGTCACTCGCGACTTCTTTTGTTCATTCCTGTGACCTATTTGTTTTGTTGAATAGGCGGCGATAAAAGATGATGATTTCTTAGGGTTAAATACAAATGTTTCTACATTTTTGGGAACAATACCCATGTTTAACCCTGGATTTAGTAGTCATATGTTAAAGGTATACGCACCTTCTATCATCATATTTTAATACAATATCTTACAATTTGTTAAAGATTTACTTTCTCCTGCTTTACATGTTGTTTAAGTTTGGTATTTTAAATAATAAAATTATTTATGGTAGGGCAACAGGACGCTTTTCCAGATAAATACCTCACTCGAAATTCCAGTTAACTAAACTGGACTTTTGATTGTATTTTTCAAAATTTCTATCAAACAGGGTTTTATATAAAACAGCTATGGAAAATTTACAAAGCTACTCAACTACCGATTTTGACAAGTAGGATGCCCAGTTATAGTTAGGGACGGTATGAATTGATTAAATAGATTTTCAGAACTTGAATCCGACATATTTTGCGTACGACCACTTCAATGACAATTTATGTCGAATTCATTCTCAAGTATTTTTCAATGAGTACACTGATGTAATATAAGGGTTTTTGAGGGCGTGGTGGTTTGGTGAAAATTGCGAAAGTTGTTTAGTAATGGGCTTAGGATTTGTCAAAAAATAAACTAAACAGATATCATGTTTAAGACATAAGAAAGGAAATATATATATCGAAGCCGACGCTAAACTATTTGAAAAATATGAGTTATGTGAATTTATCAAAATATTTTGTTTAAAGCGTATAAATACAATAGCATCGGACCCTAATCATTGTCCTGAATCAGAACAGGGCAAGCACAGCAATTTGCGCCAAATGAATATTTTTGCCTGCTGTTCTCCAACTTTGTCTCGACGCTAGTGCATTGTAGCAAGAAATTTTTTTTTAAGAGTATTCATTTTATTCATTGCACGAACATACAGAAATTGAGAAAGCAGTTGCAAGAAAAGAAAGTAACTTGCACGGGAAAGAGTGCGATCACACGAAGAAAAAAGATTTATCTCCTACGAACTCAATTGATATCACGGTAAGAATCTTCTTATTACTGTCACGTAAAACAGTTGTGCACTTCTCATTTCGGAAGTATTTCGCTGATCGAACGTAAATTCAAACAAAGCAGGCGCATATAAGAAGATATTTGTTAAAACGACTAATAGAGATTTCCGGCTAATTTACTTCATGATTGATTTACAGTTCTTCGGCTTGTTAGGCAAATAAAAGTTTATTGTAAACAGCTTTCTGCGTTATGACTTTCATTAACCACATGCGTCTAGTGTTATGATTTTTGGTCACGAAGTGTACATATGGATCGTTTTGTTAATATGTTGTTGTTGTTACTTTCATTTTCTCATTAATTACTGGACCAATTGCTTTGAAATTTTCAGTGGTTAAATATTGTATTTTCCGATAGAAAAATATTACTTTTATTTATTTCAAACATTTCTGAGGGCTCTATGGTATTCGTATTTTGTGTATCATGACGTCATCGAAATTAAAAATCGCGCAATGTCTGGCAGTTCCGTGTTCGCGATCTTTGGGTTAGGCGAAGTCGTTAAAAATGCGGTACCGGTAGTCTACTGTGACGGATTGCATGCCCGTACTGCTTCGTTTTTGCCTTCGCGTCCATATATTTGAGCATTGATCTCTTGTCTAATGAGGTAACTGCCTCAATTTTCAACTACCACGATTGGTAACCGACTATTGATTATTTTGAAATCGGCTCTGCGTTAGAATGGAAATAAGCAAACTGGGAAAAGATGAACATTGGTCATCTTATTCATGGTCGGACAAGGTTCACGTAATATTTTCCGATCTTTGTAACTGAATAGCAAGCAGGAGTTTATAAATGAACGCTCGAAAGTTGGGAGAACAATGCTGTTGACATTTTCGACAAACTGTATATTTATTATCTGGGCGATGAATGTGCAAAAGTATTCTTGGCCTTTTAAACGTTGTTGTTACAAAGTGCGAAAGCACCGCCACGTGACACGTTTCCCATTTGAAGTCCGTCATCGCCACCCAATTGTTGACGGACTTCTGTACATATTGAATCAACTATATTGAAAGCCGTGACGATCGATCGTACGTTGAAAAATATGTTTTGTGACCAGTTTGATACCGTAATGGGATGATGTTTCGCAACATTTGTTATGCGAAAGGACAGTTTACCATCTTTTGGAAATAATATCTGCCAACGTGGTATTTCTACGGATGCCGGTACTGACTATTTTCTGGCGGAAATGTTGTGGCAAAATCAAATAGGTCATTTTTGGGGACAAAATATCGCCTTCAATTTTACCATGTTTTGTGCCATTTATACACAGTAAAATAACTTTCAAATTGAAAAACATGAAAATGATATTTGAAAATGGAAAATATTGACGGCGCGTCTAAATCGACCTCTACTGTCATTGGGGGTTGAGCGCACGTCACGATATAAAGGGGAGTACAGTATACGTAATGCATTCAGCTTCGTGTGACAGCATTGGTATTTGTCTCTTTTCCAGTATTCTCTCAACTCAGAGAATCGAGGGAAAAAATCAAAATTTGTTATCACTATATATCAGGGGTGGCCGTCGTTGGGGGTGGCCAACTAAAATCTTCAAAATAGCTCGCGATCGACTGATCGGTAATAAGGTCATACACAAGAACGAATGAGTACTGAATATGCAGATAACCCCGAATTTCCGTTGCGAATAAAACTTATCATTCTACCCTTGGAGTGAGACAATAACTTTCGCTTACCGTAGAAGTTATTTTAGGGTCGTTGGCCAGTCAAGGCACACGATATTCGGCACGTTCATTTCTAAAACTTGGCTGCGGCAACGACATTTGTTATGTAATAATATGCTCTATCAGGCTTGCCCAGACTCAAATAGCGTGTTTGTATGATGTATTTAGCGCATGTACGGTACTGGGTTTGTGTTCTCTCTGTTATAAGACACGCGACACGCGCTGCATGAAACTGGTTAAAGTAACTTTTGAGGTATGTTATTAAATTCAATCAACATCAGACGCCGTCGACTACTCGAGACGTGGTGTTCGACCGATCGATCGCGATCGGCGTGTTGGTCACCCCTGCTATCTTTCAACTAGACCTGATTTACTCCGAGATTTTTTATCAATTTAACTTTACAGACGATGACAACGTTGGGTTCTGCTGGACGAATCAACGGTCTTATACGTAAGAATGGATTCCATGTGAAGTCTTCATACACAGAATATGTATTCAATAGGTAGGTATACTGATTGAGACTTTTCGGTACAATTGTGCTTTGTGATAATACTTAAATTCCCTGCTTATGTTACAGCGAAGTTACTCTACGAGCATAGTTGTCGATGATCATGATGCCTCAGTTTTTACCGAAAGTGATCAACGATCAGTTGACAGTAGACGAAGATCAACACCAGTTTGTAAGTAGCCTACATAACTTGATTCTCGCCCTCGGGTCTATAATAACGTTATATGTTCTAGGAATTTTTACTGACTGGAAAAGCGACAATGAAACTTCTGAAAATGGATACGACATATTTCAAGATGATATCGATGAACTACAGGTTTCTGATAAGAATGACGAACATTTTGGAAGTCATGGGGACGATATAACAAAAACAGTGTGTGGTGGAGACGTCAACTCTAAACCATTTCCGCCCAAAAGAAAGGTTCGTTATCCGCATTATAAGTTGATTACAGCGAAAGTTTTCAGGAGCATCGACTTCCTCGTTGGAAGACAGATAATGGATGTTTTCCCTATCTCTTGATAATAATCAGCAAGATGCGTACAATGATGTAACAATTGAAACTTTAGCAGCCGCTTGGACAGATTTTAAACATTAGCTCGTTCCATGGTTTTGCGAGCTATTTGTCAGTTTTATTGTGTTGCCGATATTAAGGTATAAATCCAATATTGCAATGGTCATTTTGTCTTTCGGGAAGTTTCAATTTAGTAGCAGTAATCAAATATTGGTCCCGAATAGCTGCAATAGGTATAACAATTGCTATAGGTAGTGGAATCTTTTGAATGGAAACTATGGCTATGAACAAGTGAACTAGTTCGTAAACCCCAATTCGCGAAAACAATCTTGAGTGCAGCAATAATTTCTTAGCGCCATATACGGTAAAGTTTTCTGATTTTAACCCTCTTAGTGAGATAAGACAATTATTCATGCAAGACAAGTTGCTAACTAAACCAACTGTCGCATCCTTTTCTGATAAAGAATATAAATGAACAGAATATTATTCAACCGCAAACAAGAATTTTGATATATTACTTACAAACTTATTGCACTGAATATTTTCTCCTAAAAATCAGAATATCTTAAGGTTTTCATATTTACAGGTGAAAATTTACGTATTAGCTGACGAAAGTACAAAAACGGAACGGCAAGTACTTCTCACAAAAATCTTTTCTCGCTTTTCTAACAATGTTCGAGGCAATGGTTTTACTTTTGAGATAGTTGATTTATGCGAGGAATCGAAGAGAGTGCGTACAGTTGCTGGCAAAAATCTTCGTAGTTATCACATTGAAGATGCACACATTGCCAGCGCTGGCACGGCGTTCATAGTAAGATCAATTCATTTAGCAAGCTATTTGAAACCAAGTGAATTTAACGTTTTATTCAATTACGAGTACATCCTGTTTTCTTAGATATTTCTTTCCAGCGATTTGAATGAAAGCCTCAAAACTCCTGTTGAGATTCCACAAGACGTAATGAGAAAACTGTTTGGACTAATTCGACTTGAAATTCTTGCTTGCGAAGCAGCAATTCATATTTCAACGGCCGAAGATGGTGATCCTGAGGAAATAACTAATGATGATGAAAGTGTAACTGAAAATGAAACGCCAAAGAAAGTACGCTTTGTTGGTATGTATCATATTTTAATTAAAACTTTGATATAAACTTAACTGCGTGCTTGCCCATATAGAAGACTATATAAGCATATGTAGCCAATTGAACATTTTGTTGCAGATGACGAGATTACGACTTTGCCGCCAAAGAAAAATCTAATCAAATCATTGCAAAAAAGAATCCAAAAATGCCATAAATTCCGTCGGATGATCAATCACCATTATGAGTTGGATATGAATTCCGTGCCACCTACTTACGTCTTGACACAACACAGGTATAGCAGTAATATCTATATATAGAAGTGGTATATTTGTATCAAAATGTAACATTTGGTTAAACCCTAACAGTATATTTAAAAAAATTTAGTTCAAGAAATTCTGTCGAAACAAATTCGTATTTCACCGAATATCTGCTGAAGTATTTTCGTCGATTGCAACACGATCCTGATATAGGCTCATGGATAAAGCAAGCCTTTGAAATCGGTAGGTGGTCATTGCTAATTTTCCTCTAAAGTTTAAAACCAATAAAAAAAAAAATATGTTTTCATCTCAGTTCGAATAAACATCTTAGGGAGCAATTTTCAAGCGACTGAGTATAGGATGATCGATTTGATTCTGTGAATATTTTTCCATTGAATTGAACCACTTGTTATTTTGTTTTTCGTGAATAGCAAATTTCCAATGAATGACGGCCATTCTTGCGTGATGTTTTCAAAGAATCAAAATATAGGGTGAAATAAATCGACTTATGCCAAAACTAGGAAGGCGTCTTGAACGGCTTAGATTTTTTAGTATTACTTTAGATTGGTACGAAATTCTAAGTTCGATTTTAGGTTATCGACTATTTGCAGACTCGACTTGACTAAAATTTATTTCGTATTATCTCAAGCTTTTTAGTTAGCTTGTGATGGGCTATCGATGATTTTGTCTAACCCTGTATTAGCGATAATTGTAAACTAATTTTAATCGCTGCAGAACTGTTGAGTGAGATTACTGCAGCATTGAAATCATCTAAGAATCCAAGCTCGAATTGTTTGTGTTTCTTGCGTAACGAGATAAACGATTCTGGAATCTCAAGGGCGTCTGAAAATATCAACAACTTGAAGACCGAACTTAGAGCCAAGGTTCGAAGTCAATATACATAAGTATATATATTGTATTAGCTCTCTCTTCCAATCTTATTCAGCAAATCCAAATATTTCAGGTGGCAAAATCGCTGTAAACACCAATATTTAACAACTTTTAAAAATAGCTGAGAATAGTCTTTAGGAAGGTTATTACTGTATGGTAAAGGTTCGAAACTAAATGAACCTATCCCCAGCTTTTATTTATAAGCTTTTATTCTGAATGAAATTCACCAGATGCTGGCATTTCATAGGCTCAGATGCAAGAAAAATATTTTTTGAATAAAATACTAATAAGAAATAACAGTATGATACAAAATGATCAAATAGAAAATACAGAATATAAATTAAAAAAGTCAAATAAACTAATGTGTGAGTATACCAATAGATTTCTAATCTTCCAAGGACAAAATTGGAGTATAAATCTTCAGTTTTTGATCACTATCTAGTTTTATTATTTATTGTAGTACAGGCTAAAATAATTGTTTTGTCGTAAATCAGCTGGGGTACACCAACGTTCGACAATATAAAATATCCAGCACAGAAATGAAGAAATTTCATCAAGGCAGACCAACGAAACTTATTGATGGAAACAATACTTATCTTGAAAAGTTAGAGTTTGATCTTTATAACGCGATATATCTGCAAATGAAAAGGAACAGTGAACTGATTCACGGAAAATCATTATCCGTGGTAAGTTTGCTGGATCAATTTTAGCTCAATCAATTATCAAAATTCAACGTTTTATCAAAAAAAGACTATAGGTTAGCAATTCAAGTAAAGACAGGGAAAGAGTATATGATGACGATGGAAGTAGAATGAATTTTTTTTCGTCTGGAATCAATTTAAATGTCGGAGTTGCGCAAGTTTTTGTTTTGTTTGTTTTGTCGGAATCCTAAACTGACGTTTTGTGATTATCTTAGTGCACTAAATATTGTAGTTCGCCTTTGATTTCACTATACTTGACTTATAAGTTACTTGAGCTATAAGTTTCTGCTTTTACTATATAGTCACTGCGAATACAAAATAGGCTTGCACGTAATTGACAAAAATCAATTCCGTAATTACGGCCAAATCGATTACGTAATGACCCCGTAATTGCGATATTTTTTCATACATTTAAACCTTTCATAACAACCAATTGAATCCACTTCATTTTCGATTGAGACATCGAGTTTGGGTTTTCATATTCCTGGCAGTACTACACGCCGGCGACAGATGTTAAGACAAGAGTGAATTCAAATTAATTTTATTCTGATTTTTACCTTTTGTGCCAGCTTTGATTTCCTTTATCACCTTCGCAAATTAACCGTCCCAATTTTATGCGATCAATTTTATCATTACCGACACTGGTATACGGATATTTATGAAACGATAGTCGACTTTTTTAAAATCGTATTAAAAAAAAATGTCGGGTTTCCAATTTATCAATACCACGACAAGCGTATTCTCTTGTTTGATTATACTTGCGCTTGCCTCGCGACGAAGACTTGTTATTGCACCGCTTTTAACATTATTCGACTTTACTACCTAGTGAGCATTTTATAATAATTATTGATGCCGACTTATTGACGTTATTCCGATTACCATGCTTCATTAACATGAAATTATTTCGCGGCCTAAATGTTGTAACATTATTTGTGACAAATTTAGATCAAATATTAATTATTTGCGCATAATTTAAATACCGTATTTATATGATATGGCTTTTCCGAAAATACAAAGTTATATCGCAAAAAAATGCATATTGTGACATTTATTTTGCACTCACGAAAAAATTAACTTATTTTTCTAACTCAAGTCGACGATCCTATCGGACAAGATTGACACAAGTTTGGTCGAGTGTCGGTGGTATTCAAGAATCAAAATAAGTTGCCGCATTTGGTAAAGACAGTTAATCATATTTGGCCGAAATATTGCGAGGCATTGTGGAAAATATATTGAGCAAGGACAAGACCGGACTGATATAAAACGATAAAACCGGTTACAGAACATCAGAGTTTTGTAATTGAAAATGGTTCTCGCACAGAATAAACACACTGGCTCATACTTGATATTTGATAGTAGTTAAATTGAGAATATTGAATTGTTAAAAACAAAAAAACGATCGTCGAAATTCTTAAATCTCGTTGCCTTGGTTAAATATAATCCAATGATCAGGACATTTTCAATTAAATACTGCACAAAGATAATTATACATTAAACATTTAAGCTACAATTTACCTTTTTTTTAATTTTAATCATGCATTGTGGTGGAGAAATGCCACTATTTAAATACGAGTAACTACAAAAATAGAATAGGATTCGATTTAAGTATTCTAAAACAGTGGTTCCCAACCGCCGGTCCGCGGACCGTCAACGGTCCGCAAAGGATTTTTACCGGATCACGGGAAATACCGTCATATTGTTGTTTCTCTGCCGTCTCAATCGCTTTACCGATGCCGAAAAGACGAAGTTGCGTTGGTTCATTACGCAATTTCTCTCCCGTCGTCATATTGCTGTTTGATAAGCGCGACATTAATTATCACGGTGACGTATTGACAAGAGAGAGAAAAATGAGAAAAACGGCTGCAAATACCGAAGCTCTAATTTCTACTTTTTAAACTTTCACTTTTTACAATCGACGAATTGACTACTTTGAAGAGAGCTCGTCTCAATCGCGAAAGCGCTCGACCAATAATTACGACTTTACGTAATTCGTAACTTTCCTTCCGTAACTCGAAATAATTCCGTAATTCCGTAAATCTGTAAATTACGTGCAAGCCTAATACAAAATAATACGCAAAATTATCCAAAAATGTTCATAATATAATCTATTTCAGCAAAGCGAAATTGACAATGATGGTTATACTAATGCCATTGCTATTGAGCATGTGAAGTTTTTGCAAGAAAACTGCAAACATTTTGTTGGAAGAGAAAAAATTCTTCAAGAAATGAGAAAATACGTTATTTCAGAATATGAAAGGTAAGAAAAGCTCTTTTATTGAAGACAAAGTGGATCAATTTCCGAAAATGTTGTTGTTGTTAGTGGGTTTGTTGCAGAAAATCGCGTTCCTCAGCAACTAATGCACCAATCAATTTCACATGTTCAGCACTTAAAATAAAAAAGTCTTTACAAAGCAATCGTTCCTAATTTTTTCATTGAGTTTTTCGAGGCCCGATATTTTACCCCCAAAATTTTTAGATTTTTCATACCTCACGGAAATACATTTATAAAACATTGGGTGTAATTCTTTACACATTTGGCCGAAATTCCACTGACATTGAGGTGGATGTTTGACCCTTGTATTCATAAACTTGAACATTCCTCTCTTATATTAATCAATGATTCATATCTAGGGTTCCACTGGCAATTTGTGGAGAAAGCGGATGCGGATTGTCCTCAATAATGAGTATGGCAGCTTCGGGCACAAAGAAATGGATAAAGCAGAGATCGTTCGTCCCTGATATTAGATACATAAGACACAACAGAGAGACCATTGTTATATTTAGGTTTGTTGGCAGTTTACATAAAAGTATGACGCAAAATGTCTTTAATCGTGTTTGAACGTATGCAAGTTAATAATGCTTAACTCAAAATGTAACAACAAGAGTGATTATATCATATATATGTTGAAACGTGTTTCAATCTCGGCAAAAATATACTCTGGGATTTACAGAAAATGTAAAAAACATTTCCGTATATATGCTTACCATATATATAAAACAAAAAAATAAATACTAATACAATACAATTCCGAGGATTAGTATTATTCAACTCATGTGAATATTAGTACTATTTGAATCACTGAAAAACGCGAACTTTCGATTCGGCATTTTGACAAATTACGGCAGTACATCTAACACTAGATGTTAAATTGATGTCTTAATCATTTATAGTAATAATAATGACACAACAATATAGTATTTTAGGTGATTTGTAAATCATTGGTAAATGGACTGTATGGTATTATTATTATTAAATACAAAAATATTTATGACTTTCATGCTGCATGACCGGGACATTTGAGTCCACCGGGTAGATCGGGACAGCTTGTCAAATTGGGACTGTCCCGGTCCCGGGATGTTATGGTAAGCCTACGTATGTAAAAACTCAACGTCGGAACTATTTGCAACAAACGAATATCCAGTGGTTTGTATTCAGACTATAACGTCATCTTAAATAAACCTATGAAATTAGAATTGCAATTATTATCAGTAGTTGGAAGTTGAATTGTTAATAACGGCCTCATGCGCATTCCATACACTGACTAAACACTAAACTTGGTGGTAAGCTACACATGACCCAATGTTAACATCTATTTACAGAAGTGTAGGAGTTACTTCGGAATCCCGGTCCGTGAAGCATTTATTGCATGACATATGTCTTCAGTTACAACACATCAATATCTCTAACACGGAGAAATTTGTCCTCGGTAGCGTTCAACAAATGGGAGAAATCTTCAAGCACGTCTTAGCATCAGTAATTGAGGAAGGATTCATAGTTGTAATATTCATAGATAATTTGAATGCAGTATTTGAAGACAAAGAGAAGTTTTCCTTGTCGTGGATTCCCAAACCATTGCCAAAATATGTGAAAATTATTCTTTCCTTTAATTCAAACCAATCTTCAAGCCAGACTGAAGAAAATACTACTGCAAAAGATAATAACATGCTCAAAGCATACAATAATAGGTACAAAAAGAAGGCAATGACTTTAACAGTTTCTGAATTGTCGTTTCGAACAACTTTAGCAGCAATTGACTTGGACGCTCCAACTACCTCAGTATCAGTAATGAATGCGTATTTGCAACAACAGCATAGGACGTTGACTAGAAAGCAAATCTCTCTCATCTTGCGTACAGCATGTATTTGTCCGACACCCTTGAGTCTGAAGTTACTTATGGAAGCGACAAAGATGTGGCGATCCACCACAACGAATAACATATGTGCAGAAACGGTCAAAGGTTGGGGAAGTAATATCGGAGATTTCTGTCAAAAGTTCCTTTCTCTTCTATCTCGACTTCATAATTTAAGTTTTTTTCGTTCTGCGGTTTGTTTTTTAACTTGTTCGAGGAATGGTTTGACTCACCAAGAAATTGTAGATTTGATATCCAGAGACGGAAAAGTATCTAAAGAAATTCCTGCGAATTTAGAAATATATAAAGAGGCAGAGATTGTGCCATCGAGAAATCAAACCGCCAAACTGCTTTCAGCAACCGAGAACTTCAATTTGACTACAGAAAACAGATGCGAATCTGTTTTTACATTAAATGCAATGTTATACAGAGTATTGAAAGACCTTTATCCGTTTATCATTGAAACAATCTCAGATAACGTATCCACAATAAAATGGCGGCACAAGATTTTTGAGAAGCAAGTCAGAGACGTGTAAGTGTTTTTTCTTATTTTTGTGATACATGTACTATCAGAGTCATTTTGCATTTTGGGCATTTCATATATAACCAGGCGTAATCAATCACCTCTAAATTTTGGTAAAAGACTTTTTTATTTATTTTTCACTATTTATATCAAACTATTCTCGGAAATTGAGACTTGCTGGTTTGAATCCGTGGTTACATACCAATGGATGCTTGTAGATTGCCACGCCTTATTCTGGGTGAATGGCGTGAAAATAGTTGTATAAAAATGAATTTGATTCGGTACGTCAGTGTCCTGATATAATTCAAGAATAGAAAGTGTTAAAATTTTTCTTGTTATTGATCAATATTCATAAACAAATTGAAATACAAAAAAAAATATTTCAACTTTTTTCGCCAATATTACTTAAAGATTCATGGCAACAACAGAAGAATTGATCTATTATCATCAAACCATGTTGTCCTATTTCTCCAACAAACCTTTCACTTGTGAGTGTGGACTTATACATGAATGTGGTCAACCATTAAAATGGAGGATATGTAAGTATAAATCACTGTACTTGGACAAATATCTGGCACATTTTGCCGACTGATCTGAAATATAAAAATCGTGAAGTCGTCGCGGATTTTTTTATGTTAGCGTTGCAAGGTTCTAAATTTGTGTTAGATAAATATAAAACAAGGCCTAAATATAACTAACTAGCAATCGTGTTACATTTTCAGCATGCAGAACAACTTTGAACGCGCGACGCACGAGCGAATCCATGCATCACGCCCTTGCATGTGGCAATTATGATGTCATAAAGAAAGAGATGCTATTTGATATGGATTGGCTTCAAGCTAAACTAGAAGCGACATCAATAGAGGTTTAAAATAGTGTGACACTTATAGTAATGTTATGGTAATAATAATAGCCATTAACTGTACAGGAATGAAGTAACGACTAAGAACGTAGACTTATTGCACTAAAAGACGTGCGTAGCAGAGAATAGGTAGTTCTTGTACAGAAGTAAAACTTGATTTTAAAGGTTCTGACCCATGGACCATTTAATCGTCTCCTTCAAGATTGCCCATGCAGACCAAGGGACACGAAAACGTATTTTTAAGTGGGTTCATCGAAATGCGCTTCATGTAACTGTACTCGTGACGAGACTGTGCCCTCCAACTTTTTTTGCTCGATATAACAGGCTACATTTCATTTTACAGACATTGATGGATGAAATGTATCGTGTTCTCAAAGCGATTCCAAGAGACAACGATGTTAGGTTGCTGGCGGAAGCTTTATTTCTCTCACATGATGTTCTCAGTCATGATCCAAAACAACTTCCATCTCAACTTCTAGGTCGTTTGCATGACGTTATTGAAAAAGACATTCCGTCGGCACCAGAAGATCCAAGAAGATATCCATATACAAGGTAGATAGAAATCCGGGCGCCCCAGAAGTATGTGTACCAATATGGAGGTAACTAATTTCTTTCGCCTATTTTATATCAAGTTGTGTGAAGGAACTGAAACCTATGAACAGGGGGATATTCACTTGACTAACACAAACAGTCACCGAACTCGTAATAGAACTAAAATAGGGAAGATCGAAATAAAATTATGGCCTAATCTTAACCTCGTGCACATACTACCGGAGTAGCAAAATCCGACAATAAAAACACGAAAAGTATGAAATTGTACCGTATTGCCTTCAAATTACTTACTTTTTTTCTGTATAGAATACTGCTTGCACAATTTCGTCGTCGGCACTTTGGTTTCTTGATGCCAACAAAGACTTGTTTAACTTCAGGAAAACAAATTATATATGACGCTCTCTATGGACATGATGATGTTATTACGGCAATTACATCATGTACGGATGGTCAGAGAGTAGTTACCGCGTCGAAAGATTCAACCATTAAAGTTAGTCACATATACTGTGGTGAATTGTGACTTGTAGTTCATATTCATTTGAAGTTTTTCAGTCAGCATGAAAATACTGCAATTGTATTGAAATACAGAGTGTACCTTGGTTGCCAGTTTAATTAATGATAATATCTCTTTGACTTGTATAGACTTCCGAGCTGGCGAGGCTGAGTTTTGTAGGTTTAGGTGTGGATAACATAAAAGATATGGTGACCGTACATTTGAATCCACGTACATTTGAACCCATGTGTATATTCGCGGGTTCAATCTATATGCGGGTGCTAAACCCATGGGTTAGGGTTAGTATGGGTTCAAATATCCGTAAAACAACAAAAATTTCCATAGGTGCAATAGTATGCCGGTGCAATCGTCGTGGGTTCAAATGTACGTGGGTTCAAATGTAATGGAACCAAAAGATATAAACACTGTACTAAATAGATCAAAAATTAAAGTAGACAATTGTTAATAATAACATTACATGTATATTATCATATTCAGTCAGTATACATTTTCCCTGTATATATAAAAGTCACAGTCAAGAAGGTATATTTGTAGGGCATGCATAATTTTTTTCATTAAATATCTCATAGATATGGGATGTTATTGAACGTCGTGTATTACGAACGATTGAGAATGCAGGAAAAGACATCAGTTCCATGTGTGTATGTATGGGAAATTACTATGTTGCGACGATTCATAAACAAAATCAGGCAAGTGAAACAGTTGAATTTACTTTGTCTTCTTACGAGGTATGTCCCGTGATGACGAGTATTAGTTTTTAACATACCGAACGTTATATGCGTAGTTTTGCCAGCGCATATATTTTGAACCAGAGTTTACTGAATTTTACCGGCTTAATTAAGAACACATAATTTGTGTTTCCTCAACTATATTCTCATTTACAGGTCAACGTTTGGAGTCTGTTGAAATGCTCAAAGGTTCTCACAGTAAAAGAATATGCTCAAGATGAGAAAATTTCTCTAACTGTAGTGTCAGAAGGCCAACTGCTTGCAATTGTATCGAAATCATTGACAAATGTTAGAGCATGGGATTTAGATAAGTAAGCTACGCATTTCGGAGTTTTATATACCTTTCTCTATACACCATTGTTAGAAAGGGATATAAGTATAAACTCCTATTGAATGAACGGCTGTCAATCATATAGCGAAGAACCGTCGTCTGACTATTATATCTAGCAATTCAATATTGCAACCAACATGAGATTGCGAGAAGTCTAAACATATTATGACCATCATAAATGCTTCGTGAACTATCTCGCGGAATTTTCTCTGATGTCTTGCGATTAAATTACACAATACGACTAGAAATTATTTTCTAAAAGTACGTGAAATTGTAGTTTGAATTTTATTCCCCTAATAATTATATTTTATCATTCAAAGCATCTTATACCATAGATCATGTATGTACATTTCTAGGTTGGATTTTTATAAAGAAATCAATATATTACCGGAGAAAGGAAGATGTCCAGACCTATCAGTAGCAAGGAATAGTAGAGGAAACAATGCTTTCATTGGATACAAAGGACAGTCTGAAGCTGTCGTCGTCAACGTAAAGCGAGGAAAAATAATTAGAACTTTAACTTGTGAGGTATGGATGGTTTTATTTCAATATATTTGATATTATTCACCATATTGTTGCCCATGTCGTAATACGATCCTATCTAAAACGTCCCCTTTGCGCCTCCTTGTAGTCGTGATAAAGAATCTTCTGTACAAATATATTTGTGTAAGTTAACGATTTGCTGGATGGTATGTGGTATTTGGTATTGAATAATACGATCGCCTTTTGCTACTATTATCGTCGGATTGAGATCTAAGAGTTCGGTGCTGACGTGCTCGATTCCAGGCACTACAAACTTTTTGTATTTGACTGCGGAGGATAAAGTCCCACTTGCAATATCACTGTATTACGGCACAAGTAGAGTATTTTGAATGAAATCTCCGCGTTTCCATGATAGCTTTGCACCAATTTGATATGTATTGGTACTTATTTATTTCGACAGAAAGGAAAAATAACGCAAGTTGAGACTTCACGAGAGTACTACATCATTGGTTGTCGACAACGTCGGATGGAAGTTCACGAAATTAGTTATTTCTACTTATTTGATAGCATTAACTACGGCCTGATCAGTGTTCTGAGATCATGCGCTGACGACGTGGTAATATATATTATATAATTCAACGATGTCAGATAATATTCTGCCTGGAAATTCTTTTTAAAACAATTCATCTTATATGAGCTCGTTTTTTTCATTTGTGAAAACAGAGAAAATAAAACTTGACTCGACAAATGAAATTTGGCTTTGGTTAGCTACGTTCATTTATAACATGGAAAGAGCAAGATATTATTTTGTAACGAAAACAATAATAGATTACCCAGATTTTGTCGGCAATTTCTCGAATTTTATTTTAGTGATAATTAGCAGAGATGTCAGACAATCTTCACATTGTTTTACACACTCAAAAAAAATCGAGCCATTTTGTACAGTTTGAATTGTAACATTTTTCCTATCTGTTTTTTCGCAATTTGAATTTAATGTTTGTAATATTCAGATATTCGACTTTTTCGTTAATCGACTTGGTTCACATCTTATTGGGTTGTGTATGAATCAACACGGCACCGAAGAACTAGTCGTATGGAGTACTAATGGTGATGCACACAGACACATGGTACGAAGTAGAGAAAGATATCTGGGAGGTTTGTTAAAACTTTGATTTATCCTTTTTTGACCTTATTCCGAATTCATCAAAAATTTAAAAAAAAAAGGAATTATCCTTTTTTTGCTCTTTTCGAATTCATAAAAAATTTAAAAAAAAACTTTATCTTTTTTTTGCTTGTTTCGAATTCATCAAAAATTCTCATCTTCTCTACTCCTCTGTAAATACACCTAATTGACAAACTCACACGCTGTGCAGCATCCAAAATATCAATTGTTATATTCTAGGAACCTGCACTGACTTACAATACTGCATGACTGCGAGCGAAACAGAAAGTGTGATTCGGATTCATAATCTAGCAGCTGAAATAAGCAAGCATGACCACAGCAGAACACAGGTAGCAGAACTTTAGCCCCCTCCATTTCATCTTAAAAACTCAGCACCAAAAAGCTGTCTCTCTTGAGAGAAATATTTTTATCAGCATTGACTCTAAGCATAGTCACAAGGATTCGCTCACAAGTAGACAGAATTAAAGCTGCAAGAGATCATAGGGATCCGCACCAATATATTACATAAACTATCCACTGTCACAAATCGGTTAAAGCGAGACTTGAATTAGTTCAAGTTAACACGATTAGGGAACATTCCGTTAGATGTAAAAACTTTACTGACACGACACTATACAGACTCATAAATAATACTGTTGATCACATTATATAATATAATTTTAATTAGATAAATATGTTCTCTTTTCGCCGCTATTTTATTCAAAAAAACAATATTCTGAATTTCGATTGTTGTATGTCATTTTACCAAATCACGTATTTCCCAGGTTAGGAAAAAAGTTGATGGCATCGGTCGTGTATTTAATATGCCTCAACATGAGAAGTATGTGGTGGCTCAGGGCACTGGTGGTAGCCCTATTACAATCTGGAACGTTGCCAGAAGTCGATGTCGTGGCGAAGCTGTCATTATAGAAAGAGGATTATTGGACAAAAATGATGTTGTTGTGGTTAAAGATATTATTGTGGTCATATTATCAGACCGAGGAATGGTTACAATCAACGAAAGATCACAACAGGTGTGACGTTGTTAATTAATGTTGTATATGATTACGCTGATAGACACTGACAATTTATTTATTCGCCACTTAAAGTAAAAACATCCATTTTAGACATTTTTATCGCCGCACTTCCATTGTTTCTTTTCTGGCAATATTCTAGATTGCCACTTCGATTTGCCCAGATATTCTTCAATCGATAAGTTCAGCTGGTTAGCCTTGTCCTGGTTGAAGCCAGCCGCCTCTACCAAAAGTTATATTATACTGTTGGTACTAATAAGCATTTCAAAGCTTTTGACTGCGAATATTGGTCGATTGTTGAATTGCAATAACGTTTCATAGTGCATGTTTCAATAAAACGGAGGGTTTTATATTTTTTGACGAAGAAGTACGTTGACAAGACATATTGCTAAACTGGCTAATCACGGTCATTCGTTTGGATAGAAGACGAGTAATAGGTAGCCAAAGAGTGTCACTGTCAACATAGTTCAAATCTGCGTATATTTTTATAGTGTGATTTGCGGTGCTTGTTTCTGACGTCTTCCCAATGATCTGAGACGAATCCATACAGAACTATACGCAGAAAGCCTCATTTATCTTTCTCATTTTATATGATTTCCAGGTGTTTGAAACGATCTACGTTTACAACTTATTACTGAGAAAATACGAGCGGAAGTTGCATCCAGTTCGTATAAATATGTGCCCACCTGATCATTATCACGTGATCGATAACGATAAACTCATTGCAACATCGATGGATAGAATCAGTTTTGTTGTCTGGAGTATTATCACGGGAAATGTGAGTATCCAACAAAGAAGATTCTTCACTATATTTCAGATATACAAATGCTAAGTGATTCGACTGAATTTATAACCTTAATTAGATATTGGCTTGATAATTGTCCTTTTATTCAATGTTAGGAATTCGCCTATCAAAGCAAACCAATAACGGGAAAACAACATATACTGGGTCGATTCAATATGTCATGTTACTGGAAATCTTCTCGGGCAAAATTCAATCCACCAAAAATTCTTTTGGTTGAGAAATGAAAGCTCCCAAACTACAAGAAAATTTACAAAAGGGTGTATATATATATATATAGTACCAGACCTCATTTAAATAATTAGGTCGCAGTATAGAGCTAACGGGTGTAAAAATAACAAACTTGGCCCTAATCCCAATATTGGCCTGCAATGTCATTGGCCCTCAAGTTGAGACAGCTTCTACTGAAATATTGCTGGCATTAACATTGTAATCGTATCCTATTTCATAGACAAGTATTCTCTGATAATTTACAGCACGGTTTATATGTTTCAGATATTATACCAAATTCATTCAAACTTTCCAGCTTATGAAGTGAAAGATAAAACTAAGAAAAAGCGACCAATAAAACGAAGTCGACGTATTGGGCAGGTATGACAAAAAGCTTTTTGCTCAAATACATTTTTTAGTTACGATGCTCGATGGGGTTTTAAGTCTGGGCCTAGATTTTGAAGCAAAATTTGGTGTTAAACACACGGTAATACAATGGTGAAGCTGGAGTGATTTATCATCAATTTTGAGCCTTGTTATTTTGTGTAGTTTTTTTGAAATTTTCATCTATCAATTCCGAGAGATTCTTTAGTTTTCAGAAAAAGCGAATATAGAAGAACAAGCTAATAAAAAACGGACGACATGGAAAAAATGTAAAGTTAGTGAGAAAGATAAACAGCGAACAATTTTTGAAATGATTGTCAGTGAAGATGACAGAACACTTATATGTTCTTACTATTCACGACATCTAGCGGTGTTTGATTTGGAGACCCAAACACATCGACATACACTCACGGACAAACATTCACTTCTTCAACTACATAAAGTGAGTCTTCATATACTGTAGCTACAGCTATCGATGTGATATTTGTAGTAATTATTTGCAAGTGTTTGCTATTGCTTTTTGTTTTACTAGACCAGTGGTTTTCAACCTTTTTCGAGTTACGCGATCCCAATAAAATAGTTCAATTGTCTTTTATTGTCTGAATTGTATGAACTATCAATATATATAAAAAAAACTAATACTGGAAACCTAATGATCTTCAAATTTTGGCAAGTTTAAATATAGTGGACAATCTAGGTACTAGGCTCGCGAAACCCCTGGGCTGCGCTGACGGAACCCTGAGCTGCCGCGGAGCATCAGCTGAAAACCACTTTATACTAGATTATTACCTCATCATGTAATAAGGCTTGATGTGAGATATGTTACGGTTTTCAAAGTGCAAATGTTTCGTGTTTTTATTTATTACGATGTATGCTAGCACTGTTCTTCTTTATATGATATAAAACTGGTCCCAATTATAACGCCGTATTTGTTCCAAGTCTGTCGTTACACCGGATGGTTGTTTCTTGTTGAGTTTAAACTACGATGACGCGGCTCATTCAAGCTATATAACATTGTGGGATTTGAAGGAAGGATGCGTATCAAGAAGGAGGCGGGATGAACCAAAAGTCTGTTCGATGGCCATGACAAAAGATGCATCAAGAATCGTGTTTGTTACGGAAGATAATTTTATCAAAATATGGGACCCGTTAAGGTATGCTATTCACATGTTTTTTTTATACGATTTGTTTACATCTTCGCTTCGAACAAGACTCTAAGTAAGCAACAGATCACAGGAGGGAATTTACTAGAATAAAAAATTTGAAGTAGGGGTATTTGATAATAAATTATTAAATATTTATAACCTGGGGGACTAACTAGTAAATATTTGGAAGAAAAACGCGTTTGTCAGTACTTAAGATTAGTTGAAGTGTAATCTTATTTAACTTCAATTGTAGTCGTAATTCCTACTATTTCAACTTTTACCTAGTGTTTGAATATTCAATTGCAGAAGACACAGTCATCGAAGTATCGCTGGTTATCCTCGGTTGGATGTTACTTCCTCAGAGAGTGATGACTCACAATCAACTACTATCTTTGCTATATCTGGAGGAAAACGAGCGATATTATTTGCAAACTCAATTTCTGTTTGGGATTTGGAAAAAGAATCGTTATTGATGGTATTTGAGCCAGATGTTAAGGTAATGAAGATGAATGTTACTAAACATTTGAGATGTTTGAAATCGTGGGTTTGCACCAACGTTTCACACTAAATACAGCCAAATGAGTATAACCGTTACGGCATGACACATGGAAGATTTGTACTTGCGATTTCTGGAGATCCACATATTATTTTAATTCGTTCCCTGTGTTTTTTGTTGAATCAATACTATAAATTTCCGTCATTTCCTTTTCAGTTTCAGTGTTGTACAGTAGCTCTCCGAGGACAAGTGATTGTAGTCGGAATGCGAGATTCAGCGAACATAACAACACTTCGTCTACCACCCTCACCAGAGCATGACGAAATTAACTTGAATGAAAAGGATAGATTCGGTGAAGGATCGGAATCAAGCGACGATAGTACAGAAGACGAACAAAAAGGGGATGGGCTTGAGTTCATGAGCTTCACTCGTCGAAATGCAGTAGCCTAGTTTCGAATACGCGATATACATAAACATCTTTATGCAATTCAATTGTAGTGAATTCCAACAGTTTAACAATATAGGCATATATATATATATATATGTATTTATATTGAATAAAACTTTGTAATATACTTAGCTTATAAAGATGTAGATTAAAATATTTTATCAAACGCAATGAATTCAATTAATATCATGTCTTTGGATCCATAACGTTGAAATGGCCGATGCATTCTCGTATACGACATCGACTTGTTGGCGGAGTCAGAAATTTGACATACGATCATTTCGTATTTTTTACTCGGGATATGTCAGGTGGTAGTTAGTGACTGCTACTGATATTATACAAAATCAAGTAATTCTTTTTGTTTCAACAACCATAACTATTCATACTAAGTTTGTTGTCAATACTGGACGATAATGTATTGATCTAGTGATATTTTAGTGTTAAAGCACCCGTGCGTTGCGAGCTTTGTTATAGTTTAATGAAATTTTATTAAACAAAACTGCAAAGAATTTTCAGTCGATATTCAACATATTTACCTAATGAAGATTCAGAGAAATAAAATATTCAGTGCATATATATATATATATAGTATTACTTCTAACCCATTTCACTACAATGTACACATTAATATATATAATTTTATTTTTATGATTGACCTCCTACGACGTTTATGCCACACATCCAACGATTTTTTTGGAACTTATATTATATAATATCAATCGACTTTGTCCGAGTGTGATACGCCTTGAATGTGTGGCCCGTGGTGGAACACGAGACCGTCCGTTAGTTATTTACGAAAGCTGCTAACGAGATTGATTGATGAATACTTTCCACTGTGGGGTACTTAGGTATTTCCTTACGACTCTTCATGCCGAGACTGGGCTTCCTTTCAACTCTCCGCTTTACCGTCTCTAGCAATAACGAATAGATTACTTGGTTGTGTGGTATATTCTTTAATTAAAACAACGATAAAAATAGAATTTAAGAGATCCAAGTCGAGTGTCTAAATTTAAAAACCACAAAGCCAAATAGTGGTCAGCGTGTAACTCGACCGACAACGCTATCGGAGGACCATAATGATAACAATGCTGAAGTATAGAAAATAATTTTCTATGCTCAAAAGAACATCCAATCAGGTTTCACCAGACCAAGCGGTGTATCGTCAACGAACTACTTGCAACTATGTAATGAAAATAGCAATGCATGTATTAACGATGCTGATTTTTGTTGCGGGGTGGCAATTTTTTCACAATTACCATTGTGACGTGAATGTGTCTATTTTTATAGAAAGAACTTTTCGTTTTTCCCTAGCATGAAAAGGTTAAATGGGCAACCAAAGAAAAAGGCTGAGAACCACTGCTCTAGGTGCAGGTTGCGTATGTTGTTAACAATATGATCGTGACGCAACGGGAACCAATTTCAGAAAAAAAAAGATTGTCCAGTGAAATTTTATTAAATGACAAATGTAAATCGCGAGAAAATGAACTACGTGAGAAAGTGGCATGCATAGACTTGCTACAAGAGGTATTGTTTCAATAGGCTTGTACGATTAGAACTTTCTGAACAACCGAAGGTAATAGGCATTAAACTTGTTATTTGCAAAAATGCACCGGTAATACTTGGGGGCTTGCTGATTGCATGCATTCTTGTGTGGCTGTTTTTGAGAATGATATATATAATGATTACCTCCAGTCAAACGCTATGCTGTAAGAGGAAAAAATTACGCTCAAAAGGGGCATTTCTAGTATTGATAAGCTGGAATGTATGGCTATGGTATGTGTATTACGGCTGCGCATTTCTTACAAAAAATTGTAATAAAAAACATTTGCTGACAAACATTGGTGAAGCTGTAGTTCAATTTCATTACAAAAATAACACAGTGACATACAAATGTTACTAAAAAAATTTGCTATTTCTTGAGGAGTAATTCAACACATTGTTCAAACTTATATTTATTTCTGTGGATATACTGGTTTGTGTCATCAACAAGTTGATCTAGTTTTTCTGGTCGATATTCATCCATATATAATTGTTCTGAATAATAAAAAATATTGGTCAAGTGAATGAAGCAGTCAATAAATGGTAACAGATAGAATGGACAAAAACTGTTAGTAGTGCCCATTTAAAGCACTGGCAGGCAGCTCGGTCCTAACAATGGATTTATTAATAGCATACCATAATTTTTTTACAAGTTACATTGCTAAATCCAGGAATTTTCAAAGGAATTGTTACATAACAGCTAGCGCGTCCGGGGGGAGGCTGAAAAACGGGGGTTTTCAAAACATTGAAGGTCTAAAAGCGTTTCAAGCTACGACAAATTGCTATTTAAGATACAGAAAAATATTTCTACATTTCAAATGGGGGGTTCCGATCCACAAGGGAAAGCAAAGCCCCTGGTGTTGTGTGTTTTATCTCAAACAATTTTACAAAAAAATTTACTATCTTCTGCACTTAGAAAAAATATTTCTGGTGTTGATAATATTGAGAATCCAAGCAAGCAATACGATTTGATCAATGCACTATGATTTGATCAATTTTTCTCTCATAGATTTTATCTGCTTTCTACATTAATTAAGATTTTTTGTTTATTGTGTAAGATTCAAGTTACCTCTTATAAATGGATTGAATCTGAAGTATGTTTTTCTTGGGAGTAAATTGTACAGGATAGTATGAACTTCTGTTAAATTAATAGGGAAATAAGATAATATATAAAACTTTTACAGTGCAGACAATAATGCAAATAAATTACTATATCAAGAAATACAAAATACAATACATTAACTTGAATACAAAACTAAATACAAACAAAGTGGAACGACATACGAAACTTGGCGCTCCAGAAGTGTGTGTACCAAATAAAAACAATTTTGTTCGCCTACTTTACATCAGGTTGTGTAAAGGGACTGAAACCTATGTGCATGGGGGATATTCACTCGGCTAACACAGACAGTCTCCGAACTATTAATAGAACTAAAATAAGTAAGATCGAAATAAAACTATGACCTAACCTAACCCTAACCTGGTACACACACTACGGGAGTACCCATACTTAGCTGAACTCTCAGCATGAACCTGCTATTACTATTTTATTGCTATTCAATATGCAGTTATCTTTCAATCTTTGTATTATAAAATTTCCTTTTATTGTTCAAATCGTACGTACCTGATGTTCCAGTGGCACTGTCGAGAATTTTTAGAAGTTTATTTTTCAAACTCAAGAATTCTGGAGAATTTGGTCCAATGAAAGGTTCGTATCTACCAGTTCCTAATGATACCATGCATTGTATTGGGGCATCTGGCCACAAAGATCGACATTCAAATAATCCTACTCCTGACGGATTGTTTGCTAGAATTCCACCATCCTGGAAATGTATCCTTAAATTAGTATGTACATTTAGGTTTTTGAGAGACATCATCCCTCATAGGGTAAATATGATACAGCTAATCTAAGTGTTCAGAATGTTCATACTATCCTACTATATTACGAGTTCAATTTTCTAAAATTTATCTAATAGCAGGAACCAACAAACTACATGGTATCGATAAATTCACCATGCCATTTTAAGAATTTTTTGATAACCCATAGTTTCACATTGCAGATGTTTCGAATTTCTACACAGGAGTACTTCATCGATAACAGTGTAATGAAGACAATAGTTTAAGATACGTAAGTCATCTGTTGACTACCGATAGCACTAGTTATGCTCCACAATCCACATATCCTCACATGCATGAAGTTGAACTGGTCATCTATTTCCAGACCGAATCTAGAATGGTAATCTAACTAACAAAAATATAAAAATCCTCTCCTACCTGATGAATGTTAAAATTATATTTAAATTCTTCAAAATATCCAGGAGCTGCAGAAGTTGCTCTGACTGCTTCCCATAACCTTGCTCTGCAGGTGCCAGGCCAATGAGTCTCTCTTGAACCAGGCACAATACTATAATTCCTCCAAACAAATGGTTTTAAAACATCTCTGTTTACAAGCACTGATACCGCAGAGCATTTTGGAGCAGTGATATCAGCTGCTGAATCGATTAACACTTCATCACCTGGGAACATACAAGATATCATGGTATTTTGCAGTCAGTAGTATCTAGGAATAGCGAAACGCTAGCCACGCAATATTCAAAAACTAATATTATATTAAAAATTGACGTATAATAAAAACAGGTACAATCAAAGTGGCTAAGCGTTAGGAACAGGCTTGCTATTACACCTCTGATTATCCTGCATGGGTTTGCATGTTCGCATCCTGTTGGGTTCAATTATGTGCGAGAAGATTGCTGTATTCTATCAAAGTTTTTTTTACATTAGTTAATCTGAACTATATGTACTCTAAATACGATACAGTGCTGTATATCAGTAACCGAGTTGAATCGGAATAAACAACTGAAGATAAAACACAGTATTTTATAATCTTACCAAATATTTCTTTCAGCACCAATTGATAAGTTTCAGTATCATAGAACGCATGAGACATCATCAATTTACCAGTTCCAATCCATTTATTTTGGCTGAAGATCTTGGAACTAAAATTTCTGTAAAAAAAAAACAGTTCAAACATAACTCTAGTCTGAAAAAAAATAAATTGAGATTCGAATTCTCATTTTGATATAGCCTACATATAGCATATCAGATGGAGAATACAGCATCAGCACAATAAGAAGAATATTTAAAATATTATAGGCTGGCTGATATTTTAGTATGATGAGCATGTTATATATTTGTAACGACCAGTGCTGTGAGATAAAATATAACAAAGAGCAGAAGAATAAATTAGTGTACTAGATATCTTCTCTTCTATGTGATGCAAGGATGCTGCAGCAAGAATAATGAACTATTCTATGTCATCCAATAGTCCTGCTAACACAACATATATGTCCGCATTATCGTCTGATCAAGGTCAGACTTTTACAACAAATATACATCATAGCTCCTGGATTTCATACCAGTCTAATTAATAAATAAAACAGAAGTACTACAGACTAGTATGATTATTCTTGCTATAGCATCATTGTATTTACAAACATAGATTCACCAGCACAAGAGTTAAAAAAATATAAGCAGTTAGTCACACATCCCCAACTACAAGTTATCTTCTCTTTATTTCAATTTGATTTCGAATATTTGGAAATTACTCAATATAAAACAATTGTGACACGATGCAAATTATATTGCAAGTAAATAAAAAGTACTTACCCTACCTATAAATAGATTCAGCTTTATCGACATCATATTTCATCAAACCAAACATGAAAGCAATGACTGCTCCAGTGCTAACTCCACATATATAGTCGAAAAGCTCATGAAGTGGTTTACCACTAATTTCAACCAGCTTTCGAATTATTTGTATTGAAACAATGCCCCTGAAATTAAATGACTATATTTAACATGCTTGCATAAATATATATATATATACCGTACTCAATATATATATACATTTGAAATAAATTTTGGATCAGAATATTCTAAATGTAGTTGCTTGATTTTATAGACCTTTGTCAAATTTCATTTAACTAAATACTCTAGGCATCGCTATTCAAAACGCCTATACTGTTTCTGATAATGAACTTCAAATGTCTATATGTAAGTATTCAACAACTATATTATGCCCATCAGCCACCATCTCACTCCAGGGGTAGGTAATGCTGAATACGAAAAGTCCAGCAAAAATATACTGGCATATTACATTGGAGGCTAAAAATAAATATTAATTTGCATCAGAGTAAAAGAATTTCTCATTACTGTATTACCTGCATCCACCACCATCAATGGAAAGCAATCTTACTCCTGGATATTTTGGATTTTCAACTGAACCAAGTAACGCAAGAGTTATTCTGATATCTCTGATTGCATCTTCTTCCGTAACAGTTTTCAAAAGCTGTTTCATCTGTTTAATTGCATTGCTCTGATATCAAAAAAATTTAAATGAGATATGTGAAATATGTACAAGATATCATTGATCAATCTTAATGGATCTTTCTAACCATTACCGCGATTTAACATCTGAAAGATATATGGAGTGACGGAGATATGAAAATATAGAGTGTATCACAAAATACCCAAACTGTTTATATATTAAATCCGTCACATTTACATTTATTAGGAGGTTTAATGGTGTTGCACTAGAAATTTATCGTCAAATTTTATTCAACAAAATTCTGTCTAACGAAAGTCACACAACTTTTGAAGAGTGATTACCTTATATGCTGTGATTCTCGTGTGTGGGAAATCTATGACATGATCTTTAAGTTGTTTTATAACTTTATATTTTTCTTCTTCTGTTTTTATATTACTAAGAGAGTTCAATAAATTTTCAGTTCTCTGATTTTGAGCTAATCTTTGATGAAATTGCTGACTTGCGGTTTCCTGCACCTGAGTGAGATATATCAGAAAGTACAGTCATTTAAATTTATCATCGAATTTCTAGTCATGGCAGATGACAGTCAGGTTATTAAACTATTATGAGTATTGATAGAATCACATTTAAATGGAAACCAATTGAAACAAATCTCTACTCGAAAAATGCGAATGATTGAAATTACCACTATTTTTCAGTAAAATTCATCTATATTCCGTCTAGTGAATGAATTCAAAACTATTCTGTTGTCAATATGTCATGGATGCGAGAAATAAGAAATGACAAATGGGTCTGCTTTTAATTAAAAGGTTTCATCTCAATTTCTGTCCCGATAAATTTTGAAACCTTTGTGAAATTTTTATACAGATTTAAGTTTTGAGTAGCTAATGCATAGGTTGGGTGCAATGGGCTAAAAACAAGAATTAAGACAAGACATAAAATACATACTGAATCCGGATCTTCTTTATCAGCATCTGCATGTTGAGTTCTGTAAATAATGTTTCCTGAAAAAGGTTGAGAGATAATCAGTATTATGCCTTTATAGATGCAGGAACATTTGGCAAGTCTTATTTAAAAAAGTACAACTCAAGTTTCATATCTATAAACAGTAACTGACAAGCCAATCCAATTGTATCAGCATTTATCAAAAAATATATTAATTAGGAAAATATCAGGGCTCTTTAAACTGGGTCCCGACCCGGTGGTGGTTCGCAAAAGGGCTGAATGGTGGTTGCTATAAAATCTTTTTCGACGCTAACTTATATTAAAACAAAATATTGATCAAATTTATAACCAGTATGAGAGTGAGACCCACCATCACCGGAATAGAGCCAAAATTTGACAATGCCAAAATAGAAAAATACACATCGAATTGGGACATTCGCTTAATGAAATACAGTTTTATCTAATAAAATCATAGAAATTACCTCTGGAGAACCTCTGTGATAGTAGCGAATGTAGATTTGTAATTTTTTTCATGCTTTTCTTGCAGTTATATCAAACCATTCATGAAACACAAATGCCATATTCATCTTCCAATAATCATGTACACTCTTACAATTACATTACAATCATACAGTTATGAATGCTATAATTATATATACAAAAAATATTATTAGAAGCTTCGTTCATAGTAAGTGAACATATAGACATTGAAGGGAACTATTTTCTAACTCTATATTTGAGAACATAGTCAATGATAATTCAAACTACTGAGCAGGATTTTCTTATACGGCCCACTATGTTATAACATTGCCCTATATTCACTATTGCACAAGTACATTGCCATATATATTTAGGATGAATGCGATGAATCTAAGACTAAATATTCTATTTTTTGATTCTGGCCACATATTTATATTCTTAGAATAAAACAAGGAATTCCAATTACATGTTAAGCGCTAGATACATTCACAACACAATTTATTACAGTAGATGAGAATGTGTAATACACCAAACTGTTGCACCAAAAAATTATTATACAGTTTAACATTAACTAAGACTCCTAAGAAGCAGTTATATCCTTAGGTTTTGCCTCTGTTACAAGTTCAAGCAAATCTTTTAGTTTTGATACATTTGTAACATGTATCAACATGTCTTTTAACTGTTGGTTTAACGAAACGACATCTAAATACAATTGTTGTCTTATTTTGTCATCATCTGACAATTTTTTATCATCCAGTGATGCCAGATTTCCACTGCTTTTTCCTGCCCGCATTTTTTGAAGTCTCATCAGACTTTCTTCCATTTTTTTGACCGACATTAAAACATCTGACACAACAGTAAAGTACTTTTCGGATATATTACTTGCAGACTCCGTCAACCAACAATTCATTATGTCACTGTCAATTGAATCGAGATGCTCTTTCCTGAAATTTACTATCGATTTTAAGACACTTGATACATAGGCTGAAGGTTTTGTTGGCGTTTCCCGATTTGTTCGTCGAAAGAGCCTGGGAACATCCTGTGCATACCTCAAATGCACAATACTTTGAGCTGTGAGTGTAGCAACAATACGCTGTGAAATTTCATCTCCTTGTGTCTCAAACGACTTCAAGGTGGTATCGAGAGCACCTTGCAGAAGTGTGGTATCTTTCATACCACATTGGGAAACTTTCGGAAAAATAACATCTTTGTAGAATTGGTTTATTTTTGAACCTAAAGTAGTTAGATCGCATGTAAGACCAACAAGTTTAGCGACATCCAATTTGGCATTTGCCCCGTCACCTTCTTTTCCTGGTTGAGAGAAAATTTTTTTTACCCATTGGTTATATCTCGCTACACATTGCAAAGTCACTTTCCAAAAGCGGTGTACAAGAGGAGGAAGGAAAATATCAGCTTTCCAGCACATTTCAATACAAGATATCAATGTTGCACTGGCATGTAATTTTAAACTTTTCTCGGATGAATCCTTAAGACCATCACCCAGAGCTTCCTCCATTTTACCACCAATCTCTTGAAACCTCATTTGAAAATAAACTGGTAAGCTCCAATGTGATTGAAATCGAGCGAATTCCTCACTCTGTCGTAGACGTTGCACACTTGCTTGTGATCCACATTGTCGTTCAATATCGGCTATAAATTCCATATAAAGGTTATATCTTGAATGGAAAGTATCAGGATAGCCAGGTGAAAACATGGTAGATAAATTGTTTTCGATAGATTTCACAATTTCAGGCCAAACTGATCTTACGACAAAATCATATCCAGAGACGCCACGATACTGATCACTAACTTTTGATAATCTTCCAGCTGTAATATCGTTCAGTAGCTTACAATAATTAGGGATGAAATCAACAATTTTCGTAAACATTTCTTTGACTTTTTTTGGTGAAATATCATCACACTGCTCCTCAATGACTTGATGCATGTATGGCCGAACTAAATGTACCTGTACCAGATTTTCTGCATCTTTCGTTTTGCCGATTAAAGAATAAGAATTGAGGCATTTGTGGAGTAAAGCTACATCGGAAGAATTTACCCCAAGTATAAGTAACTGTTCCAGCCTTTGCTGTAGATTTCCAGTTATTTCTGAAATTCTTGGTCGGACTTGACTCAATACAGGCAAGCCCTTACAAAACCCAGCATGATGTTGTAATTCGTTGAACTCTCCTGCTATTCTTTCTAAAACTAGGCCAGAATTAGTGTCTTCTGATGATTGAATTTGTTCGATTTTCTCCACAGATCTCAGCAATTTAATCATGTGTAAGAGTTTATCTCTACTGTCAGTAAGTTCGCAGCGACGTTTGAGAAGACTTTCAACTGCATCAATTTTGTTTTCCATCAAGTCCCTAATTTGCGTCATATCATCTTTAATTTGAGTAAGCGGATCCCGCAGTTGTGCAATGGCCTTGTCCATTCCTACCAGATTTGATGACAAGTTGACAAAATCAGCATAATCTTTGTTGATGAGTTCAATCATTGCATTTTTTAATAACTTGAAATAAACTTCCAAATCTTGGCGCAGAGTTTCTAACTGGACTCGACGACGACAATCAGCTACAAATTTATCCACACTGAAATCTTTGTTCATAAATTCATTCTTGTCAAAGCATAGGGTTGATGGTGCCATTGGCAATAAAGTTGACTTTGATGATTCCATAGCTATTTATTTTAGTTGTAATTAACTAAAGAACTAATTATATATCATGCTGTAAGCAAATAATAATATTATAACGGTTGCTGATAACGAGATTTTTCAAACTAAATATGTCAATGCCATTAACTAAAAGAAAGAAAACACTGCATAAAAAAACACAGCCTTTGATCTCACAAAGAGAAAGTAGAATATTAGGCAGATAGCCAGATACAACATAAAATTATCATTCGTCAATATAGCCTACAGATATATTTGCTATAGAAGATAAAAGACAATGAGAGAGTTTACTTATGCAGCAGTTCAGATAATATATCTCAATACAGGTATACAGTAGGGAAGAGTTCTCTGATTCGAAGATGTCCTGACATTTGGTTCAATAAAACAAACACTCTAGGTATTTGTCTCTAAAATGATGTGTCGACAACAGATCGCGCCATGCTTGTCTCGATAATAATCTAAATCAATCTTGCGGCTACTGCATGATCAAAATTGATATTTTTGCTAAAAACTCTTCGGTAACATTTTTTTTCTTCTGTAGGCTAAATCTAATCATTTTTTCCTTGAAGAATCCAACGTTGACATTTTAGATTGCGCTCCCTATTAGTTTATTGAGGATTGTCGATATGAAAGGGTTTGTACTCATTGGTATAGGCCCAATTGATGTCTTTCAATGTAGGGCCTATAGAAGTACAACCTTTTGTATGTTAAATGACAGAACACTGACAGAACAAGTCGCAACAGAAGTGGTGAGTTGTCAGTCTTTTCACATTTTACAGTTTTAAATGACAACTTTTTAAGACTATACGGTACCTTACCGTACCTATGAGCGTAATTTACATTTTTTTCTAATAGCAATTTTACATTTTCACACCAATATTCTCATTTTGTCATTATTACGTACGGTACCCAAGCAGCGGCCCCCCAAGCAGCCTTGGCCGAGTAGTATGCTTGTTGCACTTCAAAAAATCTACCAGCCTGCAGGAAGGACCCTACTAAAAAGGTAGGTATCATAGGTATCACTCCATAAAAAGATAGGTATCAGTAGTAAATGACTAAAACGGTAGGTATCAGTAGTAGATGACTAAAAAAGTAGGTATCAGTAGTAAATGACTAAAAAGGTAGGTATCAGTAGTAAATGACTAAAAAGGTAGGTATCAGTAGTAAATGACTAAAAAGGTAGGTATCAGTAGTAACAGGTTAGGGTTAGGCGATAATTTTTTTCCAATTTTCCTTATTTTAGTCCTATTATCAGTTCGAAGACTAGCCAAGGGCCTCCCGTAGTATTTATACCTAAAATTATGGCCTAACCCTAACCTAGTACACATATTACATTCCGATGTCCGCCATCTTGTGTCTTGGTTCGCATACTTCGGGAGCCCCCTTTTTAGTCATCTACTACAGTACTACTGATACCTACCTTTTTAGTTATTTACTACTGATACCTACGGTACCGTACCTTTTTAGTCATACTACCACTTACTACTTACTGATACCTACCTTTTTCAGCTTTTTAGTCATTTACTACTGATACCTACCGGTACCTTTTTAGTCATTTACTACTGATACCTACCTTTTTAGTCATCTACCGTACCCATGTTACGTTCCGATGTCCGCTTAGTCATTTACTACTGATACCTACCTTTTTAGTCATTTACTACTGATACCTACCTTTTTAGTCATTTACTACTGATACCTACCTTTTTAGACACTGATACCTACCTTTTTAGACACTGATACCTACCTTTTTAGTGAGTGATACCTGTGATACCTACGATACCTACCTTTTTTTTTTTTTTTTTTTTTTTTTTTTTTTATGATTCCACAATGTGGTTTATGCAATATATAAAAATCATAAAATAATAAATGAACAACAATAACCAAGTATACAAAAATAACAAAGCATTTCATTACAGTCCATTGATTGTATTGTCCATAGTATCCCATTGCCATTGATATGTCCATCATGTAATTTCCATAATCCATAATGTTTGATCATTATTTATATTTTTTAGTATTAATTATTAAAAAAAAAATTTAATATCTATTAGTTTTGATACTATATATCACATCGTTAAAAATTCACAAGTTATTATAAATGATATCTAGTTCTCTTGTAAAATTAGGATATTGTCTCAACTTTTCTATATTTCTTCTTGCTATAAGTGACTTCTTAATTTTCATGATTACATTGCTAACATTTGGATTAACTTTTTGAAAAATTACTGTATTCCTTTCAAGCCAAATTTTGTGTCTGGCAGTGCAAAATAATAATATTATAGCATTCCGTTCTATTTTGGACAAATGTGAATAACATAGGTGAGTTAAATCTAGTAAAATACAAGTCTTGTAATTATTATTCAGTACACAATGATTGATTTTTAATGCAACAGAAAAAATATAATCAAAAACATTTTGCGTAAAAGGAAATTTCCAAAATAAATGAGAAACAAACTCAGGTTCTTGTGTGCAAAACACACATAAATCATTCCCAGAAACATGTTTAATTCTGGGCTTTACTTTAACAGAAAGAATATCCCACATTAATTTAAAATTGAAAGTTTTTATGTTATTGGAGCAATATCTTACAATGTATTTCAGAGCAGGCTCCTTCAATTGTACCATTACGAAGAAATACAATTCTGTTTCCGCCCTTCAATTTATTCCACAATTTTATTATATAGTACCCTATGTTTTCCTTGTTTTAAATCATCCCCGGGTATGTTATATTGTCTAAGAAAATTAAGCAACTCTCCATAATATTTTATAAGGAAAAAAAGCATGTGTCACATTATTATTAATCGGTAAATTAAGTAATAAACAAAGTTTGTTTGTTCAATATTTATATTTCAATAATATTGAATACTGATTGTCTACAATACTCAATTTTGTTACTAATCCTATCACAATAATAGTCGAATGCAGCCATTACATATAAACACATAGTAAATAAAGGAATATTTATCATGTCATAGCCTCCAACAGCCTTGTTTTTGCACAGTGTCTCAATTTTCAATATGTTTCTGCCATTAAATATAAACTTTTCTACAATTTCATTCACTTGTTTTGCAATTTTTAATGGGATGGGATATAATCTTGCACAGTATAAAAACAAAGGTAGAATTTTCAATTTTATTATCAGACATTTCCATCTAATGATAATGGAATATTTGAAAGTTCATCTATACAGTTTTTGCATTATCTAAACAGTATTGCCAGTTTTCATCGCTGGTATCATGATTTGAAACCACCACTCCAAGTATGTTTAAAGTCAAGACAACAGGTACTTGTGAAAAAAAATTAGGATTGCTCCATATTCCTAATTTTAAAAGTTTAGTCTTCTCTATGTTCAACTTCATTCCAGTTGCTAATTTGAATCTTGTCATCAAATCCATTGCAGAATATACAGAGCTTTTGTTACATAGAGTCAATGTGACATCGTCTGCATAACTAATGTGTTTAATTTCTCTGTTGTGTGGTATTTTTAAGCCAATAATTTCTTTATGGGAATTAATTTTAATTAGGAGAGGTTCAATTGCTATGATAAATAAAAATAAACTTAACGGATCTCCTTGACGAATTCCTCTATCAAGCTTTATAGTTTCGCTTAAGTATCCATTCATAATCACTCTGGTTTCCGATTCCTTGTATAATGTCTGAATTAATTTTATAAATTTATCTTTAAAACCGAATTTTTGAAGCACTTGGAAAAGGTAATCAAGGTCAACACTATCAAAAGCTTTGTTAAAATCCAACGAGATTAATGACGATTCTCCATGTTTATTATGTTCTTGAGTACATAAATCCCTCAACAAAATGAGATTTTCAGATATTCTTCTTCCCGGAATTGCATACTGATGTCTATCTATGATGTCAGGTAATACACATTTTAACCTATTTGCCAATATTTTTGTAAAGATCTTATAGTCTGTATTCAATAATGCTATTGGTCTGTAATTTTCTATTTGGTCTGGTTCTCCCTTTTTATAAATTAAAGTAGTATATCCCAATTTCATGTCTTTTGTTATTTGACAATTTTCAAATATTTCTTCCAATACTTCAAAGAATTTTTTTTTTATGATTTCCCAGCATTTTTTATAGAATTCAGCACTTATTCCATCAGGTCCTGGAGTCTTGTCTTCCTTGAGGCTTTGATAGTTATCCAAACTTCATCCAAATTAATAGGGGTCTCTAAAGTTTCTGCATCATATTCTTGTAATTTTATTGTTTCAGGAATATTTTCTATAAAAATCTTTTGGGTCTCCATATTGTTTTGTTGTTTTTTGTATAAATTTTGATAAAATTTTTGACTATGGACATTTTTTCATATATTTTTTCTTGTGTGGTACCTTCTTCATTTTTCAATTTGGTGATATAACATTCTTTGTTCTTTTTTCGCAGCTTTTTGAAAAAATACTTGTTGCATTTTTCATGTGTGTCATAATGTTGTGCTAAGTTTAAATTCTAATTTTTTCACTTTTTTGTCTTTGTTTTGAAATCAATTCTTTTTTTAATTTATTGAATGTAGTCAACACTTTATCTCCTCTATCTAATCTTTCTTTCAATTCTTCCAATTGTTTCATCCCTCTATTATATTCAGCTTTTGCTTCCCTTGCTATTTTAATTGAATGTTTGATCACCAAATCTTTAATCTTTTTCTTTATTTCTTGCCACCATTGAGTTTTTGTATCAAATAAAACTTTTAATGTGCACCAACTATTCCATTTGTTCTGGAAGTCTTCAATAAAACTTTGGTTATTATAGACTGAAACATTATTTTTCCAAAATCCGTGTCCCTTTTCTTCCAATTTACTAATAATCTGAATATCGACCGAGTACATGTCATGATCCGAGTTATATGTTGGTGAACAATATATGTTGGTTATATGACATAGCCTATGAGAACAATATAAACGATCTAATCTGGCTTGTATTGTGTTATTTCTCCAGGTATAGAAGGTATTACTATGAGAAAGGAAATCCACAGAATCGATCAAGTTAAAAGTTTCTACAAGGTCATTCAATGCTTCAGACACATATTCTTTCTTGGCTCTTTTATTACTTGT